ATAATATATAGTTGTATCGAATAAATTGATTCGTATTGTACAATTTTATTTTTATAGTATGTTGTATATATATATATATATATTGTTTTAAAATCAATAACACGTTATACTATATGTAATTATTTTACATATTGTCAAAATAAATTATATTATACTATATATTATTACACATGAGATATTTGTTTTGATTATATGGGCTGATTCCGACATCATATCTGCTGATTCCCACAAACATCGCGGCTCAGCTAATATCGGATATTTTAAATTAGTTAAACTAATTTTTAATTGGTACATATTATAATTATATTATAATTGTACTTCTTTATCATTTAATTAAATACACATATTAAACAATAGAGTATCATTTTATTCTACCACATATTTTCTATGTTTCTAATATTTTGATTCAAAATCAATTTACATACCATAACTATTAGTTAGTATTGACCATCTAATAAATTGAAGACTTCCTTTTAAATGTAGTATATATCCATTACAAAACAATTGAATTAAGACGGAGAAACTAATTAAATATTGAAATTATTGCAGTTAGAAAAATAAATACTCCCTCCGTCATAGAAGTAAGTATTCATTTACTTTTTACACGTAGTTTTAGAAATATTAGTATTATATTGGGATATAGTAGCAATAAAGTAGAAATGACTAAAATAACCTTATCAAAGATAATGACATTTGTGTAATATATTGTAAGTTGTAACGGTATTTGTAATGTTAGGTAGATAGTAAAAAAAATTAAATGGATACTTTGTTATGCACAGACTAAAATGGAAAACTACAACGAGAGAGTATATACATTGCCATTAATAATTCTGTTAATAATTTATTCTTATTATCAATTGTTAGTATTTTGCTTGAGAAAATTTTTCTGAAGAAATAAACACAATTTATTAATTTTAACATAAGATCAAAATCATAATTCAATATCGGCAAAATATATTCGAATTAAACACCCGGCCAAACTATAGATTTATTACAAACCTCAAATATACTTGAAAGCATTTCAAATTACTACAAACTTAATCGATCAATAGAGATGCGAAGGAAGCCTCGGCTTTATAACAACATTCAGCGGCGTAGCCTTAGCGTTGGTAATTCCCGCGCTCTCTGTCATGTCAACCAATTCATCAGACGGCGTCCAGAAATCGAACGCCTGTAAGAACCTCGCCAGCCCCAAATGAACCATTTGGATTCCAAAATCTGCCGCGGGGCAGATTCTGCGCCCCGCGCTGAACGGGATCAGCTCAAAGTCCGTTCCCTTCATGCCAATGTCCTTATGCTTTGTTAGGAATCTCTCGGGATTGAACTCCGTTGGATCGCTCCACACCGTTGGATCCCTTTGTAGCTTCCATATATTGACGATGAGCCATGTGCCTTTCGGAATGTGGTACCCTCCCACCACACAATCCTCTGAAAATTCTCGTGGCCCCCCAAAGGGGGCGGCCGGGTATAATCGAAATGCCTCCTTGGCTATGGCTTGGAGATAATCTAAGTTTTTTATGTCTGATTCGACTACTAGCTTTTCTCTCCCGACCTTGTTGTCCAATTCCTCTTGCGCCTTTTTTAGGACATCGCGGTTGTTCAATAGCAGAGACAATGACCATACTAACATCACCGATTGAGTGTCCGTCCCACCGGAGATCAAAGCCTACAACTATAGTTCATTGTTTGCTTTTATTACATAACACTCGATAGGATCGAAAATCGAGGTTTATGATACAAGTTTTGAAAATTTTGAAGTTTTAGAAGAATTTTGAAATCAATAATAAAATGTGAACAGTAATGAAAGTTTTTGTTGGCTCCGACAAGACTCGATCTCCTGCTGCAGCCTGCAAATATAACTATGAAACATACCATGATTATTGACTTAATAATAGTGTCGACATCGTAATCGGCCTTGAAGTCGGTCTTATCGACGAGGGAAAGCACGACATCCGTGAAATCCCGCGGCTCGAAATCCTTGCTCGAATAAACGACGGGATCACAGCGATGATCGTCCACCCATTTTCCGAGAAGTGCGTCGACTTCCTCGGCACAATCCTTCATCTTCTTTTCGAGGCCGCCGAAGTCGAGCCAGCCGAGATAAGGCAGGACGTCGGCGACGACGAACACCCCCAAGTAAGAGAAGACTTTCCTCATGAGGCGGCGGCAGTGGTTGGCCTCCGGCGTGTCGCCGTAGAATCTCTTTCCGACGACGAGGCTGAGGATAATGTTCAAATTCAATTCTCCGATGCACTGCTTCATTTCGACGGGGAGCTGTCCCGATGGATCCTTGCTGTCCTGCCATGCCCTGTAGAGCTCCTTTATGGTGTGTCCGAGTTCCGACAAGCGCACGTGAGTCATGAGCTCGACTCGGCGGCTCGAGAGCATCTCCACGTGGACGAGCTTGCGGATTTCCCGCCAGTAGGGGCCGTACGGAGTGACCCCGAATTGGACGAAGTCGTTGCCCAAGTGCTTGAAGGCACGGACCATCGGGCGCGACAAGATTGCCACGTCATGCTTGGTGTAGAGCTCTTTGGCGAGCTCCCAGGAGCTGACGACCAGCACGCGCCGCACGCCGAGCCGGATGGTGAAAGCCGGCCCGTATTTGTCGGCTTGCGCGCCGAGGTTGATGTGGGGGAGTTTCGGGAAAGGCCCGTCACTCATCAGGTGGATATGCCCTAAAATCGGCCACGCGCCGCCGGCCTCCGGCGGGGATTTGGCGGCGGCAATGGATTTGGAGCGGCGTTGGATGTAGCGGCAGAGGAGGATTATGGCGATTGCGCCATAGATGGCTGAGGTCGTGAGCTCCATTTCTATGGCTTCTCTGAATTTAATCGATTCAAATTACGATGGTTTTCCAAAGAATTGAGGTGTAGGGGATCATATATATATATATATATATATAGACGTTTTTGGTGCAACTAAAGGTGCAAATAAAGCAAAAACTGCTGTCATATAATTATAGAAAGTACATAATGAAAAGGTACTACATAATAACTTTTTTTTTTTTTTTTTTTTTTCGAATCACTACTATTTTTAGAATTATGCAATTTAGTCATATTAGAAAATTTATAATTTATATTTTTTAATTGAGACGAAAAAAAAATATCATTTAGAGTAATGTCTTATTTAGCAAATATAATTTTCAATAAAAATATATTATTTTATTTTACAAAATATTATATTAAAATATTGTTTAAACAAAAATTCAAATTAACAACTCACTTCAAAAGAATTTCAAATCACAACCAAATAAACAATATCCTAGTAATTACTCATTAGTGACATACTTATATTTAAATAAATTATTTTTTATTTAATTAATTAATTATTACTATTATTTAACGACTTTCAAGTAAAATAGCAATATTGATGATAACAAAATTAATAATTAATAATGACACATACTATATATTTGTTTTGCTATTTGCAATAATTTTGAAATTTATTTTTTTTAATACATTTTGATTTATTTGTAATAAATGCGTATGGCATTAAAAAAACTATTTTAATTAGGCCAGCAAAAATCATTTGTGGTAGGCAACGAACACCCATCTTTTATGGTCACATATTCATCCATGCACTACCATATCATTCGTTACTGGACTTCCATGATGCTTATTATCATTTTTGTTTATTTTACTAATTTTTTTTTTCTATTATAATAAAAAAATTATATATTAATAAAAAAATATTTTTAAATTTTTATATAAATTACAAATATAACAGTTTATGATTAATTTATACTCTAAAATACAAAGAGTAAAAATAGCTTAGGCATTTAACAAATAATTAAATCAATCAATAAATCTTCACATAAAACTAATATTTACAAATATTAAAAATTTATCCTACACACTTAATAAATATTTAAACAAATAAATCAATATGTAAATATGTAATTATCTAATATCAAATTTTCAATAAATAAACAAATAAAAGAAATTTAATAAAGCAACATAATTTTAAATTAAATCTAAAAAATAAAAATAAAACCTGCTGAAGGTTCTCATTTTCACCGGATCCGACACCAAAGCAGGATGAATATATATATATATATATACATATATATAATATGACAAGAGAAATTGAAAAAAAAAATAGAAGAAGAAAAAAAAAACTGATGAAAAAAAAAAGTAGAGAAAAAAAAAGAAAAAGAAATGGTAGGCTGCGGCTGTTCGTGTTTGTTTTGTTTTTGTATAATAGTTTAAAGGAATAATACAATATATTACACAAATATCATTACATTTATATTACACATACTAATACGATTATTTTAATCATTTCTATTTTATTTATACTATTCCAATATAATACTAATATTTCTAAAATTACATGCAAAAACAAATGAATACTTACTCTAGAGACGGAGGAAGTATATTTTTTCTTGTTTTATAGAATTTTATTTATTTGTTCTTAAAAATACGAATCAACATCTTTTTCGCTTATTTTCTCTAACCATAATAATTATATAAATAATTTACTTTTAAAATCATTTACTAATCATGTTAGTTTTATAGTTTTAGTAATAAAAGATAAACCACGGAGTCTAATTGAATCGAAGAGAATTTCTGGATAATCGAACAAATTTGGTTCGAATATAAATACTACATATTTAATATTTATTCGGTTTGATTCGATTTCGATTTTTTATATCTTTTTGGTTTGGTTATACCGAACCGAATATATTTATATATTTATATTATTATATTTTAAATTTTATATTAATAATTATATTCGATTCGATGGTTCGAATATTTACAAATATTTTTATTTAATTAGAATTTTAATTATTTTTAAATTTTTTTAATTTCAGTTCGATTCGAATTATTTACAAATATTTTCGATTAACCGAAATTTGAATATGGTTCGCAGTTTCGAATATTTATTTAATTCGACTCGAATATCAAATATCTATATATTTGTAAATATTCGAACTGCGTCAACCTCTAAGTGCAGTTTAATTATTAAGTTGTTTCTTATTGAAGTATTAAGTTGTTTTCCATTTATTACAAATCTCAAAATACACCTTGAAAGCATTTCAAAATACCACAAACTTCATATTCGATCGATCAATAGAGATGCGGAGGGAGCCTTGGCTTTATAACAACATTCAGCGGCGTAGCCTTAGCGTTGGTCAATCCCGCACTCTCCGTCATGTCAACCAATTCATCCGACGGCGTCGAGAAATCGAATGCCTGTAAGAACCTCGCCAGCCCAAAATGCAGTAATTGGATCCCAAAATCGGCGCCGGGGCAGATTCTGCGCCCGGCGCCGAACGGGATCAGCTCGAAATGTGTTCCCTTAACGCTAATGTCCTTATGCTCTGTTAGGAATCTCTCCGGTTTGAACTCCATTGGATCGCTCCACACTGTCGGATCCCTTTGTATCTTCCATAGATTGACGATGAGCCACGTGCCATTCGGAATGTGGTACCCTCCCACCATGCAATCCTCCCTAAATTCTCGCGGCCCGGCTAAGGCGCCGGCCGGGTATAATCGAAATGTCTCCTTGGCTATTGCTTGGATATACTCTAAGTTGTTGATGTCCGATTCGACAACTACCCTTTCTCTCCCGACCTTGTTGTCCAATTCCTCTTGCGCCTTTTTTAGGACATCGCGGTTGTTCAATAGCAGAGACAATGACCATACTAACATCACCGATGTAGTGTCCGTCCCACCGGCCATCAAAGCCTACAAATATAGTTCATTGTTTATTATTTGATATAATATTTTGTGAGAGAAAAAAAAAAAATTTATTATTGATAAAAAGTATTAAAAGGTTCATAAGTATCTATATAACGTACCATAATTGTCGACTTAATAATAGTGTCGACATTGTAATCAGCCTTGAAGTCGGTCTTATCGACGAGGGAAAGCATGACGTCGGTGAAATCCCGCGGCTTGAAATCCTTGCTCGAATAATTGACGGGATCACGGCGATGATCGTCGACCCATTCTCCGACGAGTGCCTCGATTTCTTTGCCGCAATTTTTCATCTTCTTTTCGAGCCCGCTAAAGTCGAGCCAGCCGAGGTAAGGCAGGACGTCGGCGAGGACGAAGAGGCCCGAGTAATAGAAGACCTCCCTCATGAGGCGGCGGCAGTGGTTGGCCTCCGGCGTGTCGCCGTAGAATCTCTTCCCGACGAGCACGCTGAGGATAATGTTCAAATTCAATTCTCCGATGTACTGCTTCATATCGACGAGGAGGTGTCCTGACGGATCCTTGCTGTCCTGCCATGCCCTGTAGAGCTCCTTCATGGTGTGTCCGAATTCCGACGAGCGCACGTGACTCATGAGCTCGATTCGGCGGCTCGAGAGCAGCTCGACTTTGGTGAGCTTGCGGATTTCCCGCCAGTAGGGGCCGTACGGAGTGACCCCGAATTGGACGAAGTCGTAGCCAAAGTGCTTGTTGGCACGGACCATCGGGCGCGACGAGATTGCCACGTCATGCTTCGTGTAGAGCTCTTTGGCGACTTCCCAGTCGCTGACGACCAGGGCGCGCCGCGCGCCGAGCCGGATGGTGAAAGCCGGCCCGTATTTTTCGGCTAGCGCGCCGAGGGTGAAGTGGGGGAGTTTTGGGTAAGGCCCGTCACTCATCACGTGGAGATGCCCTAAAATCGGCCACGCGCCGCCGGCCTCCGGCGGGGATTTGGCGGCGGCGATGGATTTGGAGCGGCGTTGAAGGTAACGACAGAGGAGGATTATGGCGATTGCGCCATAGATGGCTGAGGTCGTAAACTCCATTAAAATATCTATGGCTTCTCTGAACTTACGGTTTTGGAAGAATGGGGTTTGGGGATTATATATAGTGAGAGGTTTTTGCAATCATCAATTTAAAATCAAATCAACTTACCAAAATAATGAAATCATGCAAATAAAGCAAAAACATCTCTCATAGAATTATAGAAGCTACATAATGAAACGTGTGACCACATAAGAAGTATCATTTACACAATGTCTTATTTACTCAATACCATTTTTAATAGAAATAAATTATTTAATTTTACAAAATGTTATATATTAAGATAAATGTTATATATTAAGATACTATTTTAAACGAAAATTTAAATCAACAATTCATTTTAAAATAATTTTGAATCACAAATAATTAACAACTACGGATTCATCGTGTAAAAAAAAAACACGTATGTAGAAATAAAAAGAGAGGAAAATGAAAATTTGGCAAACAAAAATTTATTATTAAATTTACCGATTAAAAAGAAAATCAAATGTAATTTCATAAGTTGTTTCATAAGCTAGAAACATTAAAAATTCGAATAGGAAAGACATGTAGTCCGTTTTTGTTTCAAAGTTATCTATACGGATCTTTCAATTATGATGTTTATCAGATCAAATTATCACATTCAATCAAAACTGTATTGATTTGACACAATCAACATATATAATTAACATAGACATTACAATTATTATACAATATAATATATAGTTGTGTGATATAAAAATATATTGTATAATTTTATATTTATATTATATTGTATGTATATATATATATATATTTAATGTGTGGAAATCAATATGTATTTTACTATGTGTAATTATATTATGTGCTGTCAAAATAAATAACATATATTGTTAGACATAGAGATATTTATTTTGATTATATGTGTTGATTCTGACATATCCTATGCTATTAAGAGATTTTTTAAACTAATTAAATTCATTTTTACTTGGTAGATATTATAATTGTACATCTAATTATGCAATTACCAACTAATTAAATATACCTATTAAATAGTTGAGTATCGTGTTACTCTACCACATATTTTCACTATCTCCAAGTATTTTGATTAAAAAATAATTTACATACCATAACTATTCTAATATATTGAAGACTTTTCCTTTTAAATGTAGTATATATCCATTACAAATAATTTTAAATTTTTGAATAATATTTTTCATCCCAATACAATGTATTTTTTTATTATTATTATTTTCATTTACTTTTACAAAAACACTTGTATTTGAAAGGACAAAATTGTCAAGATCATATTACATATTTCTCTTAACTAATTAGGTATTATTTTTTTACTTTATTATCAGTTGTTAATTTTCGTGAAAATTAGATTTATTTAAGATGTGTTTGTTTGGGAGATTGGATTTTGAGTTGAGATTTGAGAAGTAAAAATTTTGAATTTGAATAGTTGTATGATGTGATGTTTTGAATGTAAAATTTATTTTTAGTATAATATAAAATGAAAAATAAGTGTTTGATTTGATGTTTTTTGGGAAAAAAATTAGATAAATAGTGTAAATCCAATTCAATCACCCAAACAAACAAACACTTTAGATTTTGTTTTTAATTTTAATTACAAAGAATGATGAAAACTATATAAAAAAGATTAATATCAAATTATAATTATACAAAATTTCTCGTTACTAAATTAATTTAAAGAAAAAAAAAAATTATAATTTAAATATATAAGGTGTGTTTAGTTTGATTTCAAATTGTTCATTTATACTAATATAAGTAAAAATATATTATTCAATATATTAAGATATTATTTTAAAAAAATATTTAATTTTGATTTTAAATTCAAATAACCATTGTTCAGTTTATATTATGATAAATAAAAATACATTATCATATCATGAAATACTTACTAGAATATTCTTTTAATATAATTGTGTGCTTATTTTATAATTCCTCCCTTCTTGATTTAAGAATTATACGATTAAAAAATAATTAAAAATATATTAGTAAAAATAATTATAAATTATAACAATAATTAATGTATGATTTCATGAATTTTAAAAATGCTAATTTTTATTATTTTCTTATTATTCTCCTTAAAAAAATATACACCATAAAAGACCATAGTCAATTATTATTATTAATTCAAAATTATCAAAATTAGAAATATAAGAATAAAATAATAGCAAAATCTAACCCACATGTTACAATTACCTTAGTTGAGTAATTCATTCCTTCTAGTAATATATTTGTGGTGAATAGTAATTTCACTTGAGTTTGTGCCTTAGCATCAGGTAGCACAAATTTTGCGTTAAGATAGCAAAATCTATTTTTTATTTAAATATTATATTAAAAACTTATTTTTAAAACAATACATAGTATATTCAAAATCGTATTTTCGATTAAAACCTGTTACATTCTCAAAAAAACTTCCACGAAACATATACAAACATGTGGTATAATCCATCCTCAGCATAATTTGTCGAGTAGCATTTTTCAAAATCAAGAAAAGCACCGCTGTGACTATCTCACCTAAAAACTTATAAGTAAACAAAAATTGGATCGAACCTGGCGGTCTGAGCCCGGGCAGAATTTGTGGGTATGGCTCGACAACAGTATACCTTTAGGACAGCATAGATAGCACTTGAATCCTGAGGATCATAACAACAAAAGCTAACGAGCCAAGTCAGCTAGCGAAGATGAAAGAGTTACTTGGAGATCGGTTTCGTGTTAATCAGAATCCGGATCTTCATCCACGATATCAGGGATTGATTCAATATCCGAGTCATCATCTGGTTTGACTCCCAACACCGTGCTTGTCTGCACGAGCGTTGCAGAAATTCTTTCGACTATAGTGTTCAATTTGTCGTCGTTGGGTTCTGATGCTTCCCGTTCTGGTGTAGCATTCATCTCTCGAAATTCTTTGTTCTCAACTGATGTAGATTTGATATTTCCTAGATCTGACACAAAAGGTGTAGAATTCATCTCTCGAAATCCTTTGTTCTCGACTGATGCAGTTTCGATATTTCCTCGTTCCGACACAATTGGTGCAATATCTTCCGCTATTCGCTGTCTTGTATTTCTAACCTGCGATTCGAGCATATGATCCTTGGTTGCATCGGTAAATTTGCTGTTAAGAACATTTGCTGACGTCGTAAGCCGGTTCTTTTCGGTCATGGGAATGGCAGAAGCAACATTAACACTCGGGAGTTCGGGAGCTCTTGCAGTAGCAGTAAGCCTTTCAGTATCGTCTGCAGTCTGCTGGGTCTCTGTCTCTTGATCTTCCATATCATCGTCATTTCCAAGCCAAGTTTCATTTAGGTTGTCTTCTTCTGATTCCGGCTCACCATTGCCTTTTCCCAGTTCTCCAAATTTGTATGTCGAAACTTGCCTGTCAGGCAACTTGTGACTTTGAAATTTATAACCATCTGAACTAGAATCCAGATCTAACGGAAGAGCCCTCGGGTGTATGAGAGCTTCCAAGGCAAGAAGCGCGTGCCTACAGTATTCAGCAAGTTTAGTGCCTGTAGCCTGCGCACCTGCAGAATGTATAAGCATTTAATTTCCAATGTAACAGTGTGAAGACAATTAAATGCAGCTTGTGTTAGAGATAAGGGATAATGTATTCATCGTATAATGACGGATAACCTCTTTGGAAAAGCTCTAGGCTTGGGCCTAGATGCGGTGGACGTACACGGTTGGGGCAGAGAATAGATGCCAAAAGCGTTCGCAAGGCAGCTAATTGAAAATCTTCCCACGTAAACGAAGGATCGCTTGAAAGAAGAAATCTTTCTTCCATGGAACATTCCCTTTTACAAGCATTTGTAGCCACACTAATGAGTAGCCGATCAACATTTCCTCGCCAGTTTTCAGCTCTTAAAGAACCACCCTGTAAACAGTTCAATATACCAAACATTTATATTAAACCAGGTGAGAATATGAAATGGCTACACTTACAGCAGATTAATCACAGGTATATCCATAAATCAGAGTTCTGCATAAAATGATATCGTAATAAAATTTATGAATTGAGCCATCTGAAATATACCACTGTCAGAAGTGCGTCTAATGCCTCCAAAGCAGCTATCCTCACAGATATTGGTGTAAGTTTACGTGCTGTTTCAACTTCCAAGGTATCAATAGCAGGTTGTTCTTGAATAGATTTTTCGGTGTTAGAATGCTTCCGTTTCTTCTGATGAGAACCTGTATGGACCTTTGAGTAGCTACTTGCACTTTTGCAATCCTTCTCACCTCCATGGACATCTAAATCAATAAACACATTGTTGACGATGGCCTGGCTCACATGCATCGTGATCCCTGCAAGAGACAAAAATAGGTTAATACAATGGCTTATTGAATCCACCATAAAGGGGTACAAATTATAGGAGTGGGACTATAATTTGTATTTCTATTCTAAAGGATAATTTAGTACCACACATTAAATAGAATATTATAATCCTATATATTGTATATTAATCACAAATTTAAGGATAAAAAGTAGTCTTAACCCAATAACATTTCTTCCCAACTTCTCAGATCGAAAGATTTAGATGCTAAAATTATAGTCATTTTGAATCCTCACACAAAATGCACGCACGTATGTAGTACGAAATACTATAAACACAAAATCCATCACACTTTTTAAAAAAAATTGGTTTAGAAATTAATAACAGAGATGATAAGTGAATATTCAAATACTTTGGATCCATACCAATGCCCATTGACATCAGCAAGACTTTCACAATCAAATATGATTTTCTCCTCAAATCCGGAACTTTGCTTCTCCTCAAGTATTCACTCAGCAGTTGCATAATGCTTGCAACATGTGGTAATGTTTGGCTGCAAGAAATTATTGGCCATTTTTAGAATCAAAACTATCAAAGATATGCATAGCAAAGCCAAAGCATTAATTGAAAAACAAATCAGATTCACCTGCCCAACCCCTCGATAACAGATGCAAGAATTTCCAGACTATGCAATTGAAGAAGTGGAATTTCTGAACAAATGAAATCATGATCCATTGTGGTCAAGAACTCATATGAGGATGGAAGCAAGGAACAGTCAATTAGCAGAGCTCTCTCAGCAAGGTATATTATAGCATGAATAGGAACAGAAACCTGCCATGTAATATTAAACTTATTTAGCATATTAAGCTATACACTTGTACGGTGAAATATGACTAGCAATGGGTAGACACTGTACCATAACAGGGTAAGTATTTGTGAGCAAGTTGCAACAGCATTGCATAAGAACAGAAATTCTAGACCCCAACAGCCGCTCGGGCCTCCTTGCTGAAAGATCTGAGATTTGTTCAAACACTGCTGGGCCTCCAAGTGGTGCTGGGGGTTCTTTTCCGGAAGGAAACAATGCTCTTGTAGTTTTAGAACTCCTAGCCTCTGCAAGTAAAAGAATGTTATGAGTCTCCCAGCAACATGGGCACTTTCAAAGAAAAACACTAGTCACACCTTCTTCTAGGCCATTTAAAATGGCAGTCAACAAATTGTTCATGCATAGCAATATCTTATCCATCAATAAGGACCAACTATCGGCATCTCCTCTTGATTTCGGAAGTAAGGACAAGCTGTAACCAAGCTTCTGTAAATGAAATTGAGCATTATTCATTAACTGAATACACAATAAATGCTAAAACATTGCAGAATTCTGCATTATTCATTAACTGAATACACAATAAATGCTAAAACATTGCAGAATTCTTACCTTAAACATGCTGCCACAGCCTTGGTCCAACAAAAGTCTTGAGGCAATAGCAACTTCAACCTGACAACGATCAATATGCTTTAGTACTTGTATGGTTGTGTTGACGGAAACTAATATAAATAATCATTGATTCACATTTAGCATATAAAACATCCAGTTGAAAAATCACATACTAAGATTATTCGCTTACACTATCATAATGCCGCTGGACAGATATTGGAAAGAGATTTATCAGGGTACATATCAGACAGACAGCTTCCTCCTGCAAATCAATCAGAGATGATTAAAAAATAATAATAATAACAACTTTGCATACATAGTCATCAGATATGGAAGGCTTAAAATAACGGAAAATAAACTTCATGAGATGAAACACAATAAGTGCATCTGCTTTGTGGTATATTCAAATGAGTTATCAAAATGTTTCAACGGTATATATATCTGGAGGTATATTAAATAGATACATGCAAATATAGCCCCGTATGTAATAATACAGTACAGCATCAGAGCAATAGTTTGATGAATTAAAAACAAACAAAAAAAAGCCTTGATATACTGACCAATACAATAGAAGATTTATCCTCATTTAGCAACTTCACTACTAGAGGAACAACTCTGGAGGCATGGGAAGTTGCATCCTTTTTCGCATTTGCAAAACCACTCAACCTAATACATATGACACGGGAAAAGGAATAAAATTTATTATTACGGTCCATTTGATATCTTGGTACATCTGTGGTGCTGAAAACAAGTAAAAATTATTGTATAATATGCACAAAAAGAAAATTTCAGTTGACAAGCTACAAAATCGAAAGACGATGACAACTTCACTAAGTCATTATATAAGCCATGGTTGCCAATATATGGGTGCATACAGAACAAGTTGTTTCAGACACGGGTTCAAGAAGATGATATAAATAACTTTGGAAACCTGCAAGTGAATTTGCATCGCCAAAAACTAAAACATGACTGAATAACCCATACGAAGTTACAAATTTACAGCTTCTCAACAAATATTCAGAAGATACATAGATTATTCACATATCCACATACCTGGTCAACAAATCCGATATTGTGGCACACGAGGCAACCTTCACAAAAGGAGATATTTCTGGAAGCTGAAAAGAGCAAAAAGGATGAAAGAAACATTGTTAAAGAAATATAACATTTGAGGCCACCACTTCTTGAAGTACAATTAAACCAATCTTGCAGCTTTACAATAATAATCTTCAGCCAACAAACTTGTAATGGCTTTCCTCACCCAAAAGAATTTCTTAAAATAGCTTAAAAGAACCTCAGAAACCTTCTGAAAAGATTTTCCAGAAAAGCTTTAAATAATTCTCAAGTTCTTTTATTTGATTGCAAGTTTGTGTAAACCAGCAATTGGCATTATTTATAGAATCAAATCAAAATATTGAAGATTGAAAACGCAACCATCCATCAACACCCAGCAAAAAATACCTGAATTTGTGATAGAAGTTTATTCAACCAAACATCGTATGAAGACACGAATCTCTCCGAACTGCATTCCAGACAGGTTATTCCAAGCAGACATATCCCAGCCCAGCACTTCTCTTGCTAAAAATCACACAAACACAGAATTCAAATATTGGAATTAATTGGCACGAACAGTGCCTGTATATGCAATCATAGCAACAATACGCACCAAATTACTTGATGCGAGAGTAAGCAATCTATTCATCCACGAATCAACAGCTAATTTCCAGGAATTCATCACATTATCGTCCGTGGGCTGCGGAGCCGATTCTGACAGCAAACTATGCGTCTTGATAACAGAAACAACAAACGACATATCCAAAGGGTTACTAAACGGGTGCTTGGCATCAGGAATGTAGTCTCGGAGAAGCGATCGGAGCAGCCTCGGCTTGCGAGCGACGTCGTGTAAGTCGTCCGACGCCATTGCAGCGGTGGCGTGGCTTCTCTTCTCGTCTCTTCGATTAAGGTGAAAGAGGGGTTTAGGGTTTAATGGTTTCAATTCGGTTTGCCTTAAGAGCCCGCCCCGAACAGACATTGTTCTAATAGGGTTCTTAGCTTCCTAAATTACTATTTTGTCCCTTACGACTTTCTTTAATAATAGTATTGGAGAAGGAATTTTTTTTTTTTTTTCTATTATCCATTTAAAAATAAGTGATAATTAATTTTATTTAAATATTTATATTTAAGGTTGTGATTGTTTAAGGTTTATTTAGATTAATTTAAAATATAAAAAAAAAAATAGAAGAGGTCAAATTTTGATTTTATATTTGAATAAATTTTTAAAAATATTTTCTTCAATATATAAAATATATAAAACGGAGTATATATTTGCAATAAGATTGAAAGTACAAGATTACCAACCGAACAGCCCAACCGCGTCGGCTCATCCGTGCGAGGCGAGATTCAGATGAACGAACCGATCCGCCGCCACCGGTCCGATTGTGCCAAATCAGCATTATTTTCTTCATTCTTTTCCATTATGCAATTCTTTTTCAATTCTTATTCCATTATTTATCCTTCAATTTCATTACTTTTGCAATTAATTTCAATGAATTTTCTATTTCTGCATGGATTTTTCCTCTTGCTTTGCCTTACTAGGTTAATTTTCATCACACCATACTCTATCATCCCCCGTCAATTTCAATGATTTTATATTAATTCTTTTGAAAATTTAACACGTAACTCCAAATTGTTTTTAAAGAAAGCCGAAGAACCCACCAAAAGCTTGACTGGCTCAATTAGCCAAACCATCGAATAATTATTTTCTACGATAACAGAATAGCACATCCAACGGTACACACTGTATGATTTAAATCAAAAACATTATTTAAATAAAAAATCCAAACCTCCAAACACAATCCAGACCTGAAAAAAATACGTGATTTTTAGGAGGTATTTTATATGGACTGTGAAAACAAAGAAGAATTCGTTAAATTCAAAGCCACATTTTCCTCAAAATGCCATTCTATTGATCCAACTTAAGAATACTTTCTCATCTTTAATCAAGATTGAGCATCCGAGCTTGCGAACCAAACTATAATTTGGGTCGACTCAGCTTGGTTGGTAGCAACGAGCACAAAACCAATGGAAGACATCGAATGAATGGCGTAGGCGCAGAAAAGCATCTAAAACACAGCATTAGAGAACGTAAAATCAAGGATTGGAACAGACCTGGAAAGCACAAAGAAACATAGGCGCGGTGAAACTGTAAATAGAAGCCTTAAGAAGCATTGGTGTGCGATTCCTGGCCCTCTTCGGCGGTCAAGTGGCTGTGCTTCTGCTCGCCCTCTTCTGCAGCAGCTTCAAATGTTTCACCAGGGACGAGCTCAGGAACCTCATCGTCGTCGTCCTGTGCTGCATTAGCCCCAGAACCTGTATTGCTGCCGGAAGCAGGTGATTGTTTCTGGAATTGCTCTGCCAATTTCTTCAAATTCTCGAGGTTATCCGGACCTGATGAGCATGTGCAGTAACCCTGACTGAATTACGATTTTCATATAAACAAGCTGAATGATTTGCGAGAGCAATGAAAAGCTGCACTCACCCAATTGGTTGATAATTTGGGGAAGAATGTCTTGTAATTCTGAAGACAAGCATGCAAATGATATGTTAGAAATATTGCTATCATTTTCTTTTTTTCAAATTTTAAAGAGAAGAAATAAAAATATAATTATCAAGTGAAAGTCTAAGATGGGCATTAAAGAAAGGAGCATACTCTTGTTCTGTGGAGTGCCACTGACGACCCAAGTGTTGGCTGCAATGGATGCTTGAACTGAAAAACAAAAAACAATCGAGTAAGAGATGGTAAAGGCAACCTATTCGACAATGTCAAGTTTCAGTTGGCACCTTTTGGGTTAGTGAACTGGATTACTACATCCTCCTTGAAGATATTGACTTCCTCGATTGCAGGAATGGCATTCACCCCAATTCTTTTAAGTGTGCTTTGAAGTCTCTTGTCATCTGTGGTAGTTGTCTTGTGTACAGCCTTCTTCTTTCTACAACAACAATCCAAGTAGAATAGTTTAGTTTTTCGAATTGGACTATGTTAAGTGTACACTAGAATACATAAAATAAAATTTGCCATATTATCAAAAGGCAAACCTCCTCACAGTGCCTTTCCCTCCGGTGCGAACCGAACCGGCCATCTTCTGTAATTTTTCCACATTCATCTGAAATTGAACAACATAGGAAGTTGAATTAAACTTCAAAGAGTATTTTTCTTGAGTTTTATCAAGTTTTTTTACTATTTGAACTTCACATTCACCGAAAAAAAATACATCTTTATCCTCTCATAAAACATCACATAAAAAGTCCTTTTGTAAGACCAAGCAGCAAGGATTACTAAATACAGATTCTTTAAAAGCTATCTTAAGCCATCCTAGTAGCAACAAAACTTCTCAAGTTGCTGTACCAAACAAATGGGGAAATTGAAGACCAAAATCTCTATGAGCATGATGCTTCACCCACTCCACTTAAACATAAAGAAATATGAAGGATTGGAAGGAACACATTGTAAATACATACTACCCAATTGCAAATCATAGGTATAGACAACAAAGCTAGCAATGTTGTTTAATCCTATCACAAAAATATCTTATTTGCAACTTTAACATTAGCAAAAACATCCTAAGGATAATGAAAATATAATTGACAAAAAGAACCACAAAACCCACAGCCCCAACCATATAAATTCCAGTTAATCGTTTCTTCTTCCAAAAATATAAAAATCGAGGGCTAAGATTTAGCTTTCAACAAATAATCCCACAGCCAAGAGCCAAATTCAAACTGAACTGAAAACCCTAATCAATAAATTACAAGACAATAATGCCAACAACAAAGATACACCAGAGTGCCAAAAGTTCAAAAGCATCAGTAATTATCAACTAGAAGTATATTAACAAATTACGACAATACAATCGAGCATCTACCAGATCCAACAATAAGCTCTACAAACAGAGGCATGTACCAAAAGAATTAGCCCCAAAATACTAAGCCTGACCGAAAAACCAAACAAGATTGTTAGAATCCACAATCGACGGAAGACGTGAACGATATAGTAATTACCCTTGCGAGCTGCGAAGCAGACGAGACGAAACGCCAATCGAGGGAGTGAAGGTCGAGTGGCTGCGAAGCAGGGAAAATGATTTGAAATGGATAGCTGAATGTAAACCCTAAATAAGGGGTAGTTTCGACATTTAACTTGTCTTTCAGTCGCACATCTTCAAATGATGCTATCTAAGAATTTGTGTTTTTAGATTTTTTTATTTCTTTTTATTATATAGATATAAAATCATTGTAATATAAAAAATAAGATATTAGATATTTTTTAAAATAAATAAAATATATATATATATATTATATTTTTATAATATTTATAAAAAATTATGCCATAAAAAATATGGGATAAACATATTCTAAATATGATAGAAGTGACCCATTATTTATATTTTAGATATTTTAATTTTTTTAAAACTAATTCTTATAAAAACATATTTTGAAATATAAATAAAATCTAGCACTTAAACAACAAATTGTTGGTGTGAATAACTAATTGTGTGTAAGTTTGAATTTTATATAATTAAAAAAAGAACTGAATAATTATATATATATATGTTCATATAAGTTTTATACATAAAATTATAAAAAAAAATAAATTCTATAACCATTAATATAATATCACACTATCAGTCACAATCCTATAACCATTAATGTCTTCTTTGTAAACCTTAACTGTGAGAAAAGCATCTCACGGAAAATGTAAAAATTACTTAACAAGATGGTCATATAAATTGCAAAAAATGGAGGTTAGAGATTCAGCTTTCTATAGACAAATACAAAGTACAGTGATATAAATATTGAAATGAAAACCTAATTAACAAATTCAAAATGCAGCGAGTCTGAAAAGATTTGAAAACATCAAATTTGGCATCTCAGAAAGAAGCAGACTAGCGAATTACGAGTATGAATCCAAAATTCGAGCCTCAATCAGATTCAACACTCAAATAGGATTACAGGCAGGTGCCATCATGTATCGAAAAAATTACCCCCAAATACCAACACTACTAATCAAAATACAAACAAGATTACTGGCATCCACATAAATACGAGTCGATTGAAGATGAAAAGAAGATAGCAATTACCTTGACGAGGTGAGAAACAAGCGAGGCACGTAGGCAGTGGAGAGTTCGTCGGAAGGGAAAATGTAAATGTTTGGATTGATAGCTAAATAAAAACCTTTAGATTCGGAGTAATTTTGTTCATGGGTAGTTTCGGCATTTCATTTGTCTGTTGGATTTTGTAGAATTCGGCCCGAAATCTACCATGAAAGTGTCTAAAGCCCTATCCCATCGGCTTCGTGTAAATCTGAAAGAAATTTATTTATTTTTAAAAGCCAAGTATTACTTCTCCTAATTATGACACTATTTTTTTTTTCATGAAATACATAGTGTGTGTTTGTTAAGTTTTGATTTTAAAAATCTTTTATTAATGTAAAATATAAAAAATATATAAATAATATAAAAATAATAAATATATTTAATATATTAATTTTTTTTAAAAATACATTAAATTATTTTTAAAATAAACAAACAAACACAAACATTCAAATCAACTCAGATTAACCTATACAATTTTTAATAAAAGTAATACTTCCTGGAAAGATATTTGGAATTTTTTAATAAATTAAAAAATAATATAAATATAATAATGAATATAAAAATATTTTTAATATTAATATCAACTTATTATTTTTTTATGTAATATTTAAATATTAATTATTATTAATAAATATAGTACAAATTAAAAAAAATAACAAAAATACTTCTATTAATGATATTTGTACAAAAATTATATAAATATAAAAATATTTTTAATATTAAACACAATGACAAAAAAATATAATTATAATTCTTAAAGACGAACATAAAAAATAATATTTTTAATTAATAAAATAAAAATTAACCTTTTTGTTTTTAAAACTTTTTTATTTAAAATAATTATATATATAATAATATATTTATAATATAAATAAAAATTAAAAATATTTTGATATTAGTAAATTATTACTTTTTCCCTTATAAATACTTTAAAATGAAATAGAAGTCAAAAAATGACAAAAAATACTTTGAATGGAATAATTTTTTTAAAAGAAAAAATCCAATCAAAATATTATTTGAAAGCAAAAAAAAAACTCTAATAAAAACCTCAAACTCAAGTAAAAACAAACCCTTTATTCAACTTTTTTTTTTTTTACTATTTAATATAAAAATATACTATTTCTTCTTACAAAACACCCCAAAAAAAAAAAAAAAGACCTAAAATACCACACACCAAAAATAATAGCAGATAAAATAAACCGGAAGCAATATTAATTTTGTAAAATAATTGTGTCTAAGAGCTCTCATTTTTTACTCTTCCAGGCGATCAAAAATAAAGAACACCCCTGCGCCATGGCTGGCAATAAAGCTCAACAAAACATCAATATAACAAATCAAAAAGGGGCCGAATCACTAAAAGCATTTACCAATTTTGTAAAGCATCACTAGATTTCTTGTTATGGTTCACAAAAGATGTAAAGTCGAGTATTGCAACAGACCTGAAAAGCATGAAGATAGAGAGACAAAGGCGACCCAAAATTGTAACAATGAAGCCTCAGGAAGCATGGTCGTGCGATTCATGCCCCTCCTCCACTGCCGAGTGGGTGTGCTTTGGCTCGCCCTCCTCTGCAGCAGCTTCAAATGTTTCTCCAGGGACAAGATCAGGAACCTCGTCGTCTTCTATAGTGTCCAGTGCCGAAGTAGCACCTGTATTACTTCCGGAAGCAGGGGCATGTTTCTGGAACTGTTCTGCCAATTTCTTCAAATTCTCGAGGTTATCCGGACCTGATGAGCATGTGTAATAACCCTGACTGAGTTACAATTTTCACATAAACAAGCTGAATGATTTTCGACGGCAATGAAAAGCTGCACTAACCCAATTGGTTGATAATTTGGGGAAGAATGTCTTGTAATTCTGAAGACAACCATACAAATGATATGTTAAAAATATGCTTATCATTTTCTTTCTACAAAATTTAAAGAAAATAAATAAAAACATAATTATCAAGAGAAAGTTTAAGATGGGCATTGAAAAAAGAGATCATACTCTTGTTCTGTGGAGTGCCACTTACGACCCAAGTGTTGGCTGCGATGGATGCTTGAACTGAAAAACAGATAACAATCGAGTAAGAGATGATAAAGGCAGCCTACTTGACATACTGAAGTTTCAGCTGGTACCTTTAGGGTTAGTGAACTGGATTACTACATCCTCTTTGAAGATATTGACTTCCTCGATTGCAGGAATGGCATTCACCCCAATTCTTTTCAGTGTGCTTTGAAGTCTCTTGTCATCTGTGGTAGTTGTCTTGTGTACAGCCTTCTTCTTTCTACAACAACAATCAACGTAGAATAATTTAGTTTTTCGAATTGGACCAGGTTAAGTGTAACAGGCACTTCTGTATGCACTTACTAATTTATTCGAGAGCACTACTTCTCAAAATTAACCTAGTGTACACTAGAATACATAAATAAAATTTTCCCTATTATCAAAAGGCAGACCTCCTCACAGTGCCTTTCCCACCGGTGCGAACCGAACCGGCCATCTTCTGTAATTTTTCCACATTCATCTGAAATTGAACAACATAGGAAGTTGAATTAAACTTCGAAGAGTTTTTTTCAAGCTTTTTTACTATTTGGACTTCACATTTACCGAAAAAAAATACATCTTCACCCTCTCATAAAACATCACATAAAAAGTCCTTTTGTATGACCAAGCAACAAGGATTACTAAATACAGATTCTTTAATAGCTATCTTATGTCATCCTAGTAGAAACAAAATATCTCGAATTGCTCTGCCTAACAAATCAACACCAAAATTGCTATGAGCATGGAACTTCACCCACTCCACTTAAACAAGAAGAAATATGCAGGGACTGGAAGGAACACATTGTAAATACATACTACCTATTTGGAAATCATAATTATAGACAACAAGGCTAGCAATGTTGTTTAATCTTATGACAATAATGTCTTATTGCAAACTTAAATAATGGCAAAAACATCCTAAGGATAATGAAAATATAATTGACAAAAAGAACCACAAAACCCACAGCCACAACCATATAAATTCCAAGTAAATATTTATTCTTCCAAAAACATAAAAATAAAAAAAGAGGGCTGAGATTCAGCTTGCAACAGATAATCACACAGCCAAGAGCCAAATTCAAACTAAAATGAAAACCCTAATCAATAAAAAAAACAAGACAAAACAATAGAGATACACCAGAATGCGAAAAGTTCAAAAGCATCAATAATTTTCTACTAGATGTATATTAACAAATTACGACAATATAATAGAGCATCTACCAGATCCAAGAAGAAGTTCTACAAACAGAGGCATGTACCAAAAGAATTAGCCCCAAAATACTAAGCCTGACCGAAATACAAACAAGATTGTTAGCATCCACAATCACCGTAAGACGTAAACGATACAGTAATTACCCTTGCGAGCTGCGAAGCAGACGAGACGAAACGCCAACCGAGGGAGTGAAGGTCGAGTGGCTGCGAAGCAGTGAAAAAGATTTTAAATGGATAGCTGAATGTAAACCCTAATATCAGGGGTATTTTCGACATTTAACTTGTCTTTCAGTCGCACATTTTCAAATGATGCTATATAAATATGAGAGAGGTTTTTTTATTTATATTTTGAGGAAAAAAAAATCAAAATAAGTCTTATTAAAATTAAAATTAATTAATTTTATTTTACTTTATATTAAAATTATTAACTTTAATTTCAATACGACATCTGATCGGGACCAATAAGTTCGTATTTAAGAAAATACAATCTTGTACAACATCCTAAAGGACTTTCGGATTAAATTCTGAATTTTCATTACACTATATAAAAAAAGTTTAGTAATGATAAATGGTCATATCTACTTGCGCAGTTCTTCAGGGAAGAAAGTTGAGATGAGAATAATAAAATAAGATTTTTTGTCCAATCTCAAATTTTTATCTAAAGATGTGACGATCATTTAAGACTTTTGTTTCTTCCTTGTAAAGTATAGCATTCTTGTTTGTTTCGCGTTTCTTTTCGAATATACTCTAGCTTTTAATGGCATTCAAGCATAGATTATTATGGATATTTTCAATGTTAACTCATTAATTGACTACACCGCCGTAGTCACGCCATTTCTAAAATTTTTAGGCTAGAGAAAGTAATAAGAGTGATTTTTGGATATTTTTAATATTAAATTGATGAAAATGATATAGAATTAAGGTAGCTATTGATGTTCGGCTATCTTGACACGTAGTCTGACATGTTCACATCAACCATTGTAATTAATTTTATAAAGATTGAACAAAAAATAATTAAAATTATTTATATTAAAATTAAAATAAAAAATAGTTTATAATAAGAATAGAAGAGTACTTCTTTTTCTTTTTTTCGTAAATACAAAAATTTAAATAAAATATATTTATAAGTAATTAATAAGGGTGTGTTTGTTTAGGGACTAGATTTACACTATTCATCCATATTTTTTTCTACAAAAAATATCAAATCAAACACTTATTTTTATTTTTTATATTATACTAAAAATTAATTTTACATTCAAAACATCACATCAACACCTATTTATATTAGATCATACAACTATTCAAATTAAAATTTTTATTATTCAAATCCCAACTTAAAATCCAAAACCCCAGACAAACACACCCAAAATATATTAATAAAAAATGAAACATAGTATAATTTAAAAGCTTCACAAAGTATGCGTATATCTAAATTAAACTACTTTATATTTTTTTTATATAACTTCATTAAAATTATATGGTATTAAAAATTTACTAAGATAAAGTAAATAAAAGCTCTACGAAGGACATACATATATGGTAATATATATATATATATATATCTTCTTAATTAGGTATTGAAAAATTTGAAAATGAAAATTGGAAAGTCAACAGAATGTTGAGCATCCTGGGACAACGGGAGAAACGTGAAGGTAGCAAAGCACAGACCGAACGAATCCGCAGGCCTCTCGAATCACGCCACGTGTCGCACATAGCTGCATCCACTCCATTTAAACCTTCGCGGCTTTTTTCCCCTCTCATTCTGTTAGCACAGAGCTGTTTGTGCTTCTCTCGTTCCATCGCTACCGGACCAGAACATTCCAAATTTTGTGAGATTTACCGATCGTTTTGCAGTTACTCGGCTTGTGTTTCCGTCGAATTTTTGCATGCATTCGTCCTGACGAAATTGGAATTTTCGCCTTCTGTGGTGATCAGGAAGGACAGGAGGATGACCGCAGGGCGGTTGAGAGGTTGTTGAGAGGACAACGGAATTCGCGCGGCTCGACTGACTGATTGAGCTGTTTAGGGCAATTGGTGAGTTGCGCATCGTAGAAGAGGACTAAGAAAGCGGAGGAGATGGCGGCAGCGGGGAGCCACGATCAGCCGACACTCTCACGGCGAGCCTCTCGCAGCGCCGCCATTACCGTGTTTTCCATGGAGGTGTTCGACAAGGAGGTAGTCCCTTCCTCCCTGCAGTCCATCGCCCCCATTCTCCGCGTCGCCAGCGAGATAGAGAACGAGCGTCCTCGCGTTGCATACCTCTGTACGTCACCATCCGTCTGTCGATTGATCTCCTTTTTCGTTCTCCGTACTTTGAACAGAAATGTCACCGAATTTATTATTGGATGAGTATGCTCGCTTTTCTCAAGTATTCGATAACATTGAGGTTTGAACGAAATTGTATTTTTGATTTAGGTCGGTTTTACGCATTTGAGAAGGCACATAGGTTGGATCCTAATTCCAGCGGCCGTGGTGTGCGGCAGTTTAAAACTAGTCTTCATCAAAGGCTAGAAAGGGTAATTATATGATATTAACAGTGTTTTAGCATATACAGCAGCGTACTTTAGCTTGAACAAAGAATTGTCAAATAGAGAGGATTAGATTGTTCCATGATGTTTCGATTCATCTGCATTGCAGACGTAAACTGTCATGTAGCATCAGGATAAAAATATTTTTTCTCATATACGTCTCTCATTCAGTTATTCGCTTCATATTTTTTACCGTTTTGTTTTTTTGATCTATTGATAATGATAACATTACTTCACGTTAAATAGTTAGTGTTGTGTACTTGTTGAGCATCTGGAGTTTTTTTTTACAATCCCGCACTGTGGAGGGTAGAAACTTGAAACATTCTGCAAAGCGATAGGACCTAGTTGTTTTCTCTCAATTTCAATAGTTTTCTTGGAGGTGAGTTAGAGATTAGCTGAAAGCAGCCACAACACCTAAAGCATTTGGTTTTGAGGCAGAGCTCCTGTTAGGAGGAGTCCATACTAATTTGATCCGCATAAGAGGGCAATATTAAGTATTAATTTAAAACAGAGATGAAATTTTCATTCCATGTAATGACTTGATCAAACTACACTTCACTGTAAAGCACATGAACCACAATGCAAGTATGCAATCTGTTTCTGTTTGGTATCTAGTTGATCTTCTTTTATTTGAATGAATGTAGAAACTTAATCCATATGTTGTGGTTCAGAATGATTTGGTTCCCTTGTCTTTTTTTTTTTTTAAAAAAAATAATAAATAAAATAAACAACACAGCTTCTGCCCTTTTAGTTTTTGCAGTGGTAGTACCCAGTATAACAAATGTTTGAGGCTATATGGATGGTTTAGGATACATGATTTCTTGCCATTTCCTTTCATATTAACAGTTAATAATTGTAATAAATTTGCATACAGGATAATCCAGTAACTCTTGCTGCTCGCGTCAAGAAGACTGATGCTCGAGAAATTGAGAGCTTCTACAAGCAATACTATGATAAATATGTCATGGCACTTAACAAGGGGGAGCAAGCTGATAGGTACTAACAGTTCTTTTGTCTTGCAGGAACTATATACATAGAATAGTGTAATTTCAGTAAAAGCATCTGAGCAAGGCTGATGGGGATTTGTAAAACTTGTGTGTCAGAGCTCAGCTTGGAAAAGCTTACCAGACAGCTGGAGTGCTGTTTGAAGTGCTTTGTGCTGTTCACAAGACTGAGAAAGTTGAGGAAGTTGCTCCAGAGGTTAGTTTTCACGTTACCTTATGCATGTTTTTATATGATAATCTGTAGCCCCTGCCTTTCTTCATGTCCAGCACATTTGGAGGTTGATATTGATGCCACACCATATTAAGTTTTCTGCATTTCACAGATTATGGCTGCAGCAAATGATGTCCAGGCTAAGAAGGAAATTTATGTTCCCTATAACATTCTACCTCTTGATTCTGCTGGGGCATCACAGTCCATAATGCAGTTTGAAGAGGTGATGCATATCCACCATGATGTTTCTATCCTAGGCCACATAATATTAAGACATTGCACCCTTTGCTGATACCAGGTTAAAGCAGCTGTGAATGCTTTAAAAAATACCCAAGGCTTATCATGGTCCACTTCATTTGAGCATCAAAGGCTAAAAGCTGGGGACTTGGATCTCCTTGATTGGCTGAGAGCCATGTTTGGGTTTCAGGTATGTTAATCTGTTCAATCAAACATAGAAACGATCAATTCATTCTTTTAAATAGTAATATTTAGCTGAATTATTTATGTTTTTGCAGAGGGACAATGTCAGGAACCAAAGAGAGCATCTGATACTACTTCTTGCAAATATTCATATAAGGCTAACCCCGAAGCCTGAGCCACAAAATATTGTATGTGCCTTTCTAGTAATTTATCATCAGGCTGGATGTAATGTATTTACCATCTCCTAAAGTTATTCATATGGAGCATTTAATATCCCATTATGTTTTCCATAGCAGTCTATAATTTTGGAGTCTGTTTTATCTTGAAATTTGTAAATCAGTTGACCAATAATATTGCCTCTTGTGCAGCGTTCCTTTGCCTGTAACTTCATTATATATATAATCCACATTTTCTGTATATCATGGTATTTCGATCTTGATTGTGTACTTTTCTGAGTAAATTATTTAACCTTGCATATGATTGTTAGCTTGACAATCGAGCTGTTGATGCACTCATGCATAAGCTTTTCAAGAACTACAAGACATGGTGTAAATACTTGGGAAGAAAACACAGCTTAAGGTAAAGTGATGGATTGTCCAGTAAAGAAATTTACGATGCTTACAGAAAAGTTGAATTTCCTGATTTAAACATTTGCACTCAGGCTCCCCAAAAGTCTGCCAGAGGCACAACAGAGAAAGATACTCTATATGGGTCTTTATCTTCTTATTTGGGGTGAAGCAGCTAACATTCGTTTCATGCCAGAGTGCCTATGCTATATCTTCCACAATGTGAGCAATCTAGTGTTTATCAAATTTGATATGAATGAACTTCCTTGATGTAAATAGTTGGAGTGAAATAAAAGAGCAACTTCAGAATCATTTTTGAAGCAGAACTGTTTGTACAGATGGCTTATGAACTCCATGGCCTCTTGGCGGGAAATGTTAGCATTGTCACAGGCGAAAACATCAAACCTTCTTATGGTGGGGATGATGAATCATTTTTGAGGAAAGTTATAACGCCAATTTATCGGGTGATTGAGAAGGTAATCCCTTGTTTGGGAGGATTGTGTTATTGTTGCAATGTGTTCCACTTCGTAGATAACAAAAGTGTACCTTTTCTTTGGCTCCAGGAAGCAAAAAAGAGTAAAAATGGGAAAGCCCCCCACACAAGTTGGTGCAACTATGATGATTTAAATGAATATTTCTGGTAATGTTTGAGATGAAAATTTTTTGACAGTTGTTGATATTAATTTCACTCTTTCGGCAACTTGGAATTTTATAAACTTTTACAGGTCATCGAGTTGTTTTCACTTGGGTTGGCCAATGCGCGATGATGCTGAATTTTTCACATCAACACGTGATACTGGACAGGTAAGGTTTGTGTCCTGGAGTGAATCTGTTTTAATGATTTAAAATGTAACTGCTTGCCTAATATGCTTATTACTCCAGAGGAAGAATCATACAGATACTTCTGGAAAGCTGGGGAAGTCTTTCTTTGCAGAAACTAGGTCATTTTGGCACATTTTCAGAAGTTTTGATCGTTTGTGGACATTTCTAATTCTTTCCCTTCAGGTACAAACTTAATTCATATTAAAAATGAATAATCCAGATTAATTATGCCCTATGCTGAATGTTGGGGTCGTTCTACTGCAGATTATGCTTATAATTGCATGGAACAATGTTTCTGTATTTGATATCTTCCAGAAGCATGTTTTATACGAGCTGTCTAGCATTTTTATCACTGCAGCCTTTCTTCGATTGCTTCAGAGTATGTGATGTTATCACTTATAGTTTATACTTTTCCATATACCAAAATTTTCTGGAAGAATATAACTTCAACTTTTGAATTATAACTAATACTCATAACATATTGACTAATCTCTTTTGAATTCCTTTAGGTATGTTGGACCTTGTTCTGAACTTTCCAGGCTATCTTAGATGGAAGTTCACTAGTGTTTTGAGGACTCTACTGAAGTTAATTGTTAACCTCGCCTGGAGCATCATCCTTCCCACATTTTATTTACTCCAACAAAATATTGAATTTGAACCACTGAATGATGTGCTGAAGTACCTAAATAATCTTAAGGGAGTACCACCTTTGTACATCCTAGCAGTAGTACTCTACCTGCTTCCAAATTTATTGACCGTATTCTTATTTGTCTTTCCCATGCTCCTACGTTGGATTGAGAATTCCAATTGGCTTATTGTTAGGTTTCTCTTATGGTGGTCACAGGTATATTTGTTATATCTTTTTCTTGTGTTCTTTAACTGCAAGCATCCAAATTATGTTTATAGGAGGGGAACATTCTATGATAGTTTAGCTGTTGCTTTCATTCTATTCGAAACATAGCATAATCCATGATATTGGTTTTGTCAATTAGTGGTGTTCTCTTTATCTAATTGATTTTGAACAATGTATTTGATCCCCATGAGGAGAAAATTTTGTCTCTGCAATTATTTTTCATTTTTCATATTAAATATTTCATTTCTTTTCACCGGGGACTCTGATTAGCTACACTGGTGTATATGTACGTCATACTAGGTAAAGGCATGCTTTAAGTTTCAGGATCTTAATTTCCATTATAGATGCGTCAGTTTTCCTGAGTTGTTTACGACCTTATTTTTCTGTTGAATGCTGTTAGATACAGTTCCTTATGTGATAAATAAGGGTAACCATTACATGAGATGACAAAATTGTCATTCTAAAGATAAGTGCTAACCTAGGTCTAACCCCTTTTCCTGATACGAACATCATACATCCACTTTCTTTTTTTTACAACATCATATATAAATGTATTTGTCCCTCTCTTTGGATATATTGAAATTTGAATCATTGCATTTGCTTTTTATATGTATTTGTCCCTTTTTTTGTTATAGTATACAACCTTTAATCTTTAACTGTTTCACTCATAAATTGTCAGCCAAGGATCTATGTTGGAAGGGGAATGCATGAAAGTCAATTTGCACTTCTACAGTATGTTTAGAGTTCTTCACTCCTTCAATATTTTTCTGGACACATAAAATACTGACTACTGATCTATGTTTTCATTGACAACAGATACACTGTATTCTGGGTGCTGCTTCTGTGTACAAAGTTTTCATTCAGCTACTTTATGATGGTAGGTACACTTCACCATTTGGCCAATTAACTATAAAAATGCTGCCATTGAATTTTTTCTCTCATTTTGCGTTCTTTTTATTCAGATAAAACCTCTGGTGTCACCTACCAAAGATATAATGCACATTAAACATATTGACTATGCTTGGCATGAGTTCTTTCCAAATGGTATGTGTTTGATTATTCTGAGTTTTTTTTTGCCAGCCCCTTCTCGACTTTTATGTATTGGTGTTGTCTTATACCAAATGCAGCTAAGTCCAACATGGGTGCTGTCATTGCGCTATGGGCACCAGTTATCTTGGTGTGCTTTTAAAATCCTCATCATTATAGTTTACTACTATAGTTTCTTATATGTAATTTTCTTCTCAGTTTTAACAAGAAATAATTTTCATGGTTTGATGTTTTTTTATAGTGTCTGATGTTTTGCTTGCAGGTGTACTTCATGGACATCCAGATTTGGTATGCTGTATTTTCCACTGTGTATGGAGGGTTTATTGGGGCCTTTGACCGTCTGGGTGAGGTAGCATCAGCTCTTAAATTGAACAAATTAATTTTATCTTCTTGCAATAAGAAAATTTTCTCCTTCATCATCACTGTTAGCTTGGTATATGAGCTTCTGCTGAGTTTCTGATATCTTGCATACAAACCAACTATAGTTCAGGAAAAACAATTTGAATATGAATGTCATCTTTATATAAATAATTGCAAACTGAATGTTAGAGAATATCATCGTAAGAAGCTTCACCTTACTTCTAGATTTCTAGCATGGTTTTCCATACAATCGAGGCACAGTAAATCTTTATATATATTGTAACAGTGGTTGTTTATCTTCTAAATATGGTCTTTGATACAAAAATGTGCGTAATGTAGTTGAGTTGGGAGATCACACCATGTTGTATTTTAGTTTGAAAAATAACTTAATGTTTCCAGAAACTAGTTCCTCTGTTCTCTCTGGCTTCAATATTGATTTTCCTCTCCACAGATTCGAACTCTTGGAATGCTAAGGTCACGTTTTCAATCTTTACCTGGTGCATTCAATACACACTTGGTGCCTTCTGACAAACCTAAACCGAAAGTGTTTTCTCTTACAAAGGCCTTTCATAAGGTTCCAATTTTTGCAATAAATATGTTTCATGTCCTCAATTCATATTTACTTCATCTTATTTGAATGTTCCCTGTTCTTTCCACATTCAGCCCACTGCAAATAAAAGAGGCGAAGCTGCTAAATTTTCCCAGCTGTGGAATGATGTTATTTGCAGTTTCCGTGAAGAAGATGTAATAAGTGACAGGTAAAACCACTGAAAATCCATCTCTTAAGTCATGCCATATTTTCCTAGCCTATTGACGTTGATCACATTGGAACTTATCTAATTATTTAACTCAGGGAGATGGACCTGCTTCTTGTTCCTCATTCCTCTGACCCTACCTTGAAAATAATTCAATGGCCTCCTTTTTTGCTTGCCGGCAAGGTATCACAGATCTTCTGAGTTGTTGCCATGCCAATATTGTTGTTTGATTCTGTATCTTTGCAGATTCCAATTGCATTGGATATTGCAGTTCAAGTACGATCTAAGGATTCTGATCTTTGGAAGCGTGTATGTGCTGATGAATGCATGAAATGTGCTGTAATTGAATGCTACGAGTCTTTTAAAACTGTTCTGAATGCCTTGATCGTTGGAGAGACTGAGAAAAGGTTACCATTTTGAGCTCATTATTTAGAATAGCACATGCTGCATTATCTTATGCAATATATTAACCATGGAAGATAATCAGAAAAATTTGATTAAATTTGCTCTGAGAGAGGGAGGAACTGATTTATCATGTATATTTGCTGATTCAATAGACCAGGCATATCTGATTACTTGTATCATTTAGTCATAAGCCTGAGCGTTTCTATGCAGTTTGAGGTATCCCTTTTTTTTTTTTGTTCTCTAGTCAATCAACTTCTTTTCTATATTCCTGCAACTGAAATTGACGTCTTCCCATAATTTATGTACCCATAATTTATGTAGAAAATTTATGAGCAGTCTCCTGTCTTACATTTTTCAATGTAACATAACATTTTTTAATGTTTATTTATTCATTATCTCAGTTTTTGTGATTAGAGTCGCTTAGCTATTTCGTATGTGCATTTTGTACAAGCTATTAGCAGATCTTATACATTTTCTTTTAACAGCTATCATAAAATCTCTCAGTTAGTTGAAGTCGGTGTAAAGACTTGGAATTCTCAAGGTGCTGTTGGTTCTAACAACTGGTTTTCTGGAACAGGATAATGGGAATTATCATTAAAGAAACTGAAAGTAGTATATCAAGGAACAATTTCCTTGCTAATTTCAGAATGAAACGTCTGCCTGATCTTTGCAAGATTTTTGTGGAAATTGTAGAGATATTGGTAAGTCAGTCGGTAGGTTTTTTTTTTTTTTTCCTTTTTAAATTTTAAATTTTTGTTATTGGCTGTCTTTGATGTTTGTGAATTTTTTTTTTACATTTTGTGTTTTAGAAAGACAGTCAACCTTCCCAGAAGGACAGACTTGTTCTGCTTCTGCAAGATATGTTAGAAGTAATCACTCGGGACATGATGGTTAATGAAAACCGGTTAGTAGATATTGCAGTATTTGATGCTATATATAATATATTCAGCGATCACCAGTATATTTATCTTATAATTGGTTTAACATTACAAAGTTTGATCTTTCATTGAATGCAGTGAACTTGCTGAACTTAGTCAAGGTAGCAAGGATTCTGGAAAACAACTTTTTGCCAATATCACTTTGCCTCTCCCTAATACACCACAATGGGAAGAACAGGTTCATTAAATTGTGTTATCCACCACTGAATTCTTAATCATCCAAATATGTTACTTCTAGATGGTGATTAAAAAAAGCTCCACTTAATTGTCTGTTTTATAGATTCGACGCCTCTATTTGCTTCTAACTGTTAAAGAATCTGCAACTGATGTTCCAACGAACCTTGAAGCACGTCGAAGGATAGCATTTTTCTCCAATTCGCTATTCATGAACATGCCACGTGCACCCCGAGTGCGAAAAATGCTATCATTCAGGTACAATAATATTATTTAATTTTCCTGAATTATTTTTGTATGTGAGTTATTACAACCTGCTGTAAGTTCATGATGAGTGGTTATAAGTCGGCAGTTACTTAACAATGTTGATGCAGATATATATTGTTGCTTATCATTTCTATATGTTATGATGCAATTTGCTTGGTAATCAACTTCATTGCTGTAGTTACTGCTCAAATAAAATAATGAGAATTGTAATGTTAAAGTACTACCTTAGGTGATTGCTTGCCATCTTCCTTGACACATTCTAAACAATGTTAAACTTCTTGATGATTTCAATTGGGTTGGCAGTGTGTTTACTCCATATTACAGTGAGGAGACTCTCTACTCCAACAGTGATCTTAAAATGGAAAATGAAGATGGTATTTCTATCATATTTTACCTTCAAAAGATTTATCCAGGTCTGCTTGATCTTCCCATCTCAAAGTTTTTGCAATGTGGTGCTTATCTCATGTTATTATACTAATCACTTTATCTATGGGCAATTATATAAAAAATTTCATCCAGATGAATGGAACAATTTCCTGGAGCGTATAAATTGCGAAGAAAATGAACTTTGGGAAAATGAAGAAACCATACTGCAAGTACGCCATTGGGCTTCCTTGAGAGGGCAGACACTTAGCAGAACAGGTTTGCTGAGTTCTTCTCACACTTTATCCTCATTCTTCCTTTATGACTATGTGGGTTGGAACTGACTATCTTTGTTATGCAGTCAGAGGGATGATGTACTATAGAAGGGCTTTGAAGCTCCAGGCTTTTCTTGATATGGCTTCAGAAGAGGGTAAGAGAAACCTTATCACATTGTCAGAGGGTCAATTGTTAACTATAAGAAAGATTTTGGAGTAATAGGAATTCGGAAAAGTTCATCTATACTAATGTCATGGAAAGGTGAAGTAAACTGAATAATTTGTCTTCCATTAATTTTTGGAGCCTTCCAAAAGTTAATAAATAGAATGTCTGGTTGACTGCTTCTACTTGTAATATTTGGAGTTCAGCATCAGAATATATGAGAAGAAATGTAGCTCTGTTTCTGATAAGTTTGCCTAAAATAAACAGATATACTTAAAGGTTATAGAAGTATTTCAGAACCATCAGAAGAAGATAGAAAGAGTCAAAGGTCCACACATTCTCAATTAGAGGCAATAGCTGACATGAAATTCACGTATGTTGCTACCTGCCAAATTTATGGGAATCAGAAACGAAGTGGAGATCGCCGTGCAACTGACATCTTAAATCTCATGGTCAAGTAAGTTGTACAATCTTGTCAATATATAAAATGATTCTGTACTCTGTAGTAGAATTTCAATTTATGCTCTTTTTTTCATTCTCCTTGTATGCAGCAACCCATCTCTTCGTGTAGCATATATAGACGAAGTTGAGGAAAGGGAAGGTGGTAAAAATCAGAAGGTCTATTACTCTGTGTTGGTAAAAGGCATTGATAATCATGATCAGGTAAACAATATCTTTCAGCTCCAATAGAATAGCAAATTAAGTTGGTTTCAACTCGGGGATGATTCACTATTACTTTTTCTGTCTAAAGGAAATCTATCGTATCAAGTTGCCTGGTCCAGCAAAATTAGGAGAAGGGAAGCCTGAAAATCAAAACCATGCTATTATTTTTACACGTGGCGAAGCTGTACAGACCATTGATATGAACCAGGTATAGTCAACGAGTTGTGTCAGAAAATTCTCAAATACATATTTTTCTTGAGATCTGATCATAAATCACTTGTTTTTCTTCTGTAGGATAACTATTTGGAAGAAGCCTTTAAAATGCGCAACCTACTTGAAGAGTTCAATGAGGATCACGGGGTGCGACCACCTACAATTCTTGGTATTCGTGAGCACATTTTCACTGGAAGGTAGGACATAGTTGTTATTTTCTCTCAGTTTTTATGGTTTTATGCTGTAGTTCTGACTGTTCATCCTCTATTTCAGTGTATCTTCATTGGCTTGGTTTATGTCAAATCAAGAAACAAGCTTTGTCACCATTGGACAAAGAGTTCTAGCAAGGCCTTTGAAGTATGATCTTTCTTTTTCCAAATGCATCACTGAAAATTATAATTTTCTCTATGCTTGTCTTTACTAGATAATGAAAAGAAATGTTACTAGATATAATGCTCTTTAATTCAACAACTTCAGTATTTCTTGGTTTGGATGATGGCATCATGACTACATCAAATACAGGAGATTTTATTTTTAGTTAGGACCTCGATTTCCTAGATACATTGCATAAACTGATGATACCCTCTAATTTTACCAGCTTCCAACAAAGAAAGAGAGCAATAATATCATCTGACTTTTGCGTAGAATAACTTGTTTGCCTCCCCCCTCATTATATTATCAGCCAGAGAATGAATGATACTATCAGCTGACAATTTCTTAGCATGGCTACACATTATCACACACAACTGTTTAATATGCTATTGATGCTTCTGGACTTGAACCTTATGTTTGATTCCTTCTCCTATGATTGATGTCACATAGGGTGCGCTTCCACTACGGGCATCCTGATGTATTTGATAGAATTTTCCACATTACACGTGGTGGCCTCAGCAAAGCGTCTCGGGGGATTAATCTTAGTGAGGATATATTTGCAGGTAAGATCTTGAACCATATTCCTTAATAATATTTCTGATGTACATGAGTTCTAAGACATCTTTACTGTATGAAGGTTTCAATTCAACTCTAAGACAAGGGAATATTACCCACCATGAATATATTCAAGTTGGGAAGGGGCGAGATGTTGGTCTCAACCAAATATCACTTTTTGAAGCCAAAGTAGCATGCGGCAATGGGGAACAGACGCTCAGTCGTGATATCTACAGATTGGGGCACCGCTTTGACTTTTTCCGCATGTTATCATGTTACTATACAACAACAGGGTTCTATGTGAGCTCAATGGTAATATCTTCACTTATTGATCACAATATTATAGAATTTAAACTAGAGTTTTGACATATAATTATAGCTTACTTACTGCTGATGACTTTTTACTTTTGGAGAAACAAAACCATCCTTTTGCATTTTTCCTGAAGGCAAGGAAAAAAACATCGAATTTATTATGCTGCTACAATTCACATTAAGTCAATAATTTGTGCACTTACATAGTTTATTTTATTAGTGGTTTGAAGAGTAGATGAGGTTCTTTCTACAGTTATTTCTATTTTTATAAATTATATTGTTGTGAAAATAGTTATTTTAGAACAATTTCAATACTTGGACAAATTATTTTATTTTATTTTAGTTTAAATATATATTTGACTGAGATGAGTGTTCCTCCATGCCAATGCAGATGGTGGTCCTTGTAGTGTATGCATACTTGTATGGAAGGCTTTATCTTAGTCTTAGTGGAGTGGAGAAGGCTATAGCACGGTATGCAGCCACGAGAGGAAACAATCCTCTCACCACTGTCATGGCAACGCAATCGCTCGTTCAATTAGGCTTGTTGACGGCATTGCCCATGATCATGCAAATTGGACTTGAGAGGGGCTTTAGGAGTGCAACCGGAGATTTGATAATCATGCAGCTTCAACTTGCATCTGTCTTCTTTACTTTCTCCCTCGGGACAAAACTCCACTACTTTGGGAGAACAATTCTACATGGTGGAGCTCAGTACAGAGCCACAGGGCGTGGTTTCGTCGTGAGACATGAAAAGTTTGCTGAGAACTACAGGCTGTACTCAAGAAGCCATTTTACCAAAGCTCTAGAATTAACAGTCTTGCTCATAGTATATGAAATTTATAACTCGTTCGCTTCAGATTCCGTAGGCTACCTTTTCATCACTTTCTCAATATGGTTTCTGGTGGTTTCCTGGTTGTTTGCTCCATTTCTCTTTAATCCCTCTGGATTTGAATGGCAAAAGATCGTGGAAGACTTTGACGACTGGGCTAAGTGGATGAATGCTCGCGGTGGAATCGGTGTTCCAGCAACTAAGAGTTGGGAATCCTGGTGGGAGGAAGAGCAAGTACACCTCCAATCCACAGGATTCCTCGGGCGCTTCTTGGAAGTTATCCTCGCTCTTCGATTCTTTGTGTATCAGTATGGCATTGTTTATCAACTACATGTTACTCAGAATGACAAGAGTCTTGGGGTGGGTATCATGATTTGCTTGTTTAATTTACTTGAATGTCTTTGTTGTTCTTCTAATCCTCCACTGTGTTTTCCAGGTATATGGCTTGTCGTGGCTGGTCATAGTTGCCGTCGTAATCATGTTGAAGGTCAGTGACTATGTACAAGCACTTTTATTCTGTTCTAGCAGAAATATATCCCCATGAATCGCCCGCCCTATATTGTTGAAGCTCATGTATGGTTACTAAAAACAATCAAACCATTGCCTGCAGATTGTGTCCATGGGAAGGAAGAAGTTCAGTGCTGATTTCCAGCTGGTTTTCCGACTTCTGAAGCTGTTTATGTTCATTGCTTCCATGGTCACACTCTTCATCTTCATGAAATTCCTCGACCTCACGGTCGAAGATATCTTCATTAGCCTATTAGGCTTCTTGCTAACGGGATGGGCTCTTATTCAGGTAAAAACACAATGCTTTGGAAGTTTAGACAGATTTTTTGAACTTTTGGAAAATCTTGCGAATAATATAAAGTCAAAAAGAAAATCGAAAATATATACATGTAAAATTGTTTCTCGTAGAGCAATCTGTTCACACACATACCATACCGTTTTCAATGATGTTTCATTTAGAGCTCGTCTTATTCGCAACGACGCAGATAGCACAAGCATGCAGACCAGTTGCAAAGGCAACGGGATTATGGGGATCTGTTAAAGCTCTAGCAAGGGGGTACGAATACCTTATGTGCTTGACAATCTTTGCACCGGTGGCGATCTTCGCCTGGTTCCCGTTTGTCACGGATTTCCAAACGAGGCTGCTCTTCAACCAGGCGTTCAGCAGAGGCTTGCATATTCAGCGCATCCTCGCTGGTGGAAAGAAACACAAATGAGGTAACCTAACCTAACCTCCCTCCTCAATAGTAGTTGATATATTTTGTGTGCGCCTTAGCCTTATATAGGTAGAATGTGTCGTAGGAATGCATGCATGCTCTACACAAGCACACTCTACAAACTCCATCTTTGTTTACTACCATTGTTCTTCGATCACACTAGATGAGCGAGAGAGGGCACATATACATAGACGATAGATATAAATACATATATAGATACATACCTATCTGAGAGGCGATCGAAGACATAATAAGTGTGTGTATAGATGCGATCGGGCTTATGGTGAGGTGAGAAACTCAGAATATTGGTTGATCCTTTGTTTGCTTTGGTGTTTAGTGAAATGGCATGATGTTAGCTTCATTTTTCAAGTATATGGATTAGTTGAATGATAGATATGTCATGTTACACTGCCCTTTCCACAAATGTAATTCCAATTCAGCAAACCTCTTAACTACTCTCTATCCATCTATCTATCTACTTCACCATTACAAGACTAAAAGAATTAGAGCTTACATATATATATTTGTGTCTGTTTTAGGGTGCTCTTAATTCTTATTATGTGTTTTTGAGATATTGTGGCTCTGTTTATTGGTAATCTCATTTCAGTTTGTTTAAAGGACAAGTCCCACTATAAAAATACTATATCTAAATATATGTTTTTGAATTAAATTACCAAATCAAACTCCAAATAAACCCTTTCTGCTGTTAAAACATATTTTAAGTGAACCTCACTTATTTAAATGAGGTCTACCCTATTAATACTTTTAATATTTAATTAATAAATGAAATTCATCATCATTGATGCTATAATCATATATAATTATAATTATGAATGGCAAAAACCTATAATCTAAAAACGAAAAATGGAAATCACTCAAATTAAGTAAACGAAGAAATCAAAACACACACAACACACAGAATAACATCAAACGTAGAACACAAAACCCAGACTATCAGAAACACACAAAGATTCAATTTTTCGAATGCATAAACATGAACACCACAGAATAGCCTAAGATCCACACTACATTACCAATTGCACAAGCAGTGGAACCCCAAACACCCTAAAAAAAACACAAAATTTTACATTACTTAATCTACGTTATTCGATCGTCACGGCGAGCCCGTCGAACAAATGGGCTCAAGCACAGAAAACACGAGATGAGAAAAGGTCGAGCCGAGCCGTGTCTCACCTGGATTCGATTGCGAAAGTTTCCGAACCCCTCAGAAACGATCTGCGCCACCATATTTGGAACGCCTTGCTGAGGTTCGGACATTCGGTTCCGCCTTTAGAGAAACAATAGAACCAATCCATGAACAACGAGTATTGCTCCTTTAACGGAAGCGTAAGCAGCGCTTGTCCCATGGCCTCCTCCAACGCCCGTATGTCGAGCCCCTTTTTGCACCTCTGCAACCACCCGAAGTCTGACAGCATCGGCTTGAACCAAGCCTGGAGAAGCCGCAGCCTCATCTCTGACGGGCAGTGGAGTTTCCGAGTGCCCACTGCAATAAACAGCATTGCCGAGACACGGCTAAGCTCGTACCTAACCATTGGCGATGCGTCTTCATGCATTTTGATCAGTTCGTCTTGATTCGCCCACAGATCTGCAAACTCGCCCGCCATCTGGTGATCAAGCAAGATATCCAGTAGCCAATTCAAGTTGTCGACCTGTTTCGAGATGCATTCCAGCGCGGGTTTATCGTTCGTCGAATTGGATGTTCGCCCGGCGTCAATACCGCACGCCTTTTCTAATAGATGGCTGAGGATGCTGAGACATGACTTGCAAACGGCGTATATATCGTCCTTGTTGAGCTCCGGGCAGTCCTTTTCGTATACCGAGCTTTTGCATAGAAGGTCTTTAACCAAAGACTTGAGTTCATTCCTAGCCGTGGCGTCAGTGCAAGTCGTGATGGAACAAATTAGCTGCTTGGTAAGCAATCTTTGGGAATCGACGGAATTAGGACTGCTAAATCTGTCCAAGATGTTGTTCGTCGCTTGATACTCGTCGATATTGAGTTTCCCGAACAATTCGCTCAGTTTCTCCTCTTCTTCTTCGGTCCACGGCACTGCCTCAAGATACTTTAAACACGACGAGATGCCTCTTTCAAACTTGATCCCAGCCGACACCTGAAAAACATCAGAACAAGCAACAAGAAGTCATTTCCGAATCTAGTATCGACATTATGGTAGTGTTTCTTTTCGTTTTTTACTATTTGAACTCAAAAAAAGCAATATTTAAATAAAAAACCCAAATCAGACTGAAAAGAAACAGACCGTTCTTGACAAGAAACAACCTCGGTCGCACGATAGTAAAATACTCTTCTTTTGTTCGATTTTAATCAGTATGAAATTGAGCTCACCATCAACACCACCATTTTCCATATCTTCTTAAATGTAAATAATTTTCACAATTGCTGAAATATGAAGTGGGATAGCTCCATTCGAAGTTAAGAACTTTTGCTAGCACAAAAAATATGGAACACCCGAAAAATGGAAGCCAAAGAACCTCGACAACAATCTAATGTGAATATGAAGTAACAATACTAGGCAAAAGAAAGTTGAATACAAACTACATCAATCACGCTCGTGTTGAAGAAAAATAAAAAACATGATTATTTATAACGAGAAAGCGCCAACACAACCAAATCTATTCGATGCCTAAATTTCTCCCAATGTTTAGCATTTCAAGTAGCGCACAACACAATTAGTTGAGACTTGAGAGTTATGTTGCTTGTATTCCGATCATAAACAAGAAAAATGAATCACAACCCAAAAACCATCAACTAAGCTCATAAACGAGCAAAATCACAATCCAAAAACCATTTACGATGCTCAGAAACAAGCAAAATCACAATCCAAAAACCATTTACGATGCTCAGAAACAAGCAAAATCACAATCCAAAAACCATTTACGATGCTCATAAACAAGCAAAATCACAATCCAAAAATCATCATCTGACATATTTTCCACACCTCTACCATTACAACCGAACAATCAATAATAGCTCCTGTTCAATAATAGTAATTCAGCTAGCATTACCTAGACAAAGAAAATTTCGAAATCATAACATCGAAGAAGAAGACATTAAACTGAAATCCAAGAATGAAACATCCCATAGCAGCTGCTTATCCATTTATATTATTCCAAGAATGAATTTGGCAAAGTAAAAAATTCAAGAAACACAGCTAATTCATTCATTGATTGATTAAGTTAAAAACAACATAATGATGGTTATGAAGAAAGAAAGAAAATCAGTTAAGGAAAATACCTCAAGAATGTCGATAGCTCGGAAAACCCCAATTTGGAGAAGCTTGGGCTGAATATCCTCCTCGAACATGAGCTCAATCGTCTCGCGGAAAACATTCAAGTTCTCGACGTAAGGAACTTCAATCCGACACAAGCTGCCGCCGCTCAGATTCCTGCGATAATCAGAGATCAAATTCGCGAAGACAGGGCTATTCGCGGTCAATACCTCCGAACCAAGCTCCAGGACCAAGGATCCGCCATTTTTCCCCTTCAGACTCAGCCTCACGTCGTAAATCCCCAAATTGGAACTATCTCCGGCGGCGATTTCCGAATCGGCGGCGGCGGCGGACTTTGGGAGCGTTTCGGCGAGAGGAGCGGCGGAGGGGATCAATTGGTGGTCGGTGATTGGGGAGACCCGACCCGGAGAGAGGATCCGGCGGGCTAGGGCGAGTTTTTGGTGTTGTGTTTGAGGAGACGCCGCCGGAATGGTTTTTTTATTGCAGGAGGAGGAGGCGTAGGAGCGGACGGAGTTGGCATTGTCCGGGCTGAGAGGCGGCGTCGTGAAGGAGCAGCACCAGCGGCGGCGGCGGTGGTGGTGATGGTGGTGCCGCGGTGGCTTAGAGGCGTGCATTTGCGGCGATCTGTGCGGGGAAGATTGAAACCGCCGATTTGGGGAAGGGATCAGAAGAAGGATGGGATTAATGGAATCATGGCGTGGAAGGAATTAATTAATTAATCGATTGGATACGATATCACATATGATACGATGAGGAAAAGGGGAAATCAAGAAATGAAAGAAGTGAGCTAAGGTTAGGGTGAGTGAGAGAGAGAGAGAGAGAGTGTGTGTGTGTGTGTGTGTTGGGGAAAAGAACGAATTTGTGAGTGAAGTGAAGGGCTGAAGGCTGTTCTGTTCTGTTGGTGAGCTGGAAGATGCACTCTCTCTCTCTCCTTACTTTTTCTCTCACCACCTTTTTCTTTTTAATTTATTTATTATTTTTCTCCTTCAAAACAATCAGATTACAATCGTATTTGTATTAAGGTGAAAATAATTGTATTGTATTGATAATATTTTATACTATTAAATACTAATTTTTATGAAAAAATAAAATACATATTATATGTGAGAATTTTTTTATTGGGAAACAAGACCATATATAATATTTTAAGAAGATATAAAAGGGTGTGTTCTGTTTATTGTTTTAATTTAAAATGTTTTTTTAGTTGTAATATGAAATTTTAGATTAATGATATAAAAATATTAATTTTTATGTGAGAATATAATATATGTACTCCATTTATATCACGTAGATGTATATAGCCAAAATACATATAAACACAGCAAGATACCCACATAACAAATATACCAACAGTGAGTGTAAAATATACTGAATTTGTTTGTTTGGTATTTTCTTATACAAAAGTATGTAAATAATAATATATTTTCAATACACTAATAATAAATACCATATAAATAGACCTAAAACTTTAGACAATACAAACAATCACAAAAATATGTATGACATAATTTTCAAAATTATTTCTTTAAACAAATTCAAACAAGATTTTTGACCAAATCCGGGCATAAAAATTTAAAACTCAATAAACTTTCAAGCCCAAACCCATCCCTAAAATTCTTGCATTTTCAAACAACAAAAAAGTAAATAGATAGATGAAAACTGTGTAGGTAGTTCACATAGATTGGTTCAAGAATACTAATAAGTTGAAGATTGTCGATGATCCCATAGCCAACAAAACAACAAACATCATCCTTACCCAAATCAAGAAATGCTGGTAAAACAAGACAGAAACTAACCAAGGATCGAATAAATTGCACCAACTGCTGCCCGACGACTCCGCCCATCATGAATAACAAAGCTTCGTTAGTGCATTCACCAGCTCTGTGAGTCACCTCAGCCTTGGTATGCATGGGAGAGCCACCACAATTACACAAATACCAACAACGAGCAGCAGCTCTAATAGGTGCGCGAGCTGGATCCCAATCTCTAGACTCTACTCTCACTCCTGGAATAAACACAAACATCATATCATGAGTGAGGCAGATCACGACGACGACTACTGCTGCTGCAAAAGAGAAAATGTCATCTCATAAATTTAAAAACCAGGAATACGAAACAAACTAATTTTTTTTGTGCCAGAAGCAGACCACGTTCGAATCAGAAGCCATGTAGAATCCCATTTCCACAAGGCACCAAATGTGATGCACCTTATAGATACACAAAAAACAAGGGTCCGAAATGATATAGGACTTTTGTGTTTCTGTTTTTCCAGGGGGTGTTGGTAGGGGCGTACGTTCTTAGAGAAGAACAAGGTCGGATCAGTAGCCATTGCAGAATTCTGTTTCCACAAGGTATGTGCGGTCCAGAAGGCAATTTTCCGAGTCAGACAGTTCATTATATATATGTAACTGAAGTAAATGCGAGCCCTCGTTCCAAAACCAGAAATATCAGTGGTTATCAGCACATCTACCTATTTCAGCGTCTTTGGAGAACTTGCCTGGTTGCTCGTCAGAGACATGTTGTGAAGCGTCTGATCCATTGTGAAACTGGTAGTTGAACTGCAAATCATGGTTACACCTTAATGAGTTAGTAACCCGAGAAATAAATAAGCAGAGTATTGTTAGGAAATCTAGTACTAATTCAAACATGGCCTAACCATCTGATATGCGCCCGTAAAATTGCTGATATTGTACAATTCATCAGTAGGTATCATTGGGAGTTGATTTGCATGAGACGATTCACCATGGCAGAGCTGACCCACATTCTCGAGGTTGTAGGATTCAAACATATCAAAATCTGTGGAATGGTCCATCCCCGGTACTCCATTTGAGCCATACAATGGAGTCAGAAGATTGTTAATTCCTAGGGAATGGTCTGTTCCAGTTACTCCATTTGAGCCATTTAATGGATTCAGAAGATCGTCGATTTCTATGTAGTCTGAATTGTTGATAGCCTGATCACACCCACAACCTTCTTTCAATATCTCAGTGAAATCAAGCCCGGCATCAGTCATCCTGAACCGACTATCCAGGTCACCAAGACCATCATATATCCCACACGTGTCCATGCAAGGTTTCTTCCCCTTGTCATTTGGTTCAATCTGAAAATCACAATTTGCTTCAGCATTAGATCCGTCAATCGATTGAAAGCAAAGGGCATACACAAAATATTGTTAAATAAAAAGAAGACTGTAGTGACGAAAAAACTTGGGGCACACATTAAAGAGCATTTTGAAATTAAAAAGAGCACAAAAGCATATAACTATACAGGCACAAAAAACTCATCCATAAAAATGCAAAAACAAGCACATGAATATGTACATAAAATTGCAGAAACAAAAAAGGGTCTTCAACAAAAGTAAAAAGCTTATAACTTGAGCAATTTAAGACTGTCTTAAATTGAAGTGTAAACTTATAACAACGTAAATCAGAGGAGATTTTCACATGTCCAAAAGTAATATATGATGTGAATGGGAGAATTCATGCTCACAACACAATATGCAAAAACACATGTGCAAAAGTATCTATATCTATCTATCTATCTATTTATTTATATATTTCGAAAAGGTACCTTGTGAATTTCATTCTCATTCAAAGGCAATGTGCCTTCATCTGTCAATTGGGCCAACAACCGAGCAAGCTCGGGATTAGTCTCTTCCACAGGAACCTCAGCTCTTGAGAAGCCTACTGATGGTACTCGATCAGCCGAAGGAAACCTAGACATACTTCCAGGACAGAATGAGCTGGTCGGAGGAGGGCAAATTCGTCCTTCAGGCAACATAACACTAACAGGTAATGAACCGTTAGTTTCCACGGGTACAGCCTGGAGATGTGTATTGTCGTCTTCATCATCCGACCACTCTTCTTCATTGAAGGGTGCTCCATATTGAGCACCATTTTGGGGACCCGGACCACTCTTCTTGAAAACCTTACACAGCACATATGAGTCCTGTAGTGCAATGAAATCAAGAACAATCAAAAACCATTATTGGAGAGCGTATAGAGAAAGTCAATCGGAAATCAATATTATACCAGCAAAGAACTAGTTAAAAATGCATAACAAACAAGAAAGATATGGCTTTTTTTTCCATATCAAAAGCTCTACAAATCAACTCGTACCGTTTGCAATAAACATACAATATTTTCTCTCACAAAACATCACATAAGAATACTATTTAAATAAAATCTCAAATAAAAAACTTAAACTCAAATCAAAAACCAAACAAACCCATAATGATACAGTAAGATTTGTACATGAACATGGCGAACATATAATTTAAATTATAAAATAATCCCTTGCTGATTCAATGAAGGCTTCAATCCATTATGCATTGACTACCTGAAGTCCTGCTGCAGCCACCTCGTCGTCAACGATCCTATACTCATGTAGAACCCAATCGGTCCTATCCCCTTTAGGAGCATGACCAGAATGAAAAACTAATGTCTTTATATTTCCAACAGTTTTTTCATTCAACCGGACGGGCCTATCCTTTCCAGTGGTTTTCCAGTATCCATTTTCAGTAGCACGCTTCACCCGAGCACCAGTTGCATATTTTTTCTCTATTGGACAGAGAAAGTACCACTCTAGATCCTTACTTTTCAGACAAGATTTTTCTGCACCCCAAACACCACATTAATAGAAAGTTTGTATGCGATCAACATAAATAGAAATGTAAATTTGAAAAGAATATTTTTTTTTAGAACAAAAAATTAGGGAAAATTAGGTAGAAAGTCTGCACAGAAAACAAAAACAAAAATGTATGTGAAATTTCGTCTCAGAGTGTCCAAAATCCCAAATTTTGGAGGCCGAAGAGGCGAAGATGTAGCTTACCAGGTAAATCTGATGGAAAGAACTTATAGATGTTCACTTCCGCAATAGCTTCGAATCGAAGTTTCTTCCCCAAGATCTTCCTCTTGAGATAGTACATAACCAGCTCAACATCAGTAGGATGAAATCGAAATCCCGGAGGGAGTGAAGACCTCACCATCACAGCAGACCCGATACTTCAATCGACAATAAGCCTCTACACAACTTTATTCAGCCCAACCAAACCCTTCTCAATAAGCCAACGGTCTTCGAAAGCAAAGAATGAAATAATACAGTATAGTATAGTTTACAGAAACCAGAACTTCCTTGACGACAGATCTTAAAACAAAGAATACTACTTCGAAAAGCCTCTTAGGTCCAATGCCGAAACAATATCTTTCTAGAGCACCACAGCCGCCCCCGGTTCATGAAACAGAAAGCACACCAAACAGACCACAGATGCACCTTTCTGGAATCAAAAGACATCTGGTGTCGAACACAACCTACCGAGCATTTTTAACTGTGTCATAAACCTTTATATACATTCAATACATTAACATCATCGAACTACAAAATTCCATCCCAAAATCCCATTCCAATCACCATAACTAAGCCACAATTATCAAATACAAAAGGGGGACATTCAAACAGGCTCCAATATATATATATATATATATCAGATTATAGCGTAATTAAACAAGACCTAGATGAAATATCGTCCCAAATTGAATAAACCCTAGATCGAAGACCCACACATAACGCTCGAACTTCCCCCAAAATTAACCCAACAAAATCAGAATGCAAAAAACGATAATAAACATAATCAAACGAACCCACCACACGGCACAAACAGATTCCATAAGAAAAAAACTTAGACACACCTTAAAAGGTTAAAGAACCGGAGAGGGCAAGGGAGAGAATGCGAATGCGAAGAAGAATGCCAGTGAGAGAGAGCTGAAAATTGGAGGGTTGAGTGGCTTAAATAGTTGGGAGGTCAAAAGCGTACAGAGTAAGCCAGCGTGGGTGACTACAGTGTGGGATTACTGACCTTAATTTACAGCTTAGCGTGTGTTTGTTTTAGGAATTTTTTCAAGAAATCCACAATTTGTACAATTTTTTTCTTTCAAAACTATTAAATTAAATAGTCCCTCTGTCCATATAAAAAATTTATTTTTTGATACTATTTTTAGTATAATGATATTTTTGATCTGATATAAAATAAATATATTTATAAAAAAAAATATTTAATAAAATATTCTTAATTACATCATATTATTATTTTTTTAAAAAAAATATTATTTTTTAAACTTTGCGTGCAAGTAAATATAACTTGTAATATAATTTGAGCACACTCGTTTGAATAACAAGAAGAGTAATATGTTTAATTTTAAAATAACAAAAATTGTAAAAATAGAACAAACCTAAAATTACATAATAAAATGGGAGACTTGGATTAAAATCTACGTCTGACAAATATACTTGCAATTCATTCCCTATTAGAAATTAGTTAGTCTGCAGTCCCTACGTTATGAATTAGGTTTGTTATAGCTCCTTAATGTGTATTTTTCCTTCAATCACAGTTATATACGCAACATGTACTCGAAATAGGTTGATCAATACTTCAAATTTTTTAATATATACCTATATTACTTCCCGCTCTACCTCTATTGTAACCTTATATACTTCTAGTTAGAAATCGCGTACCTTTTCTTTTTGTGAATTAAAAAAAAAACAATTAATTCACGATTTAATAAGGGTAAAGGCAGGAAACCTCTCATAACTCCCCTCACACCGATTTTAAACCCTTTTTCTTCAATCTCTAGGCAAACCGATGCTCTCGAACCTCCGGCAATTAAGTAACAACCGATTCGGTGCAAAAATGTGAAGAAAACAGCTGACCGCTCCCATCTCCCAAGACAAGCTCGAAAAAGTAAGTGCCAGGTTGGACCTTTTTCAAGTTTTGATTTGTTGACCTTGATATTATACCGAAGTATGTTCGATTATTTGAGGTGTAAATCTTGGTTCCGTATTTGTATGCATTGGTTTGGTGTTGAGAAGCCCTAAGTGATCGGTGTAGTTTTATTTGTTAATCGGATTTGAAATCGTTCGTATATTTGCCCAGATACACCGAGTTGAGTGTTTTATTTTGGCACCAATTTTGGATTATTTTATTTATTTAATTTGTGATTTTTGTTAATTTTGTAGATGTACATTTTGTTTAGTTACCCGAAGTTGCATATTTTAGTTTTTTTTTTTATTGTTCGAGTAATGTGAACTTGTGGTATTTATTTACAAATCGGGGAAAGAATACAAATAGGTTATCATCCGATTTGCAGTACCATGTTTTCATCACGAGGTGGAGAAAATGAAGAAATGCATATTGGATGAATATATTAGAGCCATCAAAATGACTCAATTCGGCCATTTTCTGGACTGCCCAAAGATAAGGTTGCAGTGGCACCGCCTGCTTGCCTTGATTAATAACTTTAGCCCGGAGCCCACGTCATTCAACATCGGAGCTGACATTATGGAAACAACATGATATTATTTTTACCATTTGTTCCCACATGTTAGCATCATGAGATAGCTCATTCCATTACCAACATGCTTGCAAAATACATATATACATGTAATATTAACGTATATAACTTTATAATAGCAATGTAGTTGTGTGAGATGTGGAAATTTGATGTTTAGTTGTGCTATATAGGTAATGGTTGTACTTAGCAACAACAACGGGTTCCATGCTTAATATTATATTTAATAACATGAAAAATAACATGATATTATATTTATCATTCGTTCTTACAAAGTTGCATCATCAAATACCTCAGTACATTATTAATATACCTGCAGAATATATTTACAAACCTCTACTATTTCATTATATACTTGTGTAATAGAGTTACATACCACTTACTACAATAAAATATACCAGCAGATCCAACCGGTTATATCCTATTGACGCATAAAGTAATTATATTACACCCATTGAATAACGTTACATGCTTTGTAATCACGCTATTGAAAAATATGGCATAAGCTGTTGAATTTAAATGTATCATGTCCAAACCTTTCCACCAAGTATATATGCCCTGGTAACTTGTGTTTCAGAAACCGACCGTTCTTTGTTTGAAACATTCAATTATTGTCGGTAATCAGGGATGAATGTATCATTATAGTATTCTCGTGAATCCCAGAAATCTACGTAATGGATAAACAATACATATTTACCGTAGATGACTGAACAAGTCATAAAGGACTTAGTTAAACTATGTTGGTTGTTACTTGTACATGCTTTATTGTTTTGCCATTGAAAAGTGTGGGCATGTGCTGTCGAATGTAAACGTACTATGCCCAAGTTTTTCCATCGGGGTTGGGAGAAGAAGTACTCACACCGAGTTCGTGAATTGACCCTTCCATAAGAGGATCAACTACAATCAAACACATTCATGGATACTTGCTACTACACAGATAATACCTAAGCAACCATTATTTATACCTTAAATGTCGGTGTTTGTACCCGGAGCACATACTAACATACCTGCATCAAATACCGATATGCCCTAGCGCAGATCTTACGTAACGATAAAGTTGGTATCACATGCTTCAATATCGGGTATATATACCCTGGTAACTTGTGCTTAGGTAACCAACCATTTTCGGTTCAAAATATTCACTTATTGTCGGTAATCAGGGATGAATTCATTGTAATAGTATTTCCATAACACTCTGAATTATATAAAGAGATAAACAGTATATTTACTATAGATGACTAAACAAGTAAAAAATGACTTAATTATATTGTATGATATATGTAAAATTATACTCTAACCTCCACTTGTAGATGGCTAAACAAGTTATAAATGACTAAATTAAATTATATTAGTTGTTAGAATATATAATTTATGTCACAAATTGAAAATCTTTAGACTCATTACATAGTAATCTACATCGTAGCACACACAACAATATTCAAGTGAACACGCTAGTCGTAATCTACTATTAGGACTTCAAGTGTTTTTGGCGTAATAGGACAAACACATCTTGTCTAAAATATTTTGACCCATGACATAATAATCCAAACTACTGCACACTTATAAACTCAATATCAATTAGCCAGAAACATTTCAAAGAAGTATAACTTGGTTGAGCTGGTAAGTACTTCAGCATGGCTCCGATGTACCCCCTATTGATTTTAATGTACCAATTCTTATCAAATTATGTACCCGGGCTCTGCTTTCATGTAAATAAAAAATATAACATTATGACATAGGTGGGTAATTGTGTACCTCCATACTTTAAATGAATGCCCAAAGTGTATGAAACGGTAATCAACACATATTTACTATAGATTGTTAAACAAGTAATGAGTTACTAGGGTAAGTTATGTTGATTGTTACTCATATACCACTGTTCCCATGGATTGATTGGTTATTAAGACCTATTACCCAGTAATACACACCGTAACACACAATATAATATTTGGTCTACAAAGGTAGAGAGAGGAAGTACTCTCACCGAGTTCGCGCATTGGACCCTCTGCATGAGATTGACTAAAATAAACTACATTTGAAGATACCTGGTACTACAAATCTAACGCCTATGAAATCATTATTTATATCTCTTATATCGAGGTTTATACTCGGCTCACATGGTTACATACCAGAATCATAAATGTAGATACCCTATATAAGATATTACGTACCTACAATAACAATCAAATATACTTCAGTTACGATTACATATGCTCTGGTAACCTATAGCTGGAGAACATGCATTTTTGCTTAAAATATTCACTAAATGACAGTAACCATGAATGAATTCAACCATGGTAGTATTTCTCGTAACACCCCAAAGTGTATGGAAAGATAAACAATACATATTTACTATTAATAGTTAAGCAAATCATAAATAATTAGTTAATTTGTATGATAATATTCCAACATTCACTTGTAAATGACTAAACAAGTCATGAGTAAGTAAATTAAATTATGTTGGTTGTTAGTATAAATGACTGATGTCATAAATTGAAATTCATTAGACTTATTACGATTAATCCACATTGTTTCATACACAACAACATATAGTGAAGAACATACTTGTATAGCGCATGACTCAACTAGATAGGAAAATGCTCCAGAGCGGGCCTTCCATACCCCTAAACTCGCATAGTGTACAAAATCCTAATAATTGTGTACATTCTGTAGTCTAACGTGTAACTGAACAACGTAATCTTATGGCAAGGTTTTCGAATTGTGTACCTTCATGGCTCCATTTAATGCCTGTAAGGATTTAGCATATAACCTTCATAGATTCCGAAACAGATTAAGACTTAATCCTCATTTGTATGTTTCTAACGGATGTGATATGATTAACACAGTATGTTCGTGTACTTTATGTCACTGCGATTATTAATTATCAAGACCACATTGATATTGTTGGGACAGTAATACGCTACCACCAGATGTGCTTCGATAGATCAACTAAATACTCATCCAGATAATTCGTGTGTCTCTATTCATTTATTTGAAACCTTGTGTCATTGAATTATCATACATAAAGGAGAACTGTCACATACCCGTTGTTCATGTTCATATACCATCAGAATATCCAAATTACAACAACAGTTATATTCTTGCTATTGTATATTTACCTTCTGCATTACATTTTTATCAATTATATCAAATGTAATTACACACCAAAAAGGGCATTTAGAACAAAAACAAAAATTACACTTCAAAAGGCCTACGGTACCGCAGCTTTACAATTTCTTTTGTCATGCCCGAGATGACCACAACGTCTACATTTTCGTGACTATTTTATTTGCTGCGAGTCATAGCATCATTTTTTCGATTCATATTACAATATGTCTTCTCCTTTGAAACAATATCATGAATAACTCCGTCGAGCTACATCTCGATGTCTTCTCAACATTCTGCCAACTCATCGCCTTTCAATCCCTCTGCGCCCAGCTGTGTCTCCCCACCGCTGCATAAACATTAGGAAGATAATACATACATCTCATTATTCCGTTCCAATGTCACAACACCCGCTCCACCACCACCTCCATGTCGCCACAACACCTGCTCATCAATGCCCTCCAACTCGCCGCCTTCTCCGATCTCAATGGCATCATTTGAATCAATTTTTTTCCCTATCCGACAAGCCCCACTCGGCTTAAAAAAATTGACAATGCATCCAAAATGCTCGATCCTGGGCATGACGCCATACACATTTCGCAAAGTCCTCACCAAATCCAATCATTTAATCGTCATATCCAAATAAACACATGCCACGAGAGAAAAAGTAAACGTCACCTGATCGAGATGAATTCCCGAGTCCTCCATCCTCGAAAATAAATTGACATCCTTTTTTTCCTGCAACATTTGTTGCAAGCCTGGAGATCATAGCGTTCCGTGTTATTGTATCTCGTTCAGGCATTTCGTCAAACATCTTCTCAGCAGAACAATCGCTTGAAAAACCAAATATTCACAAATAGATTTTGAATATATTTACAGATGGATATGTTTGAAAGTTTATTAAATGTGAGTAAGCATCATCGAGTAGGGCATTATAATTTTCCACAAAATACCCTGATATTACCCCTAATCGATATATAGTTACTAACTTAAAAAAAAAATTGAAGTTTGTCGATTTGAGCGTGGAGCAATGGGTGTTCGAGATCGACAACCGGTGAATGAATAAGTGATGAAGATCAAAAGAGTGTGAGCGACCAACACGGACCGGTTCAATTTTGTAGTTGCTGGTGTTTCTTCGTGGATTTTGCGATCGAAAAATAATTGTAGAGGTTTCTTTTTCGTTGGGTGGGGAAGGAGGGTGAAAAGGGATGAAAAAATAAATAATATAAAAAATGAGGGAGTGCAGCCCAAGTTTTATCAAATAGGGATTAAATATAAATAATTTTTGGCAAATAGGAATTTAAATCCAGTTCTACCTAATAATCATTGAAGAAAGAAAAATAAATAAACTAAAAATGAACATAACAATAAAGCCAACACAAGAGAATTAAAGAACAGAGCATAGAAATGTATGAAAGCACAAAAAGCTTCACATATTCTCATTCAGACAAGACCAAATTTATACACAATACAACAAGCAGAACAAACATTATGCTGCAAAAGCATTGCACATAAAAGAATCGAAACCCTTAATAAGATGGAACCAAAATGGAGAAGAGAAAAAATTCGCACACTTAGTCTAACAAGAATGCATCCACACGCACACACACACACTCGAGGTCGAGTTCGAGTTCTCGGCTACATGGTTATCGGTGTAGCACCCGACTCAAAAATGATTTTAGGCTGAAGCCGGTGTTGAATTCATTTAGTCGATCACTCTGTACAGTGTGTTCCCACTGAAAAGGGATTCGTACAAGGACACCTCCCGACCAGTCGGCTCAATATCTTTCTCCAAACGGACTATACACCTTTTGAATACAGAAATCAAGAACTCTTCGTAAAATGTACCTTAAAGCCTGTTAGCCCTCTACAGAGATCTCTGCCGGAACTCGTGCAGTGACTTGAACAGGGATGATGAAATTCATCACTAATGATGATCAGAATCTTGTATCCTCAGGAAGCATTCGCGGGGTATCTCCAAGTCAACTATATAGAACACTATGGATGGAAAAATGATGTGGCGTGTGTTTAGAGAATCCCGTTCAAGACTCGCTGGTAGTAGTCGTATTGTCGTGTTCGCCATGCATCCAAGCTGCTGCTGATCAGCGAAAGTACCAAGGAGACGCATTGCTGCTAGAGAGGAACAGCTACTGTGAATGGGAGTAGAGTAAGGTGCGAATTTGTAAAAGTAAAATTGGATGAAAATCGAACCTCTTCTGGCAAACTAAGATGAAACCGTTTCCTCAAGTTCTGTATTGTTCGTGGACCTCCCTTGAAACAAGGAAAATCGGAATCCTGAAAAGAAAAAATAGCAGTCGGGTCAGATTGAGCAACACCAACAGTTAGGCTCGTACTTCACTATATTTTTCTGGATGTGCAGCAACGAGAAGAAGAACTGGTTTTATTTACAGGCAGCATCAAATTTAACATATACATTAAGATACCACAACGGAATGAACTTCCTGTCTATAGAAAGTTCTATGCCAGTCATTTTAATATTTTCCATACGTACACGAGAACTTTTCGAGGGTCTATTTAGATATTGTTAAACAAGAGTAAATAAGAGCTGGACAATCTGCTCAACAATAGTTGCTAACATCAAATTTACGTTTGGTGGTCGAATGTCCGGAAATGGTGTTTGAAATACTTTTAGCTTAACTGCTGTTCAGAACCAATTCTCACTATTTGGATAAATTTTGTTTGTTTATTGCACACATAATAAAGCTATAGATTTGCCATAAAGGAAATTCAATAAATCAAGTTATAATGTCAAACATTCTAGCGAACAAAGGCAAAACAAAAATTTATTTCCACTGATCAGTATGATAATTGATACCTATTGCCTGCGAAGCCAAAAATAAACCCACATTGATTGAACATCATCGACTAACATGTATAAAGGTGGAAGTTCACAAGATCAACGTACTCAATCAAATTAACTAAATTTCTTAGCTGTGTACAGAAAATTTGTAAAATCACCATCTTACCAAAAAGTTTGTGGATGGAAGATGTCTTTTCACATTCATTTAACTCCTTAAAAGAAATCAACTTTTTTAAAATAGACAAACTAATCTCACCTGCAACATCTCAACAAGAAGAATTATGCGTTCAGCATGTTTCCGACAGGTGAGGAAACCTTGAATACACAACACCTGGAAAAAAGGGTAGTAGATTATAATGAACCACGGAAACATAAAGCATTACCATGGAAATCAAGTATTGGGAGCCAAGAGACAATTTCATTACCTTAAAATAATCAAAAAATTCACTTGGAATTCCCTCAGCATCAGAGTCCATCACCTAGCACAGATCAATATCCTACTTGTTTATACATATTTCATTACCCAGACTCTAAACTTATTTGGTAAAGGACCTAAATATGTTAATCAAAGCGACACATAAACTCATGAAACAAATTTTGATTCCCTCTGAACGTGGAAAAACAAACTCACCTCAAGAAGTTCACGGGTCAATTTAAAAGGTGCACTTTCAAAATTTACACCTCCAGGTGAATTAGAAAGCATGAAACCAAAGTCGATGTGTATAATATGGCCCTCTTCATCCAATAACAAGTTTCCATTGTGTCTATCTTTTACCTATCAATAAAAGTTTCATGAAAGGAAAATGAAACAGTAAATTAAAATGTAAAAAACAACATCAATTCCAACAATACATCCAACAAGCTTGAGCCAATGGCCCACGCGTAGCCATTTGTAGGCCCAGAGGTTAAAGATACTCTGCAAATTAAGAAAGTTGAACAACACAGTATTCATGAAATTGATATAATCCTCTTCACCTGTAAGTTTTAAATGTTTTGAAACATGCAAATATGGCCCCCAAAAATGACAGAATAAGTGGCAATCAACAATGGCATCATCCAAGCATCAATTCTTAAAAATTTGTTAGCATTCATAATGATAAGACTGTTGGTAAAAAAGTAGCAAAGACATTGAGTTTGCATCGAGATAGAAAGATGGTTCACCTGTAAAAGGTAGCAAACTAGAGAGTAACCAGCCATGCTTTCGACAAAATTCCTCTACAAAAAATAATAATGCAGCAAGTTCAGAAAGACAAATCAATATCAATAATTCAATATATCTGGAACTTATTTTAAAGTTTAAAAAAGGAATGTAATCAGTATTAGCATTATGATATTTAGAGTATTTCTACTGGGACCATTCTTGGAGTCTCAGCATCATTATCCTCCATATAAGGGTGACAAGTGCAGTCCCGCCAAGAAGGGTAGGGAGCGCGAAACTCAACATTCTTGGAGACACAAATAAGGACCTCACTTGTTGCAAAGAACTATTATGCTAAAATATTTCCATCATAAGTAGAAAAGGGCCAACAAGACACATACGGCATCTGCTCACACGCCATCTTCATTCATAAAGTAGCTGGTCAAAATCTTTTACTGTTAGGTTTAACAAAGGCACAGGTAGGCGACTAGGTGGAGAATTAAAGGCAAAAACAAACCCTACATAAATCACTATGTTTTGCTTTTGTGACTTTCATACTTCAAAACGTTATACTGTTGAATATTAATATTGCACAAAACAACAAGTTATAAATGAATATGACATGAAACATTACTTAGGTAGATGCAGAGTCAGTATTTGACTAAAACAGTGATCTAGATTTTGAGTTGCACTGTTGGGGTGAAGCGGGTCTTTAGGCGTCGCTGGCCACTGCCATTGATACCCTTATAACCAAGGTTTTTGCAGCCCAAACCAGACAACACTATCACTTGGAACAGAAATAATTTGAAATATTGATTTGGTAGGATTAGATATGCCGATTCCTTTGGATTCACTTGGATCAATCTCCACTGGAAATGCAACAATATTATTCCTTGTAATATAAAATTAGCAAATAGCATGGGCAAAAGACGTAGCTAAATTTTCAGATTATATATTAAATATTCATGGCAAGAACTGTAAAAAAGATTATATGGTGAATTGGAATAGTTTTAAAGAGAGGAACAGTCTACTACTTTCCACCAAAGGTATTAACTCATTGTGATTGATAAAACGAAATGAGGTCATGAGGTGTACAATTAAGTGCAAATATATAACAATATCAAAACCCAAAAAAGAGGGTCTTAATATAAATAACTTTGATAAACAGAGAAACCATACTTAGTAAGCAGAAAAGAGGTATGGAACATGACTAGACTTCTCAACATAAGGAACTCATTTACCTGTGCAAGCTTATAACTGGGAGAATTTTCTCCATATTTAGCAACAAAAAAGTCACGTAAACTTGAAATATTTGGAAATCTACTTTTGATAGAATGAATTGATGCCTGGAAATAAATATTTGAACAGATTAGTATTGTCTGCATATGAAAATTTGATTCCAGGATATTTAACTTTTCTAGTAAACCATTATAATTACCGTGTCTGGAATAGTTTCAATAAGAGCTGTATAAGAGGAAGTAACTAATACTTCATAAGGACGCAGCCACAACGGGAGTCCAGCTTCCTGGAATATATCTAGCATTTTGGAATTGGTAGAAAAGAACAATTAAAATGTTTCTCAGATGAATAAGGATAATACATGCAACAATATTACAGTCTACCATGAATCCATGATCATTGAGTGCACTAACAAAGAAAACTGCAAAATATTTAAAAAGGAAAAGCTAGAGTATCAACTACAGTTGGTAGCCTCATGATTTTGGAACGTGAGATGTACAAATGCTGTTGTGCATACATCTCTCATCATCAGAACACTACTTGAAACTTGATTACATTAACAAATCAGACAATCTGTCCTTACTCCAAGAGACATAATTATCATACAGTTCAGCTACATTTTCCACCAGTAATATGTGGTCAACATATGCTTTATTGTTACTATTTAACAAACATACATGAAAGAATAATATGAATAAATAATAATAATAATTTATATGCTGGAAATAAAGTCGGTAACACAACTAAATGTTAAATACCATAAAAAATTCCAGTTTTACATAATTGCATATGTACAGATTCAGGATCACACTTTATTTTCCTGCTGTATCAGTGTGTTTAGGTTCGGACAGAAGGAAATTGTTTCTTGTCTTCTGAGAAACAATTTCCATTCACAAAGAAATTTTAAATTACACTTTACCTTGCAGGACTATCATAGAAATAATTGTATGGAACACATACTTCTGCCTCATTTCCTTCTCAAGCACATTTTTGTCAAGGAGTTGATGTTTAAGGTAAGGAAATGGTACTAAAGGAGCAAGATATATATATAGATATATTTCAAAAAAAGAAGAAAGAAAGCAAATAACAAATGAAGCATGCAAAACATTAATCTATTACAGATAAAAAAGCTCCAAAGCAATGTGGACCCAAAGTTCTAAGAGGCACCTACCATAAAAGTGTGATATTAGTTGCACAGCAAGGTGCTCCTGCCTACAGTCGTCCCCGCTCTTCACAATTGCCTATATATCACAAGAACCAAATAATTTAGCCAATGCAGGAGCCAAAAAGAAATGGTTGGTAAAGCACAGCTATATGTCAAACATGAGTATGTGAACTTAATAATCACAACATGTATTCATGCAATTATTATGCATCCAAGGATCAAACAATATCTACACGGAGCAAGAAGGCTTCTGCAAGTTAGGATGTCAAATTCTTTGCAGGATAGTCTCCATTACATATCTGATGAATTAGACCACTCAAAGCAAATTACATGATAACTATACCTAATTGATAATCCAAGACATATAAAATACACACACAAACACACGTTTTAAGCTTGTTTCTCTATTCTCTCATTCTTGACCATGTCCTTCCATTTTGTTACCCCACCTCACCTGATTACATTTTATAAATATCATATCATTGTTATACAAATATAAAGACCCCAATTACATTTGGCATCACATACTTACAGGAACAGTTATGATTTAAATGCAGCAACAGTAAATCAATAATACTAATTTAGAACATCCAGAAAACAAGTCCCGCGCATACACACAACCTATTTTAGCTTTCAGTTGGAATGCATGGGGAAGCTACATGGAATCATTCCTCTAAGAGGGTCAAAACCAGTTCAAGATGCATCATGCCCAATACCATTGTACACTAGGGTTGCAGGTGAATAACGATATCTAATTTGCTTCTATTATGTGCAATTATTTTCGCAGGCACTCTGGAGTTTTTACTGAACCATGAATTCCAAAGAGACTCAGCATCCTTCTTATTTATGTAGGGTGTGTTTGTTTGGGGGATTGGATTGGATTTACACTATTCATCTCATTTTTTTCCCCCCAAAAACATCAAATCAAACACCTATTTTTTATTTTTTATATTATACTAAAAATCAATTTTACATTCAAAATATCACATCAACACCTATTTATATCACATCATACAACTATTCAAATTCAAAATTTTTACTATTCAAATCCCAACTCAAAATCCAAACCCCCAAACAAACACACCCGTAGTAGTTCCATAAATATTATGAATATGTTTACTTATGTTTTTTCTACCTGCTTTTTACTATTCAATCTCATGATTCCCTTCAAAACATCGTATCAAACACCCATTTTCCATTTAAAACCTCACATTCAACAACTATTTAAAGTCAAAACCTTGAGGAAAAACAAAACAGAAAAAGAAAAACCCATATGTCAATTTAAGTATTAACATAATAGAAGCCATTCAACCCATTCAACTACTATCAGTGCCTCAACAAGATCATATAACTTTGCCAAAATAGAATCAATTATTATTGAAATATTTACCAATGCCTGAGTGATACTGAGCAATATTAACAAGTTCGAATCGTTCATTAAGTCCAACAGAATCAACATATCTCAATTGCAGTCTCATATCAACTAAAGTACCATATGCTACATACATCAACTAACTTTGTAAACCAATCATCTGAAACTGCAGCACTTCGTCCATCCCTTAAAACTCCAGTTTTAGAAGTTTTTATTTACCCACAAGATTCTACTTTGAAGACATTAACAAAGATGCACAGCCCCAAACAAAATTCCAGAAACAACGGTCTAAGTATCCAACTATATATTTATGTGCCAAACAACTGAAATTTCTCTTATATAGAACAGTAGAGTTACAAGCACAACTTACAGATCTCAAGTCCCAACCAGGTAACTTCCCATATAAGGAGGATTTACGAATTCTGTCCTTTTTCAACTCCCAAAGCTCACCTGATAATGCCTCACTAAATTTTGGAAGACCCCCATTTGCAGCCTGTTCAACTTGGAGAATTCAAAAAATGACAATCCATGGCATCATATGAACGAAAAGAAAATTCATTTTGTCTCTTTATTCACCTTTGGTTGAGCATCTGATGAGTCCTGGCCAGCCCCTTTTAAAGGAAGTCCTGGGGGTGCTTCCCCTTTCAAAGCAGCAGCCTATTGATGGGGAAATTAGTGGAGCCCAAATGAGAGGAAAGCCAAAGACCAGTCACATACCACCCCCCCCCCCCCCCCAAAGAAAAAAAAAAAAGAAATCCAAGTAGAGATTCACATGATAAGATTACCTTGACTTCCGCAATAGCTACAGTACTTGGGACTCGCCGATGTTCTTTCCTCCGAGGTGGATCTCGGTCCACCACGTCATCCATGCTAATCCCTGGTTCAGCTGACAAGACAACTCTCACCCATTCCAAATCACAGCCTCCCTTCAATTGACATGCACAACCACCCTCTCCATGATGTGAATGATTAGTAGAAACAGGTTGAGATTTGAAATACTGATTGGTATATTCCGATTGCTTTTCCACACATAATTCAACATGAACAAATTTCACATTGGCCTCCCATGATTGAGACATTGCTTGGTCGATAGCTTCAGATGTAGACCTTGACATCCTATCATAACTGTTGTGGTACATATCCTGCCCTGTTCCCAAAGGACAAGCCCATTGTGGAGGCTTTGGTAAAAGGGCATCACCATTTGCCAATGGAATTCCACCTTTGGAAAGCTTTTGTATACTGGATGAATCCTTTGAATTACTATTAAATAGTCATAGGCAAAGAATATCAATCACTGCCTCTGTCCAACGAATTATGACAAATTTACCAAGTTATTATTATTGTTAACACAAGTACCTTGGAGCTTCACTCTTCAACACTTCAACACAGATCAGATAAGGAGCTTTTTCTCTGGAGTTTAAGAGAACAGCTTCATCTTCAGGTATGTGAACCACACGACACATACCCTTTCCCATTGGAAAACAAATTCCTACAATATGAGAATAAAAAACCTTACTTCATGCAAATGAGAGATTTAATAATTAATAAATGTATTTCAAAAGGAAGTTAGATATCATTGTAGCAATACCATTAATCTACAAAATATTTACTATTGCATGAGATTCAGAAAATGAGCTCTCACCAAAACATCAAAACATATTCAAATTTCAACATTAAATGATTCTCAGGAATTGTAAGGCCCACAGAACATTGGACAAGTAGCAATTCTTTCTCCAAATCAACCATGTAACTAGCCCTCTTTCAAGTGAAAGAGGCACATGGAATCCCTCCACAGATTATCAAGACCCAAAGTATGCATAGCATGCCATATAATGAATAACATAACCCATCGATGCAAAATACAGGTTTGCATTAGGAGTACATAAAGCAACCCTATCGATGGCATCTCAAAATTACCATAAAAATCTCTGGAGAACATAGTTGCTCCTTGGTTGAACCATAAGATATTTTTTCCCAAACTTTGAGTCTGATATGCTACAAGGATAAAACCAGCAGACACAACTACTTCCAAATATGGTTTCTCAATTACCTATTAGAAATCACTCTTATCTGAATATATAAAGGCTACAGGAAAAAGTAAATAGAGAATCTCTAGAATTCCAAATAAATGTTGAGTAGATATAATTAGAAAATATTCCATGCAAGTAAACAAAAACAAAACAGCACAGCAATAATACACAAGCTCCAAGATACAACCATAAAATAAGTTCGAGGATATCATATAATCAATAAAGATAGCCAATGTCAAATTATATTTACCTCCACTGCTTTGAGCATCATCTATCCGCACATTGATATCTACAAGTGACTGAAACGCAAAAAACCAGAACATCAGTATAGCCATAATGTATGCAACACAAATATTTTGGTGCGAGAGGGATTATTATAACAAGTAATTAGGACCTCGCGAAGGGCAGTTTTACGATCTTCAACGGGAAATACATCAACGAGGCCATAAGATGTCTCACATAAAGCTTGAACGAAATCCAAAGATTCATGATAAGCCCCCTTTCTGTAATGTGATGCATTATCAGGAAGAGGCGGCTTATCATTTTGCTTTTTGTGTTGCTGTTTCAACGAGCCAGTAAATATCTGCAAGAGAAGGGTATAGTGATTGCTTGCTTAGATGGAAACTTTCAACAAGAATTTCATAATATAATTTGATAGGAAATGTCAACAACAAAAACTTAAACTAAGGAAAATCATAACAAAAACAAAAGTAGAACAGAGGGTAATAGATCATCAAACAGCTAATAAAGATGATGAGTTCACCATTCACCATTCACCATTACAAGGCCCTTCCACTTCTTATGCCATTTGAATTTAGACTAAAAGTTACAAAGAAAAATTTCAAGCGACCACCCATCCCATCCAAAAGGGTCTAACTCAATGAATTAAACCACTATCACAAACTATTACCAATAAGTCTTGGAATGTGATATAGAAGTGGACAAACAATTTCTCACGAGATAAGATATATACAATTGCTATGACTTAGCTACCTAGCATAAACAATGAAAAGTCATTTCCTTTTGTATATGTACATTCTTTCCCTCTTTATCTTCATTACATCCAATATTTCTTCAAGCCCCAAATCAACCCACACTGCCCCTTCCCTTCTCAAAACATTTGTGACAGTACAAACCATAAGGGCTATAGCTTCATAAATGAACACTTCAACAATATACATATTGCACTCAATAGAATAAATAGTTAGACCATAAAAACACACTCCGCCTCCATTCCTCCTCCTTAAGCAGAACACTGACTGAAAACTATCAATGAATTATGATGATCCAAACTAGATTAAATCGATAAATTGTTTACTTATCAATTGGTCATGCACAATATAAGTTTATAGCTGGTGAATTACAAACATCACTGAAAAAAACTCTATATAAATACACTGTGCACCAGATTAAAGCAAGGTGCAATTCAATTAATTAAAAACTCACAGGGTGCGTTTCTTTTCAGCTTGGATTGGGTTTGGAGGTTTGGATTTTTTTTTATTTATATAATATTTGAGGTAATGTTTTGTGCGTGGAAAAAATGTATTTTTTTCGGTGAATGTGGAATCCAAATAGTAAAAACATTGTATAGAAACTGAAAAGAAACACCCGCATGTTTATACAATAAAACAAAAAGAATAATTTCAATAGAATATAAAAGTTTAAGTATTTAATATTAAGAATTTAAGATATCTAAATATAAGACCATTTGGTTATGCTGTTAGATAGAATTTAAGCAAAATAGTATAAATGGAAACATAAATTTGTTATACCAAAAACACCCAAAAAACAAGAAATACAGAGGCAACAAATGGAAAAATAACAACAAAATGTGAGTTGAAAAGGAATTAAAAATCCAAGCAAGGGACAAAAAGTACAGTAGGCAAACTCACAAACACCATAAGCACGAAAAGCAAGGAACTGACCAGGTTGCTCTTTTTGTGGCCATAGAGCTCCGAATCCTCAACTGAGCGGTCACGATCCTTGAACAGCTTCTGAAAAAAATTCTCTGTTCCAGGACTGCTTTCCAGAACATTGGTATCAGAGGTGTGGTCACTGGCCATTGAAATTTTGGAATCTTCTGGATGAACACGGAATAATCTACGAAACAACAAAAATTCTGAAGAGTCTTCATCTTCCCCATTTGCGTGGTTCATCCTCTCCTCATCATTATGTTCAATCAAATCTTTTTTGTCATCAAACATTTCCTTAAAAAACTTTTTGATGAACCCTTCTCTATCATCATTTTCTGACCTCCTTGCAACTCTTTCTGGATCATCATTTTTTTCAGAACCATCCTTCTTGTCCTCAAATTTATCCTTGAAGAGCTTCTTGAAAAACCCTTCCTTTTCTTCATCTTCCATGGCTTTAGATAACAATTTCACCTCTTGCTCATTTTTACTATCACGAAACAGCCGCTTAAAAAACCCATCTGTACTGGAGCTAGCTTCTTCTTCCTCATCTTTGTTGCTCAATAACCTTCGAAAGAAACCATCTTTCTCCAATTCCTCCTCATTCTTATGGACAGCTTGCTTCATATCATCATCTCGACTGCTACTTAATAACCTCTTGAGAAACCCACCATCTTTCTCTTGTTCCTCCTGAGCTTTATGTTTATCCACTGACTTCTTTGTATCATCATCTCGACTATCCCTCAATAACCTTTTGAAAAACCCAACATCCTTCTCAGGCTCCTCATCAATCTCTTTATCTTTGCCCAATGACTTCCCCACATCCTCATCCTTATCCCTCAGCAACCTCTTAAAAAATCCACTATCCTTCTCAAACTCCTCGCCATTCTTTTTATCTTTACCCAATGACTTCTTCACATCCTCATCCCGACTATCCCGCAATAACCTCTTGAAAAATCCACCATCTTTCTCCGGCTCGTCATCATTCTCTCTATCCTTACCCACTGACTTCCTCACATCCTCATCTCGACTGTCCCTCAACAATCTCTTCAGAAACCCACCATCCTTTTCAGATTCTTCAACGGTCTCCCTGTTCCTATCCACCGCCTTCTTTGCATCCTCATCACGACTATCCCTTAACAGCTTCTTAAAGAATCCCCCTTCCTTCTCAGGCTCATCATCTTCCTTGTCCATAGATTTCCTAAACGAAAGAGCATCTCTCATCTTCGGCCCCGGGATGAACTTCTTAAAGATCTTATTACTGTCCTCTGGTGATCCCACAACCTTACCACCATCATCCTGTACATTTGAGCTCCCTGGGGAGGACGAAATTGATAAAGATCGGGGAACTGACACACTGTTTGGAGGCGAGGATGTCATTGATAACAGCTTCTGCTTTGAAGACAACAACCTGTTTAGCACCTGACTCTTACCAGTTGGACTACTGCTACTCCCACTATCATTATTACTGGAGAAAGATGACATAAAAGTACTACTGCGTGAGTGGGGTTTAACCAATGGCGGCCATTCCCCCATTAAAGTTGCTGCAACCTGACACTTCTCCTGAATCCTACTAATTCCTTCATTATCATCAACATCCTCCAGCTCCGCCATCAAAAACCAATGCACTTTGAGCGCAATTTTCAGAGATTTCGAGCAAATGTCGATTACAAACTTATCGAGCGAGGGGCTGGGCTTGTGAATTAACATATAACAAATTTGAAATAAGTAGTTCTCGAGGCCGGAGAGAGGAAGAGCATACATACGGTTGCACAAGTAGTCCCGAACCCCAGGATGATCGTGCTTGTAGAGGTAGCTGACGGCGATCCATTCGCTGAAAAACGCGGAGTCAAAGAACCTGATTAGCCACCCGTTCTCTCCGATGCTTTCACTGGTCGGAATCGTCCGCGTCACCTCGCGAGGTGTCTCAGCCCACTCGCCGAAGGCACGCGTCAATCCCAGCAGCCTCGCCATCGTCAAACCCTCCTGCTCATCCTAAAATTCCCTCTTCAATCCAAAAACCCCCAATCTAAGAGTTAAACGTAATTCGCTCAGCTCTGTATGTGTGCACTCCGAAATTGGAAGGAAGATCGAAACTGGATCCCCAACGACGTCGGGCAATTGGCCGGCTACGGCGGGGAGGTGGCGGAAGTGCTAACGTGCGCGGAAGAGGAGGGTGTTGGGGCAGGCAGAAGGGAATTGCTTTTAATTTTTGTTTTTATTTTATTTTATTTTAATTTTGGTGAAATTTCGAATTGGGAGAGGGACTCTGTGACGAGACGGCATACCCAAAAAATAATAAAATATTAAAAATAAATCAATCGATGATTTGCTTTTAATAATTTTCGTGACTTATTACTGCTTAATGATTTTGAATTTTGAAAATTATTGTTAATTTGAACAACGTACAGTTTAATAGTAGCACGGTGTCTATAATAGTTGAATTATCTGTGTTTATTTATTTTACTACTATAATTTTGTTCTTTTAACATAAATTTTAATATATTTTTCAAAAAAAAAAATTAATATATTACATACTTTTTATTTCTATATTATCTATTCAATTTATTATATTTTACATAAATAAAAGTCAAAATACAAAATAAACATACCCTACTATTTTCTTTTACAAAAATACTACTCTTATAATTAATATTTATTTTGTATATAAAATATTTTATTTAAATTATTAAAAATATTAATAATATTTTTTCATTTAGAAGAAAAGTATTCATGATTTATTCATATGAAAATTAAAAAATATTTATATTTTAATAATCAGTGATATTGATTATATATATCTAATTATAGAAATATTTAATTTATTCACTCAATTTATTTCTGAATATTACTATTTTTAATAAATATTATTAAAAAATACAATCTATACATATTAACACAATATATAATACAGTATATAATATCTTCGTCCGACTCTAATGGTTCTATGTATTTTTTATTTGTTGATCTTTAAATATTTAGTTATTTTATCAAAATTAAGTATAAACTATAAAAAACTTACAAAATACTAATAGAATGACATTCGTAAAAAAATATACAAATATAAAAATATTTTTAATTTTAATTATAATGACGCAAAGGACAAATGTGACATTTGGAGACGGACAAGACGGAGAAATTTATTTTATTCATTCTCAAAAGTCAATAATGCACCTATATTATTTTCTATATTACGGACATTATTATTTGTACCTAAGATAAAATATATATATATATATATTCAAAATACAAACGATATGTTCTTTTACTCAAAATAACCCCACATATTTTTTTTAAAAAAAAATACAAAATTAATATATTACACATAATTTATATTTTTATATTATCTATATAATTTTTTATATCTTGTATATATATAAAATAAATAAAATAAAATAAAATTCATTCAAACTATTTTCAAAACAAAATACAAAATTCCCCAACATCATTTTGAATTGCGACTCTCAAAATAATAATATAAAAAAATTTATACAAAAATAAAAATAAAATTAAAAAATAATAATAATATCATTATAAAAAATCAAATATTCAATTTAGAATAATATATTTTATATTTTTAACTCAATTCTAATTGTCATCTTCAATTCTTACAAGATTTATATCTTATAAAATTAACAAGCTGCATTATTTTCTTCACGTGCGCCGTACCGTCTTTTCCGGTGTTGGAAAAAATTCAAGGCCTCGGCGAAGTTTGCCTCATCAAAGTCAGGGAATTTTTTTTCGATGAAATAGAATTCCGTGTAGGCCAATTGCCACAACAAGAAGTTGCTCAACCTTTGTTCGCCACTAGTCCTTATGAGCAAATCGGGATCGGGGACTTCGATGAGACTTGTCATGAGGTATTGCTGTACTACATCATCGTTTATATCGTTTTCTTGTAAAATTCCGTCTCTCACTTTGATTGCAATTCTCTTTGTTGCTTGTACAATATCGAGACGACCGCTGTAGCTAATCGCCACCACGAGATGCATCCCCTTGTTTGATTTGCTCAATTCTTCAACATGAGATATTTTTGATTGCATTGATGGAGGCAATTTAGATCTTTCGCCAATGACTGAGATGCGCAAGTTTTGACTGCATTGAAATAAAAGAATGAGAATCGAAATCGACAAGTAACAACCCAAAAATTGGTAAATGAGATAATGAATTTTGTTGATTTATTTCTACATAATTTCTCAAATATATTATTAGAAAATACTATCTACACATAATTGTAAAAGTTAGTAGAAGCATACAAAGTCAATCAAAATACACAAAACAACATTTCATATAAGGGTGTGTTTGTTTGACGGATTTGTTTGGATTTCCACCATTCATTCTATTTTTTTCCCCAAAAACATCAAATCAAATACTTATTTTTTATTTTTTATATTATACTAAAAATCAATTTTACATTCAAAACATCACATCAATACCTATTTATATCACATCATACAACTATTCAAATTCAAAATTTTTACTATTCAAATCTCAACTCAAAATTCAAACCCCCAAACAAACAGACCTTCAAGTGTAATACTTTAAATATAATTTTTTTAAAAATAAAATAAAATATTTTGATGTAATATAATTAAATTTTGGTGCTATACATATATTAATATTGTTTGAGAGTTATTAGAATTTTATAAAAATATTATGATGATTTGAAATATTAAAACAAATAACTCAAAACAAACAAACCTCTTATCATTTATTTTAATTTAGGACTCAACCATTTCAAATCCAATATTTTAACAGTCACTTATATTAATTAAATTAAAGTCTATTTTATATAAAACTTTCTTCTTCTCTTTCGTTGTTGTTGTTTTTTTTTTTTTTTTTTTTTTTTTTTTTTTTAAATTAGTATTACACCATACATGCAGACGCTTAGCACATTGAAACCATAATCTCAAACACGCTATGTGTTCAACCTCTTGAGATAGTTGATTTGGATTTAGAATTTAAAAAGAATAAATTCTTTTAATTTCTTCATAAAGTTTGTTATTTTGTAATTTTAAACAAAAAATTAATATTATTTATTCTATGATTTTTAATAAAAATATTATTCAAATAAAAATTCAAATCAATATTACATTTCACATCAATTTCAAATCATAATTAAACAAACTCCTGTATTTTTCAACAAAAATACTTAAAATTATAAATACAAAACAAAGACATCCCAAAGTTTTCTTTTAAAACAATAGTGAATTTGTTCACTTTGTAATTTTTTTAATGTTAATTATGATAAATTATTTTGATAATATAAAAAATAATATATGTTAATTGTCTTTTGTGAATTGATAAAATATATATATATATTTTATATATTATATTTTTTAAATAATATTTACGAAGAATTGTTCCACTAAAAATAGTATTAAGTAAACAAACTCAATATAGATATTAAAGGCGTGTTTGACAATTAGACAGTAGTTGTTAGTTGATTCAATTAGCTGATAGCTGTTAACTGATTCAATTAGTTGGTTTGACTAGCTGATTCGATTAGCTGTTTGTATGAAAATGTTTGGTAAAACAACTGTTTGATATTAGCTGTTTATACGTAAAATGACAATTGAGGACATTTTTATTTTATTCTTGTTTCTAATATATTCAATTATGTTTTTTTGAGTTCAGAATGTTTAAAATTTTTTGTTATTAGTTATTGAAAATTGTAAAAGTGTTATAAAAATATTTATTTTTATTACAGTTAGAATTAAAATATATAAATATTTTTTTTATTGAAAATGATGTAAAATATAAAATAATAAATTTTTCGTGTATATATTTATTTCGTTAGTTATCGATTAGTTCATTATATTTATAATTTTCAATAAATTTAATTTATTTTTAGTATAAAATTTATATAATGTAATTTTAATAAAAATAAATAAAATATTTATATTTATATTTTTCATTTATGTTAGATTTTAATAAATTTATATATTTTACAATTAAAATAATTTTTATATAAAAATTAATTATTTTAAATTTATAAAAGTAAAACTATAATATAATAAAATATTCTAATATAATTAATAAATAAATAAAATATATTTATTTGTGTAAAATGTATAATAAATTTTTAAGGGCATATAAGAAATAAAAAATTTTTTACAGAAAAACTATTTCAAAACGCTGGATAAGTTAGCTTTTCAAAAATTAGCTTTTTGGGTCCAAAAAACTAATTTACCAAACACATAAATTAGCTTTTTGACCGATCAAACAGCTAAAAGCTCTTTAAAAAGCTATTTACCAAACACCCCTAAATCTAACCTTTTTATTTCGTGAATCAGATATGATGCTATCGCGTCCTCAATGCCCTTAATCAAGTAGTCAGTTTCCACCTACAAGAAAAACTTCATTCATACTTAATATGCAAATTATACTATTATGGTGGCGGTTACAGTACTGAATATAAAATTCAACACTATATTGAATAGCACATCGTGTGCTAATGGACAATACACTGTATTATAACAAACATCACACAATATGCGTTAATATAATATAAATACACACATGAACTAACAACATATGATATAGTCTCGTAGAACACATACAACACAAGTTGTAATTATAAACAAAAAACATATGTTGTTGTTTGTAATAAAAACATATGTTGTTATTTAAAAAACATATTATCTCTGTCCGGCTCTAAATGTCTCATTTTTTTATTTTTTTTTGCGTATTGATATTTAAATGTTAATTATCATGGTAAATTATTTTTTAGTTCTGTAACTGGACCCTTTTATCATTTTAGTCCCGTAAGTGGAGTATGTCACAAACTAATCCCATAAGTAAAAACTTTTCGTTGTTTTAGTTCTCCGGCTCCGGAGACGTCCGTGTGGCTCGCCGAAGGCTACGTGTCCGTCAGGTCAGCGATACCTGACGGATACATGGATTTTAATATTTTATTTTCATTTTTTTAAATTTTTTTTAAAATTGATTTTTAATTTTAAAATTTTTAAAAAAATAAATAAATAAAATCCACGTATCCACCGGATGTCGCTGACTTGGCGGGACACGTGACTTCCGGCGAGCCGCGCGGGCGTCTCCGGCGCCGGAAATTTTTCACTTATGGAACTAGTTTGCGACAGGCTCCACTTAAAGAATTAAAATGATAAGAAGGTCCAGTTACAAGACTAAAAAACAGTTTACCCTAATTATTATATCAAAACGTAGTACAAATTAAAAAAAAAATTATAAAAATACTTCAATTATTGTCTATAATACTAATAAATAAACATTTATAAAAAAAATTATATAAATATAAAAATATTTTTAAAAGCGAACAGAAAGAATATTATTTTTATTGCACAAAATATCATGTCCAATTATTATTATTATTATACAAACTTAAATCACCTATATACAAACTCAAACCAATCAAACTTACAAGTTTTGAATTCACTTGGTAAATATTTTTATTTTTATAATATTAACCATTACGATTCTATGTAAAACATATTAATTATTCTCACAAAAATCACATAAAAAAAACTTCGAATAAAAATTAAAAATAAAATGATTTTTATTTTTATTTTTTATTCAGTCTCACAAAAGAAATATTTTTCTATTTTCGGTGAATTTATCAATTTTAAACACACTTAATAAATATAAATTAATTTAATTAAATTTTTAAGCTTTACACACAGTACACCTACTCAAAATCTTTCTATTTTCATCCCTATTTAATTAACAAATATTTTTATTTATATTTAAAAATTTTTATTTTTTTTATAAGTTTAGTTTTAAATTAATTATAAATAAATAATTATTTTATTTATTTGCATTATATAAAATTTTATTTTCTACAAAATAATAATCATATTGTATACTTCCTCCATCCAATTTCTATTGTCTTTTTATGAATTGATAAATTTGTCCTTAATTGTATGGTAGAGATTAAAAGTAATAAATGAATGAAGGGTAAAAATGTAAAATTTATGTTTAAAAATGAAATAGGACAATAGTTGTTGGGCGTCCCAAATAAAAAAGTAGGACATTAATTTGTGAACAGAGAGAATATATTTTATTGAAATATAATACAAAAATATTTAAAATACCAATAAACTACTCATATAAAAAAATAATATTATAAAGGGTAAACTATTTTTTAGTCTTGTAATTAGACCCCTTATCATTTTAGTCCCACAAGTGGAGTCTATCCCAAACTAGTCCCATAAGTGAAAAATTTTCGTTGTTTTAGTCCTCTGGTGCAGGAAATGCTCGCGTGGCTCGCCAGAGGCCATGTGTCCGCCAGGTGTCCCACCATGTCAGCAACACCGGGCGGACACGTGGATTTATTTATTTAATTTTTTTTTTTAATTGGACCGAATATAAAAAATTTAAAAAGACAATAAAATTAAAAATAAATTTGACCTGGCAGAAACGTGGCCTCCGACGAGCCACGCGGGCATCTTCGGCGCCGGAGGACTAAAATATCGAAAATTTTTTACTTATAGGACTAGTTTGCGACATGCTCCACTTACGAGACTAAAATGATAATAGAGTGCAATTACGGGAGTAAAAAACAGTTTATCATATTATAAATTATTACTAATTATTTACTAATCTATATTACCTACAATAATTTTATAAATTTAATTTATAAATTAATTTAAAACTGAAAATAAAGGTAAATTCATAAAAAAGAAAAAAATATATCAAAATTACTATTTTAAAAATCCTTTCAGAAGGGGTGTGTTTGTTTGGGGGTTTGAATTTTGAATTGAGATTTGAATAATAAAAATTTTGAATTTGAATAGTTATATGATGTGATATAAATAGGTGTTGATGTGATGTTTTGAATGTAAAATTGATTTTTAGTATAATATAAAAAATAAAAAATAAGTGTTTGATTTGATATTTTTGGAGAAAAAATGAGATGAACAGTAGAAATCTAATCCAATCCTCCAAACAAACATATATTGAAACATAAGCAATATATATATATATATATTAATTTAAAATAATCATGTCAAATGAGATGATAATAAATTTACCTTGGATCGTTTCCAATTTTCATTAGAAAACATATAGACAGTAAGAAACTTGATTCCGAAAGCGAATGCGGTCCGTATAAGCCTTTCAAGGCTTTTGCCTCCAGCAAAGTGGCCTTCTTTCGTCGACAACCCTCTCTCCTCGGCCCACCTTCCATGTCCGTCCATGATTACGGCAACGTGTTCCGGGCAGAGGCCACCGGGCAATTTGGCTGTTCCATTTTCTTCATTTTCACCCCATTTTTCATTGCCCGAATACACGGTGGTGGTTGGCGGCATTCCTCCCACACGGAACCTCCGGGATGAGGAAGAGATGAGCCGGTTCCGGAGAGCCACCCGCGACAGCGGCGACGGCGCCAATTTTGGATAATTAGTAATATTGATGAAGGAGGGGGGATGATGGAATTGGTCACAATTAGGGAAGGGTGATTTGTTCTTGATAAAAGTTGAGGATGATGAAGGTGATGTTGCCATTCCTGCAATTAATGAAAACATTATTATTGTGATTTTTTTTGGTATGATTTTGATGTATATGCTTAATTATATGTATATATATATAACTAGATTTATTTTTTACGTCGAGTTTAAGAAATATTGTATTTAAAAAATAATTAGCAGATATATTTTATTTATAAAGATTTTATTGTCTTGTGTTTTAATTTGATAATATAATATTAATATAAATAAATGTGAAATTAAAGATAATTATAATTATAATGTGGAATGGAGTGCACCATTTACTAAAAAAATATATATATATATTTTGTATTTAAATATATAAAAATAAGAAAATTATATATTTTTCAAGTGAAGAGATTATTATACTTTTTAGGCATCCAGTGTGCCGAGTGAACTTCTGATCCTGATCCTGAAATTATAGATTCAAATTCCGACACTTTCCAGTTCACTTGAATACATATAATATTCATATATTTCTTATTTGTCCCACAAAATGATTAACAATGTTTTTTATTTTAATAAAAAAATACTCTTACATTTTCCATAATATTAAAATTAATATTATTAAGAAATATATGAATTTAAAGACAAATATATCTTTTATCTTTCTATTGTAGTATTTTTAAAAAAATGAGAAAAATGAACTAGTAACAAACTAATTTACATGATGAGTGTGGTTTCTAAGAGATTTTGTTATATCGCACCAAACTATTATTTTAATTCAATTTTTTATCATTCAAAATTTAATACCAAAATTCAAACTTTCAAAAAAAAAAAAAAAAAAAATAATATATTTTTATAAAAAAAATTATGAAAATTATATATATAATAGAGATAATTTTAAAGAGAAAAAGACCATGAAATTAGGAAGAAAATATAGTTTATTAAACTACGTACAAACTACGTAGAATCCTAACTTACGTATTCATTAATGATCAATTAAAGCTGCTTGTATCGTAAGTCATTAGCTGCGTAAAGCGATTCCCCAACGACCGGGTGTATTATTGATATTATATATATATATATATATATATAAGCAATATTAATTTTAGATTCGATATTTATTATTAATATATTTTTTTAAAATATTAAATTAATTTTTTTATTATATTGAGCTAAATATTAATTTTTATTTAAAATATCACATGAATATATATTTACAACACATTAAATCATTGATAGAAATAAAAAATTAAATCAATAATTTTTTTTTAAAAATTATTAAACTAAAATTATTTTGCATATATAATAAATATATTAATTAATATTCATTTATATTATAAATTGGTTGTGGTGTCGGGTTCGGATTGAAGACATTAACCCTAACCCGATCTGTTTATTCTGTGTTGAGTTTGTGTCGAATCATCGTGGCGTAATAGTTTATGCTACGTCTAAATAAATATAGTTAAAATTTGTAAAATTTTCAAAAATAAAAAACCATAAAGATAATGTCATAATAGAAGTATAAATTTATTTAGATAATATAAATATATAATATTAATTTTTATGGTTATTAATTTAAGTGAATGCAGAATTAAGTTGAGTTTGAAAGAATTTTATTATCAAACTTGTAATTCGTCTCAAATCCGGTCGAATTTAAATTTTCAAAATTTATAATCTGCCCTGCTATAAAACTTTTGAACCCAAATCTGCCCGTCAAAAGCGGATCCATGGCGAGATCTGCCCCATTTGCCGTGGATCCCTTCTTGAAAATATTCTAATTGTTATTTACAACATATTTTTTATTAAAAGCTTTTAATCCTTCAAATTTTAAGTGAGTTATCTTCCGCGACTAACCATTCTTACTTTATTAGTTATTTGTTCAGCTGAATATAATATTTTATATAAAAATATAATTTTTTTTTTTATTGAAAATGACAAAATTGCATAATATTGACTTGCAAAGTTGTTGGCATCTTCCATCCTAGGATGTTTGATTAGACCATTACAAGATTAACTAATACCTTTATGAAATTAACAAGTTGCATCTTTAATATCACGTGCGCCAAACCGTCTCTTCCGATGCTGGAAAAAATTCAAAGCCTCGGCAAGATCGGGCTCATCAAAGTCGGGGAATGCCTTTTCAACGAAATATAATTCTGTGTAGGCCGATTGCCACAACAAGAAGTTGCTCAACCTCTGCTCGCCACTAGTCCTTATGAGCAAATCGGGATTGGGAACTTGGATGAGATTTGTCATGAGGTGTTGTTGTAATACATCATTGTTTATATTGTTAACTTGTAAATTCTCATCCTTCACTTTGCTCGCGACCTTCTTGGTCGCTTGTACAATGTCGAGATGACCGCTATAGCTAATCGCCATCACGAGATGCATTCCTTTGTTGGCTTTGCTCGATTCTTCGACATGAGATATTGCCGATTGCAGGGATGACGGAAGCTTAGATCTTTCCCCGATGACGGACAAGCGCAAGTTGTGACTGAAAGATATAAAATTTTCGTATTTATGCACAAAAATATTGGCTGGATAAATATCTTGTACATTTTTTTTTTCCGTAAAATTAAAATTAAATAAAAAATAAAACTAATAGTTTATGTATCTATATATAATTCTATAATTAATAAAGTTACCTTTTTGTTAGTTCCATAACAGATGATATTATGAATTCCTCAATGATTTTCATCAATAAGCTAGTTTCCACCTACAAGAATAAATTCATTCATATTTAATGTAAAATTTTATTTACTTGATATATGTATTGGGTAAAATAAATATTCAATATGATATTTTATATAATAATAAGTGTTGAATATAATAAATGAAGGAGTTAAAAAGAAAATATATATGCATGGAAACAATATATTTTAGTGTTATAATTTGAAGATATGATTTATTGCATAATTTATCCTCATTTAACACAAAATTTAGATAAAATAAAGATAGTGTGCACATTAATCAACACATAAAATAATTATTTTTCATACTAGAATTAAATCAACATTTGTTAGTACAAATTATTATCATATGGAGTTGGTACTATAAAATTGTACTCCTTCCATCTCACGTACCGTGTCTGTTACACCGTAGACACAGTATTTTAGGAGGGGTGTAATTAGTAGATAATTAAAAATGTATTAGCGAAAATAATTATTCTATAATATAAATAATTATAAATTAAGATTAAGATAACTAATTAGTATAATCAAAATTAAAAAAAATAAAATTAAAAAGTTTAAAATGAGATTAAAGTGTATAATCATTTTCCAAAAAAAGAAAATGACATGGTATGTGGGACGGAAAGAAACGGCAACGTAGACATAATATTTGAGACGGAGAGAGTATTATGTTATTGTACCTCTTGTGTTAAAGATCAATTATGACATATACTGTGTCCATTATTGTTACATGATGTCTTGTGATGATATTAATTATGTCATATTATGCTCGAACTATTAGCGTATGTCTGTCGGTTGATACTTTTACGTGGTGATTTTATTTTATTTATGTATTTTTATTATCTAATATATTTCATTTTTCTTTAATTACAAAATTTTATTTTTATCATTCTATACTTTTTTTTATTAATTAATAAAATATATTTTATATTCCATGTTTTGTTAATAATGCGCATAATCTTTTATATTTTACTTATTACATAAAATATTCATATTAGCAAATAACAGCACCAAATACTCCTTTTCTCCCAAAAGTAAAAAGTAAGAATCATGAGACTATTATGCTGATGGTTCGAAGATGAACATGCTCTTGACTTTTATTTTTTTAGATAAGATTGAAAAACCAATATCATCAATTATTTAAAGAATAGATAACTATGTTAAAAAATGAATCACATTTTTAACAATATCATTTGTATAATAGATGCTATGCTTATAAAATTATAAGAAATATGTAACATTAAGTTACGAGGCAGACGAAGCCAAATAAAAATTATGGCTTGTGAAATTATACTTTTAGTTTTACTATTTTTTTTTTTATTTTTTCTAAAAATATATAGAATAAAACACATATTTTTTATTTATTATTATTTCAATTCAAAATTTTACTATTTAAAATTAAAATCCCTCGAATAAACAAATTGTCGAATGAGAAAACAATAGATTACCTTGGATCGTTTCCAATTGTCACTAGAAAACGCATAGACAGTAAGAACCTTAATTCCGAAAGTCGACGAGGCCATTCGGACAAGCCTTTCACATCTTTTGAGCCCTGCAAGGTGGCCTTGGTTCGTCGACAACCCTCTTTCCTTGGCCCATCTTCCATGCCCGTCCATGATTACGGCAACATGTTCCGGCATCAGCTCCGGGCGGAGGCCACCGGGCAATTTGACCACTCTATCTTCTTCATTTTCACCCCATTTTTCATTGCCCGAATCCACGGTGGTGGTTTGCGACGTTGCTCCCATACTGAACCTCCGGGTCCGGGAAGAGATGAGCCGCTCCCGGAGAGCCACCTGCAGCGGCAATTTTGGGTAATTAGTAATATTGATAAAGGAAATTGGATGGTGGAATAGGTCACAATTAGGGAAGGGTGATTTGTTGTTGATAAAACTTGAGGATGATGATGTTGCCATTCTTGTAATCAATGAAAACATTATTATTGTGATTATTATTATTTTGTATGATTTTGATGCATCTGAGGGATACTCAAGGCCTTTGCGCACAATATATATATATATATATATATGCGCATATATTTGAAGGTAAATTGGTGTCCATAAAAATAAAATAATAATAATAATTATTATTATTATAATAATTGATTTTAAATATTGTTTTATTCAGTCAAATATATTACAACAGCCTGTGCATCTAATATAGAAATCCACAATACACAATTTAATTATATTAAGATAATACAAATATATAAAATGGCAGTATATAATATAGTCTTACATAATACATGTTGTAATTGACGGTGACATATGCAAACTCATCATCCACCAATTCCTCGTATATTTGATCCACAATATCTCTGTCAATTAAGTACATCACCTTGTAATCGTTGATACAGAAATTAACAAGCTCAAAAAAAATATACAAAAATACAAAAGAAATTGATAATCTAGTTTGATAATTTTACGTTTTGAATGGTTAAGTCAGATATTTGCACTAATAATTTTAGAATATTAATACCACTCAACAAAAGTGACAATAAACGAAATAATAGGTTCTTCTTAAATTCAACTTAAGTTTCATAATATATGATCTGCCACATCATTGTCTTATTCAAACGGATGCTTTCAAATATGAATATATTTCAGAACACAAAATATATTAACAAAACAACTACAATATGTACTAGTAACATTTTTTTTTTTTTTTTATAACGTGAGAATCCCATCACTATCCAAAAATGAATAAATCCCCAATTAAATCTAATACTCTTGCAACACATTTTTATTTAATACAACAAATGAGGTTTGTTTGTTGTATCTTTGCGGTCTGAACAAATTAAAGCATTATCATTGAAATGATATAGTACGAGTAATATATAATTTTAAATTTAAATTAAATTATTAATTTTATATCAATTTTGATATAAATATAATTTTTTTTATAAGATATCACGTCAAAATACTATTTAAATAAAAATTCAAATTAATTATTTATTTCAATTTCAAACCACAAAGTTATGTTTTGTTTGGATGTCTGACGCCAGCCCATCGTTCATTAATGCTCAGGTGATGCTGATATTTTTATTCATTTGTTTTATTATTATTATTTTAGATTTAATCTAATTAAATCTAAAATAATAATAATAATAGAAAAATACAGTCTAATCAATATTAAAAGATAATTTAAGCGTATAAAGTGGAAAATGCTCGAATATAATGGCATAACATGTAAATCTTTTTCTTTTATTTTACTAACAAATCAATGCTGCTATTTTGAAATGTAAAATGCTTAAAAATACAAACAAACTGTTCTTTGGAATTTTGTTTTAAAATTTTATTTCAATAGTATTTGAAAAATATAATACTATTTTATAGAAAAAATTATTTTTTAACTCGTAACTCGAAGTTGTATAAAAAATATTTCGTAAATGAATTGTTTTAGCACAGTTGGTTCTCCGAGTTGAAAATACGCAGGGGGCACCGACCTGATAAGCCAAAGCACATTGTCCGTCAGGTTCTTTTATTACAATTTTGTTTAGCTGTGATTATCACTAGTTATTTTGTATTGTTTTAAATAAAAAAAAAATATATATATATATATAGTATTTTCTTTTTATAAAATATTATGTCAAAATATTATTTTAACCAAAATTCAAATAATATTTCATTTCAAATCACAATAAAAAATTAAAAATTTTACTTATATTTTTTTAATAAAATATTAAAAATTAAGGATAAGAAAAAAATATATTTAAAAACACTAACCATGATGATACAAGTATGGGCGGTGGAGAGCGAGATTCTCGGGGATATATATATCTTGGAATTAATTTGATACCTTAATTGTGTTTTTTAAAATCAATTTTCAACTCTCATTTAATTTTTTATACTGTATATCCATGAATACTAATTTCTTAATAATGCGTTTTAAAATCAATTATCAACTCTCATTTATATATTTTTTTATTCAAGCAGTGTTCCATGAATAGTGCAATTATTGATCATAATAATTGCCAAATGCATAGCACTTGATCCGAAGCTTAATTTATAACGAGTAAAAATCAATTTTAGTTCTAATCAAATCTTTCTTTTTTTTTTTATTAAAAAAAAAATTATCAAAATTAATCATACACAAAATATAAACTATCATTTTTAATTTCACCGTTAAATTTCAACAAAATAAGCTGACATGACCATAAAGGAATCTAATGTGACAAGGGACTTGGAACAAACACGCCAGTTTTAATAATAACACGAACATATTATTTCTAATAAACAATATATTAATTTGAACACGCCCGTGTTGAAATTCAAGGCCCATGTTCAAATTGATTGCGAGGGTTGTGGGTTATATAATAATGAGTGTGGGTACCACACTCATTGGTGTGGATCTACACTCATTATGCCGTTAAATATATTAAAATTTTAAACACATTTATATTTTAAACATTTAAAATAATATTTAAAATATTTAAAATACCAACAATACTATTCGTATAAAAATAATAAATTAATGTATTTAAAATTAATAAATTTATCAAAAATAAAAAGATATTATCTTTTTATAAAGTGAAAAAAGAAAAATCATCTAAAATATAATATTTTCAAACAAAAAAATAAAAATAAAAATGAAATAATGTTGAAACATAGAAAAATAAAATCTAATTTTAAATATTATTAAATACTATCAATTAAATTTAATTGTTGGGGGGTTGGATTTTGGATTGAGATTTAAATAGTACAAATTTTGAATGTAAATAGTCGTATATTGTGATATAAATAGGTGTTGATACGATATTTTGAATGTAAAATTATTTTTTAGTATAATATAAAAAATAAAAAATATGTGTTTGATTTAATGTTTTGGAGAAAAAAAATTAAATAAATAGTAAATTTTGAAAAAAATCCCCCAAAAAACACACCCTTAATGTATATATAACTAAATATATTAAATTAAAAAAAATAAATAAATATCATAGATAAATTATTATATATCATAATGACTGTAGGACCTACACGTTTGTTTGGGGGTTTAGATTTTGAGTTGGGATTTGAATAGTAAAAATTTTAAATTTGAATAGTTGTATAATGTGATATAAATAGGTGTTGATGTGATGTTTTGAATGTAAAATTGATTTTTAGTATAATATAAAAAAATGAAAAATAGGTATTTGATTTGATGTTTTTGGGGGAAAAAAATTGGAATGAATAATGTAAATTCAATACAATCTCCCAAACAAACACACCATAATATAAAGACTGTGGGATCCACACTCATTATTATATTACCCATAGCCCTTGCAGCCAATTTGAATATGAGACTTTAATTTCAACAGTGAACGCGCTTGTGTTGGTATAAATATAGTAATATATTGCTTATTAGAAATAACACGCCGGTGTTATTATTAACACAGACGTGTTTGTTCTAAGTCACTTGCCACATCAGATTCCGTTATGACCACGTCAGCTTATTCCGTTGAAATTTTAACGGTGGGACTAAAAATCATAATTTTTTTTTGTATAGAATTAATTTTGATAATTATTTTTGAACGAGACCAAAAATAAAAAAAAAAAGACAAATTGATTTTTACTCATTTATAATTATACTTGTTGACCAGCTCTCATTTTTATTTGTATAGTCTATTTCAAGAAATATTCCATGAATAGTGCTACTTGTTGATCAAAGTATTATTATTATTATATTCTATATTTTATGTACTGAATATCAAATCAGAAAAAAAAAAAATTAAATAATTATTATACAAATTCAAACTATTTAAATTATTATTGTCTCTGTAATGACTATTTACGCCATGATGTCTCTATTCTGACTATTTATGGCATGATGTATGAAAATAACAATAATAATATTTTAATATAAAAATTTATTATTATTTATGTCATGATGTATGAAAAAAAATAATAATAATATTTTAATATAAAAATTTATTGATATTTCTGATAATCCAAAATACAATAAAAGAAAAAAAAACTAGGTTGATCAAAAATCACGTGTGACAAACGAATTTGAAGGGGGAGAGGTTTGAATCATGACTCAAATGGTCACAAATTCTTTTTTATGACGTGGATATCCGCAGTCTGACAAGAACTACAAACTTACGGACACAACAAGAGGATCTTCACCGGCGTCGACGACAAACGTCTTCACGGCGATCTCCCCCGACAGAGCCCCGATGATCTCGACTTCATACGATCCATGAAATCCCCGAAACCCGAATTCACATTGTTCGTCGACGTAACCGTGCGCTCTCGATGACCACTCGTGCTTGAGCGCAAGAAACCTTTCCCCGGTGACATTGACGTCTCCTTCGGCGTTCACCAAATGAGCGTTGTCCCGACTCATGAACAGCTCCCAGAACCCCCACAGCACCACGCCTTCGACGGCGGGGTGCGCGTAAGCTTCCCGCAGCATAACTTCCAAGTCGTCAGCTCTAACATATTCGTTAGTCGACGACACGTCCAATTCCGTGAACCAAATAGGAAGTCCAAGAATCCCGAGCTTGTCGAGCGCCGAACAGACGATTGCCCCGACCGGGCTGTCGATGTGTCCCTGTATGCCGATCCCTCCGACGGGGGCGCCCTGCGATTGTAGATCAAGAATTTGATCAATGTACTTCTCGGGCGACGACTGGGAGTCGCAACCGTCCTCAATATGGTAGTCGTTTACGAAAAGAGTTGCGAACGGGTCGAGCTGATTCACCGTCTCGAACATCTTCGCCCGGATGTCCTTTCCGAGACGGGATTGATAGAACGAACCATGCAGCATTTCGTTGTTCACGTCGTAATGCTTGAACTTCCCCTTGTATCGGGTGAGAAGACCCGTCATTCGGTTCTGCACAGCTTTCATCAGATCTGGTTTGCTCAGAGAGCGTATCCATGGCTGAACGGTTGCTTCGACTTCCCAGAATACACAGTGGCCCCGGAGCTGAATGCCGCGGCTTTCACAGAAGTTTAACATCTCGTCGGCATCTTTGTAGTTGAAGGTCCCTTGCTGCGGCTCCGTCCAATACCATTTCAGCTCATTTCCGAAGACGGACCAGTTGAAGTTTTCGGTAAAGAAGTCGACAAAATCTTCATTGTCGAGGTTGCTCCTGCTAATACACGCTCCAAAGGGGAAACTATTTTGCGTTTGTCTGATTCGCACGAAGGTACCGGCGAGTGTGTCCGAATCGGAGGTCACAAACTTTAAGGTAACATCCCGCTTGCGAATCTACACGGTTAATTACGAACAATGAACTTAGTATAGAGATCGATGCTGTTAAGCTAGACGTGTAAATTCATAAGTTACCTTATCGGTTTCTTTCTTCAAGTATCGAAATCTTGCATGCCGATCAACTGGAAAGATTTGAAGCCCGGCAACCATGAAATCGACGCCGGCATCGGGGCCCTGTACGTAAACCATTATCTTCTCAGGCTGCTTCTCAATTCGAAAAGATCCCCCGATTTCATGCCATTTCTCGTCATCGCTGATCTCGACTTGCCCGCCGTTTACCCATTGGTTGTCCACACCAAGGGCAACATTAACACCCTGAGGTTTAGTCACCCTGCTGCCGATTCGAACCCATCCCGATACCTGATATGTTAAATAGAGTTTCACTTTATCGGTAATCATCTGAGCTGGACCCATCCACGTTTGCGTCCGGTTAGTAACGAGAATGTAGCGACCGCTCAAGGGCTCGTGAGGTCCAAGGGAGGCTTCAGCTATGGGAGGAAGGATATGAGGCGAACCATTTCTAACAGACAACGAGCAATTTCCGAGGGGGAACCACCCGTTGGTGCCGTCACTAAGGTTGCTGTTAGTGATAATATTAACTCCAAAAAGAGCATTCTGGTTAAACAAGAATCCTTCATTATACGGTTCCATTAACATTCAGCTCAAAAAACTTATCGTAGTAAAATTTGCACAGTTATAAAGGTTTGTATTCGATTACCTCAATGACCGGTGGAAAAGCAGGTGGAGCTCGGGGAGCATGCTTTACAACAAGACTGTTGAGAAGAATGTCGATGCCTGGAGGCGGACCTTCTAGATAAACAACGACCCGTGACGGGAAACCATTTAGAAGAAATTTTCCTTGCAATTGTACCCAATCTTTGTCTGTCGCCTGAATGCTGTACAAAAAGCAAAGTCCCGTGCAAATAACATTACGCTAACTATCTAGCAGTCTTCATTAAAGGACTAACACTCAATTTTAGCTTGCAAAACTACACATATGTATCGCTTTAAACATTTATTCATGTTCTAGTGCAAGACCAGCTCAAACTGTATTAAAGCACAGTATCATCAACGCCGTATAATGCAATATGTGAACCCAATTTGCTAGAACAGCAAATTTTTTTCGGATGCAGAAAAAAGAATACCTTCCAATCCCTATGTACTGTTCACGAAGATCTGCTGCTTGAACCCACAGTGTAGCTCTAACATCAGCCTTACTGACGTTATTACCAAGTATCCGAACCGCAGCAGTCACCTCATAAGCAAGCTTCCTCTGGACTCTCCCTGTTATCTCCTGCTGAATCCCGTTCCAGTTCTGTGTGCGATTTTCAGTCGAGGCAAAGAACTTTCCAGATGCAGGTAGTACTTTCCCATTTGCCATAGAATCGTGCAATGCAATCTTGCAACCTCTACCAGACCAATTTTTCAATCCATCTTCAAAATTTGAATTCTGTATGATGTTCTCCTCGTCATCACAGAAAGACCTCGTACTTTGAATATGCCGTGTCTACACACAACATAATATCAAAAATGTATGAATGATACTGAACATGCAGTCGTGAAGCACAAATTGCATTCCACGTAAACTCACATCATTTTTGCTTGGACTTGGGCCGGAAATCATTACTGTTCTTATGAGCAAGTCAATACCAGGTGGAGGCCCTTCCAGATAAAATGTAACTCGATGAGGCATAGTTGATAGTAAAAATGTGCCCTCAATCTTCTCCCAGTGCTCCATTGAAGCAGAAGTTCTGCACAAAATTTAGCTGAATCAGGGATCAGATGCGAGGGTGATAAAACCATGCAGAAGCAGAGAAAAAACCATACTTTCCGATGAACAAATAGCTAACTGGCGAATCCTTGTACTCAAGTTTCAGAGTGGCCTGCACATTTGCAACACCTTGAGAAGCCCTTGATAGTCCAACCCAAGCACAAACTGTGTAATTAGAACCAGCAGAAATTCTGCTGGTGATGTCTTGTTCGAGGCCCTGCCAACTTTCTTTTCGATTTGTAACAACAGCGAAACTGCCGCTTAACTTTGTAGACAGCCATTGAGGCGATCCAGACTCAGAGGAAATCACAAACCCATCACAACAATTCAGATGCCATAGATGAAGTCCTTCGGAAAAATCATGGTTTTGGATGACATTAATAGCTGGTCTGCTGATTGAATCCTTGAACTCCTCATCGAACTTCTGCTAGACATAAAAAGTCGATACATAGCTTGACATGAGCATGATGAAAGTTCCGCATTTTAGAACTTCACAACAAATGTTCTTTCGAACATAGTAAAAAACATTCTCAACGGATGGACACACATGCAAACATCCATAGTTATATATCAGCCAAACCAACCCTATAACACGTTTTCCCTGCTTTGAGTAATTCTTACGAGGAAAGGAAAAAGACTTCAAACTTGAAGTTTCCGAAACCAACTAAACATATTGTAGGCTTTTAAATTAAATTGGGGCCCTGTATAAAAGAATTGGTATTCATTCCGTCCACCAAATCTATGACTATTTTTCATTTTTGTTTGTCTACAAAAAAATATGTACTTTACATTTATAACAGATAATTTTTGCATATTCTTTTAATTTATACGCTTCAAGATTACACTTGTGTTTACAAATATGTGACAACTATTTACACGATCAATTTATCAAATATGTTCTCTCACATTGTTAACTTACTCGTATACTTACCCAAATATCGCTACTTTATCTCACAATTAACCAATGGAATACTATATTCATAAGAATTCGTGTTCAATTTGAATAAGCATACATTTTATAAACAAGGGGAGTACTATATAACTTCATCACCAAGAATCCAATTCCTACAATCGAACACGAAGTCCTTCTTTTCATTTCAATTATACACAATATTCAAATCCAAGAATTTTTTCAACACTTGCATCTAAACATACACAATTACAAAGACAGGATGATCCATTAAACGAACAATCAAATTCAAATCCATTTATTCATCATCAATAAACTAAAAAAAAAGCCAATAAACCAATCTCACCACTTTGCCAACGTTAGCCTCAAACTCGAAATTGGCATTGCTCGTCGACGGCCTCTCCATAACACCTCCTGATCCCTGAAAACTCAACATCGAATGATCAACAAATCATCAGACAGCAGATGAAAATCCCAAATGCGAAGGAACAAACACCAATACAAATCCCAGCACCTGTGAATCTGTCCTTCGCCTCGCAACCGGACTGGAGAAGCAGCAATTCATCAATCGGCTCATTATATACACTGCCTCCGCGAAAAAAGTTTGCAAGCAAAGTCTAATAACAGCGCGGGGTCATGTCAACCAACCAACCTAAGTTTTTGCCTCTTTTAGCCGTCCTTTTCTGCTGCGTAATCCCCAACATAAATCGCCATAATCTCTTCCTCTTCTGAGATTAAGCCGATCAAATTCCGAACCGAAAATGGCCGACTCAAATGCAATAATCATTAAATAAGTTTCCTTTGGATTGCAGATACGTGTTGCTGCCTGGAAGCTTGAATTGGAACGAAAGATTCAGAAGGAGTCAAGCAGTCCAGTTTGCTTCGATTAATCGACTTGCTGTTTCTTCCAGCTTTCGATCTTTCACCGAAAGATAATAAATGTCTCCGTCTCATACCCGAAATTGGAATTTGGAGAGGGTTTGGTGAGATGAGAATTGTCATACCTCAACGGCTCAACCAACGCAAACAGTCGTATGCTAACTTCGGCTTGTTTTTTTTATTTCTTATTTATTTCTTCCTCTGTCCCAAACACTTACGTTTGCAAAACATTTGTATTTTTGACAGTATAATAATTTAAGATAATTTAAATATTAAATAATATAATTAAAAAGATAAATAATTATTTATTTATTTTATTTGAATAATGTGATAGGATAAAATAAAATATATATTAATATATACATATAAATATTATTAATTATTTTTAAATTTAAAAATATTACATAGGATAAACAAAAACTATATGTAGGACGAAGGAAATATTATAATTATTACTACTATTTTTTTATTATTTAAATACTAATTAAACGTAACATTTTATATAAAAAATTAATAATGTTATATATTTTATATAAAAAATTTCAGAAAAATAAGGTTTAATTTATAAAAATATAAATTATTATTATTATTATTATTATGTTGTGTATTTATATATTCCATCTGCTTTATAATTAATATTACATTGGAATATAATAAAAATACAGTAAAAATGATTAAATATTGTGTGATATAATGATAATAACATTTGATTAATATATAAATTATAAGAATATTTGTAATATTTGGTAAATAATTTTTAATTAATAAAAAAAATGAATATTTTAGTTATGAACGGATGTTATGTGATAGAAGGAACATTATTTTTTTATTAAATTTTTTTTTACTGCAGAAGTATGATATAAGAATAATGGATAGAAAAATATTTATTTTTGATGTAGATATTATAAATATAGGGTATGTTTTTTTTCTTTTTATGTAATTTAAAAATTTTTTATTTAAATTTAATATTAAAATAATATATAATAAGATATTTCGTGAAAAAAAATAATAATAATAAAAACTACAAAATTAAAATAGTAAGAGATAGGGTTTGGGATTAACGAAACAAATAATATATCTGTAATGAAATATATATTTTAGTAACCGCCCTTCCAATTTAAAAAAATTTAAATTAAATCCAAAATCGTCTAAGCAAAAGCAGCATACAACAGCAATGCAACGACGACGTAACGAACTCCGACGATACTCCCCACCTTCGATCCTCCGGCGATCTCCAGCGCGAGCGGGAAGAGGCAGCCGTCGCGGGAGGCGTTGCTGTTCACAAGGCTCGCCATTCCGTCGAAATTACACGCACGCACATCCTGATTCTGCATCTGGTAGTACGAATTGAAGGCGTACGCCGCCTTGTCGGTGGTCCCCATGGCGCTGCAGCTGCTGTTGTGATTCAGCGCCGTGCAATCCCCACTCGAGCACGCATACTGGACGCGCTCCTTAACGCCGTCCATGATTTTGATATCGGTGTTGAAGACGCACCACTTCCATTCCATGTACTTGACGTCCTTCGCGGCCACCGGCATCTTCGCCTCCCCGTCGCCTTTGAAATCGATCGGAAACTTAGGCTGACCGTCGTACCGGAAAATCCCCCAGTGACGCTCGAAATCCCCCGGCGCGACGCTTTTCTGGTTCTCGTCGGTCAAGCTGAAGAGGTAATATTCGATTTTCTTAGGGTAAAGTGGAGTTCCATTACCCGAAGCTATTTTCTTCAAAAATCCGTTGCAGAATTTCTCCGCCAGCGCCGCCGTCGCCTGGTCGTCGCCGTCCGTCGGCCATCCGATTTCGCCGATAACAATATTCGGCTGAGACACTCCGGCTTTCTTCAACGCCGAAACTAAGGTATCCAGATTTGCTTCAAACATGTTCTGGTACTGAGCGTCCTTGTCCACAACAGGCTTAGCGCCGCCGTCGAAGAACGCAAAATCGACAGGGAAACCAGGATTCTGATACAGACTAAGGAAGGGGTAAATGTTGACGAGGAAGGGAGCGTTGTTTTGGTGCAAAAACCCGACGATTTCGGCCATAGTTTCGCTGATATCGGAGCGGAATTGGCCGCCGGAGGGGAGTCCAGTGCTCGTCTCATAAACGTCGCCGTTTTGAGGGATAGTTGCCTTCACATTGCCGCGAAGCTCTGCTTCTTCATCTATGGCTTTCTGAATGTTCTTCAGTGCTGGAAAAGTCGTCTTCAAATGGGATCCGTTGTACGCTTTGAGGAACGGTTCATTTCCAACAGCAACATAGCTGCCATGGACAGATTCAGGTCAAGCTTCTCTCTAATCATAATCGCTTCATGATTTTTCAATTGTACCTGATTTTGACACCATGATTGTAAGCTTTAGTGAGATTGTGTTTAACCCAATCCTTGGCATTGCCATAGCTATCAGCCAAATAAGCAAGGTGATTGTTAGGGATGCCAAGCATAACATCAATGCCAGTGTTGGCAAAATAGTTAACCGTCCAAGGATCAGAATCAAAGAGCTTGATCTTGTAAATATGGTTGTCTTTGAGGAGTTGTGCGATTGTTTTTGGATGCAGATACTGGGCAGATTGAGTACCCCAATTCACCCCAAGCCCCTCTACAGAATCATTCCACACAATGATGAAGAAGAAGAAGATCAGGGCACAAACCCATGAAACCTTCATAACAAATTAAGGTATGTATGCTTATGCTACTGTGATGCTTAATTATCTATGGCTGTTTAATTTGCAGAAACTAATTAATGAGTGTTGGTTTTGTGGGGTGGAAATGAAATGAATTTTGAGGTTTGGGATCCTTGAACGTAGATGAATTGGACATTAAGAGAGAAAATAGGATTATGAACACATGTATATATGACACGCACACACATTATTATTTTATTTATTTATTGATTTCGATGTAGAGTAGTAAGAAGGGAGTCTAGCATTGCACGCATGGATCCACTATATATTTATTTAAATACTATAGTAAATATATCTTGTTTATTTAATATATATATATATATTCTACACATGGATTCACTATATATTTATTTAAATACTATAGTAAATATATCTTGTTTATTTAATATATATATTTTATAATAGATACATCATATCAATTTTTTTTATATATAAAAATGATAAATTCAAATATATCATTATACAATTAATTTATATGTAAAATGATTTACTATAAAGTTTACAAATAAGTATAAATCCCGAAAATTCTCCAAACAATTGTGAATAAAATGGTAAAAAGAGGGACTGCACGATGTCGACGCACATGCAAAAATAATTGTGGCAGTAAGGTTTTAGGCGTGTGCATAGCGTGAAAAGTGGCACTGCCACGTGTCAATCAACGTGGCGCAGCAAAAGGCACCAAGCATCCAACATAAATGCGCCCCTTTTCTTCTTCCTTTCACCTTCCGTTGGCAACGAAGAGCACGCCATTGATGTATTCACACACATAGCCAGCTAGATTCATAGATAGATTATAGATACACTGTACATATCTATATAGACATCTAGGGAGAGACGCACGCAGTCGTTCGTCGCCGGCCGGCCGCTGAAGTAGTAATCTAGGGTTTCCTTGCATCTCCGGCGATTTACTTTCTGGTGTGTGGTGTGGTATGGGGAAGAAGAGGAAATCCGAGGCGACGCGGTTGGATGAGGTGGATCAAACCATGTACTCCGCCTTCTGTGGCGCCGCCAATTCCCTTTCCCAGCTCTACTCGCAGGCTATGCACCAGCAGCGGGCCTCCTTCCATGCCGGTGAACGCCACGCGCTGGTTTGTGCTTCCGTGTTCGTTTTCGCTTTTGCTCGGTTGTTCCTTTTGTTGATTTTGGGTTCATATTTGGTTTTTAATCTTATTAGATTGAATTAGTTGGATTGGCTTGAAATTGAGCGGCTATATATATTTGTTTCACCTTTATTGTGTAAATTTTTGGTTATACAAGTTGTTAGCACGATTTGATAGATTTTTAGGATTTTACTGCCGATAGTTTTTGATCAGGATTGTTCTCGCCCTTTTTGTTCTGATTGTAGGAGAAGCTTTATGCTTGGATGCTGAGACAGCAAGAAATCGGGGCTAGGTTGATGCCTGGTGATGTTTTCGCCTACGTGCAGGTTCTTTTGAATACTTGAATTGTTATCCTTGACATGATAATTGCTTTTTTTTTTTTTTATCTATCCATGGATTCATCATGTAGCAATTGTGCTGCTCTGCTGACAAGCATATGTGTTATACATTTTCATTGTTTTGTTAATGATGTTCTGCACTTCTATTTATTTAGTGAAGAAATTGCTCTCAAGTGCGTTGTTATTAGTCTGTTTCCTCTTTCTGGAAATATAGGTGTATACCTAAGGAAATATTGAATGTCAGATTGTTCTGTGAGTCCATGATCTTTGTATCATTGTAATTATTCCTGCTTCTACTTGAATTTTATCTAGGTATGTATTTCTCTTTGGTGAATGTGCGTTTGCTACAGTCTTGTGGCTTAGCCAAAGACTTTTTCATTGTATGAAATTATCTTCTGGGAGCTCATGTGGGCTTTTAGATGAATTTGCAAAATTATACTGATGGTCTCTTTGAATATGGTACAAGTAATATAGAATAAATGTGCTCTCTTGTTGTTGTATACTCTATCTCCATTGACTGCTCTCTTGTTAGTACTACTATTTTTGCTTCTGTAATCTTAATCACCTTTGTTTTGAGATCACACCTGGTTCAATTGTATCTTCTGCAAGTATATTGCTATTTGATAACTTTTTTTGACTTGTATGTGGTGTAGTTTGGAATATGTTGACAGACCATTCTCAACAAGCTAATGAGACTTGGTCCGACTTTTAGTTTGTTCTAGAAAATACCAGTTATGTTGCTTGTAGTCATCTGTTACCACTCTATTAAGTAAAATTATACACATTGTGAACTTTCAGAATTCCTAAGCTTAAAATTGCCTTCACTAAAGGGTATGCTACAACTTTTCAACCTCTGTGACTGATAGAAAGGGAGAACATAGGGAGTTTTAAAACTGATAAAGATTGAGAGATGTTTGGTGTATATTATTATGTATGTATTTAAGATGAACTTCATGGGACAAATAAAAAATGTTGGCTTTACATGTACTATAGAGGAAATAAAACTGTGGAAGACATCGCAAGATCTTTGGAATATTTTTTACATTTCAAATCATGCAGAGTTGCATCTTGTTACAGCTTCACACATACACACACAAGCAATCATTGCATCTTTTTCAAATCATTCAGATGGATCATATGCATCATATCATGATCAATTTTATATTGCTTGTCAAATATCATATGAAGAATACTAACATGGTGTTTGGTTCGCTTTTCTTATGGTTCCAATTCTTATTAACAGATTGCTACTAAACTCCTAAAAACACATTTATTCTGATGGGAATTTGGATTGCAGAATGAGTTCAACTATGGGGCGGAGGAACCTCCACCACAGCAACAACCCCACGGCACAATGCAGTCGACGACTCACTCTGCAAATCCAATGTTTTCAAATGCCTCTGGTCCTGCAGCCATTGGACAGCAGGGACTGCCTCTGCCCCGTGCTCTGTTTACTCGCGATCCCAACCCCCCTAGTTCGAACGATACTTCAATGGACATGCACATGCACGCCGACAGCCCCGGCCATGATTCTCCATACTGAAAACAAAAGGGACTCCTCAAAGAAAGGTTTCTTTCTTTCCTTGTCAATATTGTCATTATTACCATTATTCTTAATGATTTAATTTCATTATTGATGTTGTTAGTCCTGCGTTCATTACGTAGGAGACGACTAAACATGAATGTCACTTCTTTTTTAAAGTTATATTGTCAAATTTTATGAGTTTGTTGAGATTGGAATCTTAAAAGTTATAACTAAGGTTGCAATTTTTGGACTTGTGGCTAGTATAAATAATGAGCATAAGAATTTTTTTATAGATCAAAGCATGAGGTGCGAGTCAAAACATGAAAAGCTTGAGATGCCAGTTAAAGCATGAGGTATCACTCTCTTCTATATGAGAATCTTTAAGCATTAGGTGATTAGATGACACATTGAATATATTATGATAGGTGGTGAATCTGTCTTTGAATTTCGAGAATAGCATATGTCACATGTCCTGTGGTAATGAGATTTTGAGCTTTTTAAATTTTACACAGTTTGTATAGTGTTATTTTTCTTGTTGGTTTAATTTGCATGCTTTTAGGATGTCTAGTGGTTGAGGCCAATCTATGCTGGTTTATTGCACCAACAAAGTCGATTCAATCCTCATTGTATGTAGTATGAGAGTAAGCCAACCCTAAGGCTTAGGAAACTTTCAAGATGTTCTACTGAGAGAGCCCACAATAAAAATATAAAAAAATGAGTGTGGGCTTTAAAAATAGGCTCAAAGAATTGGGCTGGGCTGGGTCAGGTCAACCCAGTTGAAAAACTGTACCAGGCTTGGGCCTATCAAGAATCCAGTAAAACTAGTCTAGCATCAATTTTTCAGATACAATCTCGGAATTACGGCGTTTCGAAAAATTATAAAAATATATTTTTTTCATTCGTTTCTTTTTATTATATGCTAAACTTATATATAAATAATTTATAATAAACAATTTTATATACTTATGAATTTTGTTATTTATATTGTAAAACCAATTTTTATCAATCGTGTATTAAATTTCAATAGTAAAATCTTAAATAAACACAAGTTAGTTTGAAATCAATCTATGCAAAAACAAAAAATACACATCCATAAATTTAATGAGCCCAAAATTTCTAATAAAATCGTGCAGGCATTTTAAATTTAATTAAAAATCAATATTTAATTATTTAATATGCTCGTTTAATTACTTTCATCTATCCATAAAATCTCTATCCAAAAATAGAATTAGACAAAACCCTACTGCCCAAAAGTGACCAAAGCGAAACTAACCTGGATTCAACGAGCAGCATTCTTTCTACTTTGAAACCTTCTCATAGAACAACATACTTGCATTTGCCATCAGGACATCCTTCTCCCCCACCGGATACACTTCCGAATCCGATATCCGAAACCACTCCTCGATGGCCGATTCCAGCAGCCCGACTGCACCTCCTTCTTCGCCCACCCGCCCCATTACTTTTCTGTATACCGTGTAATGCCCGCTTCCGCTGCTTCCAAAGTGCTCCACAACTGACACCAGACGGTACATTTGGGGTCGTGAGCGCCGCGGTGGTTCCAAACGGCGATCACTATCTGCCTGCAACACATGAGAACAATGCCGGGGGGCGAGAAAGTCTAACTTAGCTTTTTGTTTATATAGAAGTTTTATGAGAATTTTGAAATTTTGGAAGAAGACAAAATTTATAATTTGATTTGATTTGTTGAGAAAAAATCTATTTAATTTGATATTATTTTAAAAATAAATAGTATGAAATAAGTGAAAATATGTTGAGAGCATAAGACTTTGCTTAAATAGAAAATTTGAAATATTTTGGCAATAGATTTTTCTTTTTCTTTTGAAAAAGTTTGGTGGACGAATAGTGTCTAAAGCATGAGTTAGAGCTTTGCGTCTAAAGCATGAGTTAGAGCTTTGCGTTGCACCTTTCCATCGTCGCAGCATCTTGAATCCGATAAGCTCGGTAGAGGCTCAGAAACTTTCGAGCAGTGACCACTCCCGATTGTGCCGGCATTTCTTCTTGCTTGTTCCTCGGGTGGATCTGTTTCGGCACAATCGTTAGCCTCATTCCTCGCTTTGCTATTTAGCATGTTTTGGTACACGGAGTAAGGGAGCGGGCGCATATTGTTGCTGCCCAGTTTCAACTGTCCGAATTGCAGATTCGAATCCATACTTTTAAGCCCCACTCGACTCATTACATATGACGACAGATCAAAGCTCAAAGGAAAGGACACATGGCCCTATACAGAAGAACAATAATAGTTAGCCGGACGAACTAAACATTTAAGCCTTACCGAGAGAATATCGAGTGATTAGTTTTTCAGCATAACGTGTTAAGGAAATTCATTGGACATATAGGCATGGGCAGTTTGTATAAATTAGGAAATAATGCAATATCACATTCAAGAAATCTAAGTACCTGAAGTTTTACGGATTGTCCAAACATGTCATATGAAGCTCGTTGCAGATGAATGCACAGAATCTGCACGAAAAATAATATGGGAAATCCGATCCCAGATTATATGGACATATTCCAATGTACTCCCTACAAATTCTAATGACCGGGATGTAATAGTATAGCGATTACCTTAGGGCTCCGAGCAACACTCAATTGCTTGAAAGTGCGGGAGAATCTATTCAACCAAGGAAACGCGCCAAGGGATGGAAGAGACTTACAGTTACAGGAATCATTTTTATTACAGAGTTGAAGCGTTTCAACATCTGTCTGCACGAACAGCGCCAATTTTATATGGGAACTAGTAGCATCGCGGAAATAAAAAGTGTAGCATAGGTTGTTATACAATTCTACGATGGCATATAAACTCAGATCGGTAAGAGGATTAACTTAAAAAATAAATATGAAAAGGCGCATTCAATTAGAACTGTTACATGAAATAAGTGGATCTACTAGTATTCGTCCACCCCACATAGTATGCAACTATGCATCAATAGGCATTCTACTTTAGAGTGACTATCTCTTAACATAAAATGATCCTAACTGAGGAGCTATTTTTAGGTACCATAAAAATTCTTCTAGAAGGGTCCACTGATTAACTGAAGGAGAATTCATGAACTGACTTACGATACTAACTGCAAAAGAAATGCCTAGACTAGTTACAGATAAATAGTTTCAACTTTCTCACAACTCTTCAATATCTCTCAAGTTCATGAAATAGTTCATCATACCTTTCCATGATTGTAAATTGGAAGCCCTTGGGATGCTGCAAGGGTTGACTCCTAAATGTAAGACACTTATCGCAAATCTAACGATCCCTAAATGTTAGAAAGCAGTGGTATTATAAGTAAATGTCTAAAATTAATGTTTGAAGATTATAAAATAATTGAGGTTTTAAGAGGTCTTTTGGCTAAGGGCAGGGAAAATATCCTTAATAGAATGAGAAGAAAGTCTAGTATATCTTTTCTTTTCTTTTTTCCCTCTACTCCAAATAAGATTTTCACTTAAAAATAGGTGGGAACAAATGAAGTGTGGCGCTTGCCGCCAATATATCTACCATATGTATCTATAACAGCTTTAATTGTGTATGTATCTTGTCCTTTAAATCATTGCAATTGATTCTCAAATTTCATTACCTATATGGCTCCCATTGCCTCCTCGAATTCCCAAGTTTAGCCTTACTTAACAGGATCGATTAGGAAAATCAACTATAGAATAAACTATCATGTCTGAAGCCAAAGCTGTTAAAATCAGAAAAATAAAATGAATGAAGTTAGTAAGAACTAAATAGAAAGATTACTTTTTCAGAAAATGAACAGGCGTATTCAATTGCAGCTGCATGCCAACAATTGCTGCAGCAATAATTCTCTAGACGTTCTGCCGCAAAATGATTCTTAAGGCAATCATCCAGTGTGCTTCCATCCTTCTAAATTTGGAAAGAAGAAAACATTAGCATAACAATGAAGTAAATATATTGAGGAATATGAAGCCTGATGGATATATTCAATTCAACATACAATTGTAGCATCACTGCTCATTGGGGGTGCAAGGTGTAGAGTATGGAACATTTGAAATTCAAGAGAGATCTGCACACACAGAAAAAGTAAATATTGTAAATAACTGAAGTAAAAAAAGCACTAAAAAGACAAGAGTTATGATGCTACAAAATAAAACTTAATATATATGACATCAAAAACATATACCTATTGCCAAATAGATATTTAAACTACAAGAACCTATACATCAAACTATTATTCCACCACCTCCCCCTATACCTCCTTTTGCCAAATATATATTCAATGAGCAATTTTATAGTAACTTTTGTAGGGAAGCAAATAGCTACCAATTAATCTGCAAAGAAGTAACTACGAAAAACAAGATTATGGAATCCATTCAAAATTCTTACTAGTACCATTCAACCTGAAACGAACAGCTTTGGCATACTAAGATGCTGCCAAGGATCCCATCGAAAGGCTTAAGAAATGTCAGCTTCCATTTTTGCCATCTGCTCTCCTCATCAGTTTGTGTTCTGATAACATACCTACCATTAGGGAGTACAGGCAGTTGTGCCAAGTAGCTTTTAACTGGGACACAATGTTCCGATATTTCTTCTCTCAATGAACATAAAAGATGAGAAAATGCTTCCTCAGCATCCTACATCCAATCCAATAGTTAGAAATTCCACAACGACATTGATAAATACATAACATTCTGATTAGAATAATGACCTGCTGCTTAGTTAGGTTAAAGTTTGGAATATAATGATCCATTGCAAGCATCACTTTCCGAGGACTTAGAACTGTTTGCCCATGGCGTACAGTACGTAGTTCTGCAAGAAATAATAATGATCATCAAGCCACAGAGCAGATGAAACTATCATGTTTTTCTTTAACTGAAAAATACGACAGTTGGTCGACTAGGCTGTCATCATTCTTTTGAAACTAAAATAAAGCCCTGAATGGCTGAATCAATAGATCACAGATAGGTTCACACCAAAGCAATACATGGCTAATAGGTACTCATATCTCTCTCTCTCTCTCTCTCTATATATATATATATATGTGTGTGTGTGTATAAGAAAAGCCATAAACAACCAAAAGAAGGAAAGAGCTTCGCAATCAAAGGCATTCAATGCTATCTTAAAAATGGACATATACATACGAAAATGCAATTAGAAATGCACAAGAGGTCATAAACATCATTAGGGGATTCAATTTTCCAATTACAACAAGCAATTTACACAAACGAAACTCAAAAACAACTTAAACTGATAAAATCAATTCACCTTCCACTAGTGAAGCTAGCGACGTAACAAGCGGCATATCTTCATCTCCATCGTATGAAAATGATCCATGCTCCTCAACCATCTCCAAAAGATACTTCCAGAAACTCGGACAGCTTGACAACGCCTGAACACAAAAACGCAACCAAAGAAACCAACAGAATCCAAAATCCATCAAAACCAAACACTAGCAAACATTCAAAACACATTAAAAACAAAAAAAAACAATACAACCTAACTTGCACAAAAATGAAAAATCACAACTGAATTAATTTGAAAACTAACTCGCTACCTGCAAAACAACATTCAGGAAGCAGTTGTTCCCGAGATTTTCCAGCCCAGGGACAATCCAAGCCCTAGGAGATACGGTTCCTTGGTCCAAAGGATTTGATTCAATCAAATGTTTGGCTTTAATCACCAAAACACCAACAGCACCCAACGCGACTACAGTGACTGAAAATCTCAGCCCAGGAGAAACAATCCAAGTCATTTTCGATCCATTTTTCGGTTTCCAAATCGAAGAACTGAATTTTGTGCTCGGAATTATCATATCATCCAGCAGTAAATTCGATGAATCAATTCGGCTGCCGCCTTTTCGCCGTCGCCACGACAAGTACTCCGAAATGACGAACTCTCGCACATTCTTTACAACCCACCGTTTCACTTTCTATTTATATATGCACTTTTTGTTTAGCAAATTTCAGTTTAAATCCCTGGAATTTTAGTAGTGTTACTTTTGCCCCTTTAATTACAGGGAATAACCTATCAGCCAAAAAAACATCTTCAGTGTGTTCATTTTTATTTTATTTTACTTTATTTATTGTGATTTGATATAAATTTTTTGCTAGAAAATATTGAATATTAAATCGTAAATTTGCATTAAAACAACTATAAAAAAAAAAAAAGGACAAGTAAAAACATCTCTTAATAACATATATATAAATATATTATTCCCAAATGTTTTCAAAATTCCAAAATGGAGTCTTCAATTGGGATTTGCAAACAGAAAATCCAAGCAAAACCCAAGAATCATATTATTATGCATCTCCCCTATAAAACAAAATACTCAAAATTATAAGTTAAAAAGAGAAAGAGAACTCAGACAAACACATTCAAGAATTCTCATCCAGAGGATGTCTGCTGCCCGGAATCTGTCCTCTGGCTGCCATCCGCCGGAATATCCTCATCGGCGGCCTGACCTGCCGCCGGAAGCGTCGGAGCCACCGGAAACGGCCAGTACTGATCGAGATCAAACCGGTCCGGATTACGATAAGCCATCAGCTCATCCAACAACCGATTCGAAGTCGAACCACCATCGCTTCCGTGCAGCCGTTGCACAGCGTCGAGCGTCATAAACCCGGCTAAATTCGACGGCCCATAATTCCCGTCAGGCTGCTGATGAAACTGAGCCTGGCTATGCACAATCGCCTCGTCTGAAACTGAGACGGGACTAATCTGACAGTCAGGATTGAACGAGGAGGACGACGATGATGCAGCCGGATGGGTGTTAAGCAGCCGGACATTCTCGGGGAAGTTGAGCTTAGCCTTGTTGCCTCGGAACCGGAGGGCCGCCTCGTCGTACGCACGGGCAGCGTCCTCGGCCGTGTCAAACGTCCCGAGCCACACCCTCGCGGCTTTGTAAGGATCCCGGATTTCGGCAGCCCATTTTCCCCAAGGCCTCTGCCTCACACCTCTGTATCGTCGGCTCAGCCGCATGGCACCCCCGACGCCCAATGCCTGGTGCTCGGTCGGGTGCAGCAGCGTCGGCGTGTACATGTACACGGCAGATGACCCTGTCGTAGGTATTACGCTCGTTCTCGGAGCCGGAGCCGGAGCCGGTGGACTTGCCTCTGCAAATAGTTTCGTGCAATGAATTCGTATTAAGTACTCAACTTTTTACCAGTTTCAAAATTTTTCAAAACTACAAAATTTCGATCTAAATGGAGCATAATCTTCGTCTATCAATCATGTCAAATATTTACTTTCAATTCAAATTTTTTTACTATTTACAATTCATGCGTAGATGCGACGAAAATAAGTAACTATAGCAACAGTAAATGTGATCACTTTGCGCGTAAATTAAGTCCTTAATACACGAAGTCGAAAATTACCTAATGAAGCTAGCGTCGGACTTGCCTCTGCAAATGGTTTCGCACAATGAATCAATCGTCTAAAATATCATATCAAACGACAATTTCTCATTGTCTATTCGGAACAATTGTATCGATCGCGCCAAACTTTAGTTTCAATTCAATTTTTATACTATCTTCAATTCATGCATCGATGCAATGAAAATGCATAACCATAGTATCGTGTAATTTATTGAACTCTCTCTCTTCTAAATAGAAAGAAGTTGAAAATTACCTAATGAAGCTGCCAAGTTGAAAGGTGCAATGGGAATATCAGCGGCAACAAATTCAGGTCTCTGCTGATCACCGCCATTGATTTGTTCGACAGCACCTTCGTCTCTGCCGCCGGAGACGACACGAGACAGAGCAAGCACCATAGCAGACATCTCTCGCTGTCTGTCGATTCCAGGAAGCAAAGGAGAAGCCAATGAATCCCACACGTTGCTATTCCCCCTTACGTCGAACACCTCGTGTGCATCATCGCTGCTTTCACCCCTCTTCCCCTGAAAATCGTCCCTTCGATTCGCCACTTTGATTTCACACATGTAAGATTACACCAACAAAGATATATCTATATATATACGCATATAATATATTTAGCCTCAGGGACTTTGCTGATCTTGTTATCAATTCAAAAGTCAGAAAATTCAAATTTGATGGATTTTCTTCTCGCTACCAGAAGAACAATCAAATTAATGCTTCTTAATTCCAGAAGTTTGACGCGATCCAGCTCTCCATTCGAACTTCCTGCACAGACCGTTATAGTAAATATATATATATGTGTATATATACAGAGATGTATGCAAGTATCAACTACGGACAAGTTGGGGAGGTGAAGTCCATTCTTCATAATTAAATATCCGCCGCCAAAAGATGAGAATTGTCAACGCTGAATTTGGTTGTTGTTCTTCTTCTTCTTCGACTGTAGATGAGATCAGATTTATTTAAGGAGGTTTTTGGCGGTTTCAATTAGGATACGGTGGGCTCCATTTGACTAGCTAGGTTTTGGTGAGCGATTAACAAGTGCGATTTGGCAAAGACGGGAGAAGTGTGAATTCACATTGAGCAGGGAATCGCCGACGCGGTTTCGAGCAAACTCTGTCGGCGGCGGAGGCAGGGCGGAGCCGACATCGCCTCCGCCGCCCTGGTTTCGAATTCGGTGGGGGTGCAAGTAGCTACTACACAATGTGACTGAATTTATGAGATTGAAAAAATTGGAACTACTTCTGTACATTATTTTTGTAGTTGATTTTAATGAGCTATATTAAATTGTACCGAATTTATTAGGGTAGTTAAATTATTTATTAAATATGTTTTATCTAAATTTTTGTATTTATAATGATACACTCAAATTAACTAAGGCAAAATGAGTATTATGTTATAAATAAATTATTTTCAATTAAAATTTCAACTTAAAACTAAGACTCCATTCATAGTGTGTTTGTTTGGGAATTATCCGTTCATTTTTTTTTTCTTTAAAAATATTAAATTAAATATCTATTTTTTATTTTTTATATTAAACTAAAAATTAATTTTACATTAAAAATATCACATTACAACCTATTTATATCACATTATACAACTATTCAAATTCAAAATTTTTAGTATTCAAATATCAACTCAAAATTCAAACCCCCAAACAAACACACTCTTAAAAGAAAACTTTTATAGAAGATTTTTAGAATTTTGAAGATTTTAAAAAAATAATACTATTTATTTGATGTTCTCTAAAAATATATATATATTTAGTACGATATTTTTTAAAAATGAATAAAATATTTTATTATAAACATAGCCTAAGTCGGTAACAAAATGCACAGTGTGTGTTTGTTTGTACAATTTGAAGAATTTTTATTATTTATACAAATTTTTTTGTCAAAAAATATTAAATTTAATATTTAATTTTTATATTATATAAAATTAAATTTATATTTAAAATATTATATCAATATTTATTTATATCACATCTACTATTATTTAAATTTAAATTTTTATTATTTAAATATCGAACTCCAAATAAATAAGTGGTGGGAATTAATTATGTGCCACAGGACCAGTGCACCGTACGTGACGTGGACGAGTTTGGGTCCAAGACGATGTCGGTGTTGACTCAGGTCAAATTATTCACTGCAACGCGCTTTGCTTTACCGTGCCCACACCCAATTATATTTTTATGGAGTATATATTTATTCAAATTTAATCATTTATCTAATAATCACAATTAGTTATTTAATTATTTTTAGACCCTAATCTACCATTTCAATAGCCTTCTAATATTTTCATATACTTTAATAAATTACATTGAAGTCAAAGTCAAATATAAGTTAGGACTGTAATAATATTTATATATAATATATTATTTAATCAATCTTTTTTTAATATTACAATTAATAATTTTATATTTAAAACAAATAAAGAATAAGTTAAAACTAAATATTTATTTTTTATTTAATATATTACTAAAATATAATTTTATTTAAAAACTATAAAATAGTATATATTTATACTTAATAAAAAAATATTTCAATTCCAAATTTTTATTATTCACATATTTAAATCCAAATCTTAATTAAACACAAGTTTGTCATTTTTTCCTACCTAAAACACAACCAAATAAATTATTAAAATGGCATGATTAATAAGAGAATATATAAGATCGATCCTTTTAGCATTTTAAATCAAAATTAATAATATTTATTTTGTATAATTTTTAATAAAAATATATTATTTTATTTTACCAAATATCATATTAAAATAATATTTAAACAAAACCTTAAATTAATATTTTATTTCGAATTAATTTCAAAATCACAATCAAATAAATAATATTTTACCAATTTCCTTGTTATTTTGAAATTTTAAAAGATGGGAATTGAGAAATATATATATATATATATATATAAATAGATCATTTTTACTATTAAAAAATCTCCAAGTTGATGTATAATCCACTATCATGTACATGACACATTCCTTTTGACATTAGAAATTTTGGCTTTATTATTAAATGAAGTCAACAAAAAAAAAATAAAATTTTGACATGTTTTTTTTAAATAAAAATAAATAAGTCAATGATTGGAGCACGATATTAGAGTATGTTTCTTTGATGTATTTAAAAAAATTTTAATTTGAATTTGATATTAAAATAATATATAATGAAATATTTTATAAATTCTAAAAATACATAGTGTAAATAATAAAAATTTTAAATTTTTGAGTAACAGAAATATATATAAATATATTTTTCTTTTGTTCTTTTAAAACATATATATTTTTTAATAAGAACATTTTTACATAAATTTGCCAATATATTTCTATCTTATTTTATAATTTATTAGCATATATAAGAACATTTTCGTCTATACATTCCTACAAACAACGCATAGGATTTTGTTTTGGTCCTGGTTTCAAAACCAAAATTTTACTATTTAATTTTGATATAATTTTACATAAACATATGTTTTCTTCTTTCACAAAAATCATATTAAAGTATCATTTAACTAAAAAAAAAAAAAAAAAAGAAAATCAATTTCAAACATATACCGAACACACCCAAAAAATTGATACACAAATATATTTAAGAAATTGTACAAAAAATTAATAAATAAATAAACGCAATGAGAATAGAATATGCTTCAAACTTTGAAATTAAGACTAATAAATATTTAAAATTATGTTGTTGTTATTATTATTATCATTATTACTACATATTAATAATATAGGCAAATATGTCAACCTCTTTTTTCAATATAATTCACACTATAAATATTAACTTTTGTCCATTAAAAATAGAGGAAGAACTCTGGTCAAAATAATAATAATAATAATATATATATATATATATATATATATATATACACTTAGTATTTCATTTATCAATTTCAAATCTTGCAATTTGGATATTAGGGATTGGTCCATTCTAATCCAATCACAATCTCAATATCAAATGGCTAGAAACTCAGGGCAAAATTATATAACATAAAATAATAAAATTTCATCGAATATTATACTATTTAAAATAATATTAATTTTAATTTTAAATCAAAATCAAAATCAAACAAAATCTACATAGGAATGCAGCATTTAGCTTTTGACCTTGACATTTTCAACTATATGTAAGAATGAATGGTTCATATGAACCACCTTAATTGGCTTTAGGTTGTCACCCCTACAAATTAAAGTTGATTTTATCAATCAATTATGTGCTGTATTTCTTAATTCGCTTCAAATAATTCATGCATGCTTTTGACTTCAATCCAAGTGGTATCTCTCATACCTTCATCCATATTTTGCTTCAAATTTTTTAAAAGTATATAAAAATTAAAATTTGACTTAATATTTTTTTATAATATATATAATATTTCTAAGATGTGAAAATAAAACATGATATAAATTATATATTGCCAAAAAAAAGAAGAAAGTAAACACTTCATTACTATAACATACCTTTGTCTTTAATTTTTTTTTTTTTGTACATTATAAATAATACTCTATTCGTCCATAATAGTTATATCATATATTTTTTAATGTCGGTTGAATTTGTATATAATTCATTTATAATAAATAATTTTATTTATTCATAATTTTATTATTTTAATATTAAATATTATTATCTTTTAATTATTATGTTCAAACAAACTTATGCAATTCTACCAAGTCGGATGAAGTATTCTTCTACCGAAAAAATTATATAATTTTGGTTGAGCACCGAAATAAAAAATCAGTAATATTATAATATTGTTAATTGTTCAGCTGACGTTCGAGATTTTGCCTGTAACATATGATTCATCTAATGTGATTTTTTTTTTGTCAGACTTAGTTTATAATTATAGAAAATTTATTAATAAGCTGTTAAAAAAATTTAAAGGGTAAATTAAAAAAAATAGTAATAAAATTATTACTAGTATTTGTTAAAATAGAAATAACAAAATTATGTGTAAATGTAAATAAAATATACAAGGAAAAAAAAAAAACTGAGATAATTTTGGCGTGGAGTATTAAATTACATCATTTTTTATGCTGTACTCAATTTTATAGTGTGACTAACCAAACATTTGTCAACTATTAATCGTTGACTCCACACAGTAGTACCTCAAGCTTCAACAGTAGTACCCCTCGTTCCCCTTTTCTTCAACAGTGGAGACGAGACTAACACGGTATTTTCAGATTTCCGAGTCCTCCGCAATTCTTGACAGGTTTCCCAGCTTCTGCAACACCTAAATTTTCGATCGGACAAGGTGCTGAGAATTCAGAGGATTTCTGGTTTTGGAAGTTATGGCGGAGGAGAAGGACGCGACGTCGGTGCCGCTGAGTCAAATTAGTCGCCAAGAGCAAGAAGATGAAGAGCGACCAGATCCCGAAGATCCATTGAAATCTACTCCATCTTCTCCCGATTCTTCTACTCGTACGGTTTGTATTCTTCAACCAATTATTATATATGTGCGTATTTGTCTCGATAGATATCTGAATTGAATCACTTGTGAACTGCGATTAGGTTATCGATGGTAGAATCTTGCGGAGATAGTTGAAATTAAGGTTGATTCGACTTAGTTACAGAGAAATGCGCATGGTGAATCGAGATTTTTTTGTTAATGTGCCTAATTGGATTGTTAATTAGCTCCTTTGATGATGAATCCATGAACGAAAATGCAATAACGAACTTGACCTAATTTTTATCCTAAGTATTGGAAATGGATTCGTTGAAAGATTCTCATTATGATTTATTGTATCTTCTCAATGTTCGTTATCAATTTGGTTTGCTCGATGTTTTAATTGTTCATTCTGTTCATTAGATTTTTGTTTTACATTCAATTATTTGAGTTGCTTCAGGACCGTCAAGATAATTTAGTGTTGCAGGTTCCTTCAAGATCCTTTTAGTGCAGAAACTTGTTTTAATCTCTTGAAACGAAACTAAGTTACGTTTATTCGACTAACGGAACTTCAAAGGTGTAATGCCGGCTATAGTTTTTGGTTTGTCGATGCCTAAGTTTTGTTTTTTCTGATGCTACAGGCGTGCTGTTTTTTCCTTCAAAGTTGGGTTTCTAAGAAGTTCATGACTGGATGGTACTTGTTGCTCTAGCATTTGTCATTGATCTGTGCGTATTTTTTCGTATTTTCCACGATTAAGTGTTAAATTAACCCTTACATTGAAATCACAGTGTAGTTCTGTTCCCAGTTGCTGTTACATTTTTCGTGACTTGGTGGTTCGTTCAGTTTGTTGATGGATTCTTTAGTCCTCTGTATGATCGGCTGGGAATTGACATATTTGGTAAGTTTGTTGCCTATATATATATACACACATATGTTTTTGGTTGTGTCATCAGATCGTTATCTTGTCATTTCTTAAAGAATTATATTTGCATCTTCTTTACAGTTTTGTACTTGTTATGTCGTACTGTGATGCATATTGATAACTCCAAATCTCTTTTGTATAAGATGAATCTCGTCTATTGGTATTAGTTCATATGCCGTCACATTGGTAAAGATCAATCATTACCCTCTGCTTTCTTATGGTGCTTGGGAAATGCTTCTTGAATCGATTATTTTTGGGTGCAGGGCTTGGGTTTGTGACGTCATTGCTTTTCGTATTCCTTGTTGGTGTCTTTGTTTCCTCATGGTTGGGTGCTACAGTTTTCTGGCTTGGGGAATGGTTTATAAAGCGAATGCCATTTGTTAGTTATATTTACTCCGCCTCCAAGCAAATAAGCTCTGCAGTTTCACCTGGTAACTTTTCTTGGTTGCTCATGTATTTGTTACCGATCCTTTAAAAGAAATGTGCAAACAAGCAAATAATCTCCTGACATATTGAAAATGTTTTACTTTTTTACTTCTTGGCAATATATCAAAAGGATCTTATACGATTTTAAGTATCTAATTACCGATTAAAAGACAAAGCGCGCAAACAATTCATGATCTCAAACACTGTTGGTTACTAGATTTGTGCATATCTCATAAGAACATTATTGATGTTGTTTCTTATATATTTATTTTGGTTACAGACCAAAACAACACTGCATTCAAGGAAGTAGCAATTATTCGACACCCTCGTGTGGGTGAGTACGCATTTGGCTTTATCACTTCGTCAGTTATACTTCAGGTATAATTATGCTTTTCTCTAATTTGTTGTACTGATATCGTCAATCATTCTATCTCATATCATTTAGATACTTCTTCTTCTTCCCTTTTTTTTTTTTTCATATTAGAAACATAATTCCAAAATATAATCATGTTTGTGAATCTATTCTTATTTATTGTCTTTGTTACCTGATAATCACTTTTGTTTGTATTATGTACAGAAACCTTACTGTTAATAGTTAGAGAGGCCATTTACATATTCACCCAAATTTTATCAAACTTATGAAAAGCTGATTGTGTCTTTAGTGGATAAATAGTTGACAATTTAAATTCTAGATATTGCCAAAAAATAAAAAGCATACAATTGCTTCGCGTAGTTGGAGATGGAAGTTGAGATTTTTTTTGAACTATAGACACATTATTCATGGATTCACTCAGTCCAGAAATGCACCATCATTGTAATATACTTACTACAGAATAAAAGGATGAAATTGACTATGTGAAATCAGTTCCGAGAAAATGGCTGTGAATTTGCATTTTCATTTTTAACAATGAATTTAGTGTGACAACTTCCCCATATTCGATGTTTGCCTTTTTTTCGCAGTACTGTTTATGTACCTTATTGTTTGCTTTTGTCATCTTCTAATTCAGAGAGACGACGGAGATGAAGAACTATGCAGTGTATTTGTTCCCACAAATCACTTGTATATTGGCGATATATTCCTAGTTAATTCCAACGACATTATAAGGCCCAATCTATCCATTCGGGAAGGGATAGGTATGTTGTGTTGTTAAGTTACTACTTTTCACTTTTCTTTCAAACTTTTTGAAGTGTGTGACAACTCCATCTTTTAGAGGCCTACAATTAGAAGTACTAAAATTGACAGTGTACCCATTATCATTACTTGGGCTCGTTTAGATAGAAGTTTTGAAAACAGTGAAAAATTGGATATTTGATGTGATATTTTGGTAGGAGAAAGAATATTTGATTCGTTTTTTTTTGAAAAAATTAGTGTTGATAAATAGTGACAAGTTCAAAAAATATCTCTACGTAAACGAAGGAACCGTGTGTTGTGCGATTATATAATATAGCTTATTTCAAGTAAAATAAAACCTTTTTGCTGCCAAAGTTCATTATAATTCTATTGATTTATTTTATTATTATTTTTTTTAAAATTTCTTTAAATGCTAAGTTTACCACTTCATAGAATATGATATGTTTCGAAAGATTACTTCCTCAGCTGTTTTGTGTGCAACAGAGTTCGATCGAAGCTCTTAATTTCCTTATTTTCGACATTTCTGTACATACTTAATGCAGCTTACCGATCTTTTTCTTCAGAAAAAAATTGTGGGAAGCAAAAATGTAACCTTACCCGAAATCTAGAGATTCTTTATTATAACTATGTTGTTGAAACTGCAGAAATAATAGTTTCTGGAGGCATGACGATGCCGCAGAAGATCACACCTATCGCTCCTGTGGATAGAGTTATTCGACAAGGCGACAGAGTTTCACTCAGCAGACTAATGTAAGGTCGAATGCTCGATACTCTGATACTGTATTGTGTCGATGGGATTCGGCATCGAAAAAAGCAGAATAGAGGTAAACATAGAGGTGCCTTTACTGTCATGTTTTTTGTGTTCCTTATGATTGATATGTACAAAGAAACAAATTGCAGATGATGATGATGATGATGATGATGAGATGAGATGTTCTTTTATTTGTGGAATGTGTGTTTTTCTTTCTTTCCTTTTATTGTGTGTGTGTGTGAGAGAGAGAGAGAGAGAGAGAGAGCAATTTAGGTTTGTTTTTCTAAATTGATTTAAAAATAGAATGTAAATTTGAATTTTTGTTTAAAAAAGTAATTTGGAAATTACAATAATATTTTTATGATTTTTTTTTTTTTTTAGAAAGTTTACTTGGTGACATTGTCGTAAATATATTGAATTTTAGGGTTATGATTTATGTAACATGGTAAGATTTTGGGTTTGTTCTCTAGTGTTTTTTAGGGAATAATTTTAATAATATTATTAAAAAAATATAATATATATACACATTAATATAAAATATTATTTTTATATTATCAATACAATTTTTTATATTTAATATAAAATATTTTTATTTAAAAGACGCAAAGGGAACAAAACCTTGTTTATATATAAAATTTTGAAAGTTTTTGATAATGTTCTTAATTTTTCAAAGATTATTACTTTGTTTTCTCTTGTAAAATATTATATTAAATATTTAAAATTTGGATTTGGATTGATAGTTTGTATATATAAAAATAGCTAGTGATTTCAATGTGTTTTTGAAGTAAAAATGATAGAATTTTGTTGCGTTAGAAAAGGAGATAAAATAATAGAATGCATAGGAATAAATGAAAAATTAAATGACATAGTAACACATTTTGTGGTTTTTGTATTTTTTATACTAGTATGTTTTTATTATTCAATCTCCTAATTTAGCCTTAATTTTATTATTAACCACTATGCCTTTGATTTCTTTTATTTATTTATTAATTTGAAAGTGACCGTACCACATATTTACTCTACAAAATAAAAATAAATATTAATAGTATATATTATTAATGTACTCATTCCATTGTCATTTTCATCGGTCCACAAGTATTTTCCGTTTTAGTAGATGCAATCCCGATAAATTCTCTGAACTTATCAAATTAAAACCTAAAGACCAAATTTTTACTCATATAAAGTATTTACCAATTATTATTTAAATATAATATTTCTTAAAATTTACGCTAAAAATTAACTATATATATCTTTTGAACAAACGAAAAAAAAAATGTAATTCTTAAAATACTTTAAATAAGAAATAAATACTAAATATCATATATTTTCAAAGAAAATAAAAAAAAAAAAATTGAAAATTTTAATAGTAATAGTCAAGAAACCAACAAATGCAGAATTAATTCGGTAATGAAGCCAATGTGAAAAATGCAGAATTATAAAAAATCCAACATTACCAAATCAAGCAGAGGAAATGATGTATTAACTGAAGTATTTATAATTCTTGTTTCACTTCAGTTTGTTTATATCCTTAGCTCAAAATAAATAATAACGGTTCGAATCCCTGTTTTGGTTTTGGAACGGTCACAGTTTAGCAGAAACCATAATATATAATGCATTGTGTAAATTAACACAGCATACAGCAACAAAAAAGATCGAAAGAAAGGCGAGGAGACTCACCGGTTGAATTTTCCCTGAAAGCCGCCTTTGTTCTTGGCAAAGAAGGCTTTCTTCGGTTTGGGAATGTCGTGGATATCCATCACTTGAATTGTTCTTTGCTTTTTCGCTGTTTAGTGATAAAAAAAATAAAATCGAATGGTCAGTAATACTATAGAGAAGATTGTATGTTTTTTTTGAAGTTTGATTCCTGACCATTCTGTGCTTCTTGGTAGTTTTCTTGGAGTCGCTTTCTTGCTGAATTCAGCCTTTCGTCGTCTATAACAGATCCTCCTTGCATCTTCTGCAGAAGAAATTTTCAAGTAAAATGTCTGCCGTATTTAAGTAAAACCATCTGAACTATTTTGGGATATTATAGTATAAGATGTAATGGAAGATCTTGAGGTTAGGAGAAAGTACATTAGGAGGAGTGGAGGTCGGTTTTGGAACTGGCTGCGGAGGTCTTGATGGAGGTTCTCTTCGAGGCGCGGATTGGGATGGTTTTGGTTTCGGTTCGTGTTCTACGTAATTCCTTTCTGCACTAGAATTCCCATCTGCAAAAACGACAAAAAAGATCAAAACTTGGATTGGTAACTTAAGGGTAAAGTATGGCCGCAGTTAATGTGACAAATTTTATAATTTAGCACAACAACACAACACATCCTGTGATGTTACACAATATATCTACTGACAACATATGACATAACAACATATGAATTGTCAGCAAATGACATAGTCTCATACAACATAAGCTAACATTAATTCCAGCACAAAAATATATTCATACAATATACCTACAAGTATAAACTAGACAGCATGTGCTCACTAAGGCAAACCGTCCCCGGTAAAGTACATTATACGTCCTTGTGGTTTATTAAATTTCACAGCTCGAAAAAAGGAAAAAAGAATAAAAAAAAGTCTGATATTCTATTTATTGCATAGAATTCTTTTATGTTACTATAAGATCTCAACAGAATACTCTCTCTATCCAAAAGTAACTACAACTAAAAACAACAAGGATAGGCTTCGTCTATTTATTGCATAGAATCTCTTTAAGTTACTATAAAATCTCCGTAGAATACTCTATCCATATTTGAGTAACTACAACTAAAAATAACATAGGCTTCGAAATTGAACCTGAGCTTTAATTTCTTAGACAAGATTGAAAAAAGAAGCCGTTATTTCTATATTTTAAGTCATTGTTACTTTCCCCATAATATGATAACAAAATCAATATCAAAATCAGATTTGACACTCACTTCGAGGATTTGGAGAGTACCCGAAATCCGGAACCTGCAAGAATCCAAAAACCTCATTAATTCAACCATGGAGTTTGTGAAGATAATTTGATCTCCTTTTATTTCGAAACTTTCACTTCACCTGGTGATGACCATTCTGCCGATTTCTGGGAATGCTCGGCTGTGGCGAATCCGCATCAGCTGCCACCACAGTCGCCACCATTGTTAACAACACATGGAACCTCTTGCTTATTTTAATTATTCATTTTCATTCGAAAACTTCGTTCTTAGCTGGGATCAAACTCACCTAGAAATACTACTCAGCTATACATGTAACTCGATCTAAGTTTCAAACACCAAATAAATTTACCAAGTAGGTTAGAAGATCCATGAGGTTCATTCACGCTAACCCATTCGCCCACAGTTTCCTTCCATTTTCTGCACTCGAATGCGTACATAATCAAGAAAAGTTCAAACAGAAATGCAACAAATTAACCAATTTTCAAGAGGAATTGATCCATCCATCGATCTTTAAGGAACGAACCTAACAAGATGCTTCACCAATCTTCGAACTTCATTCGACGAATGCTTCCTCAATTGATTCACATATCGTCCTATATCAGTTTCCTATACAAAATTTTCGTCACTGTTTAGAACAAACATAAATCGATTAATCCCCAATCCTTCATGTCACTAAATCCTCACCTTCAGAGCTTGGAAAGTGATATCCATGTCTGACAGTGTTTGCAGCAGTTCTACAATTGATTCATCACTCTAGACACCAATGGAGGATCAAATTTCGATAACAATAGCATCTAATTTCATATACGATTTATACTCAGAAATCAAAATTGAAAGGAAAACCTGGTGTGGATCTTCAAGCTGCTCTTTGATGCTGATAATTGTCGTTTGTTCATCGTCAAATAAACCTCCGAATGGATCCAAATCATCCCCTTCCTCGCTCAAATTCCGATGGTCAGGACTCTTACCAAAATCCTCAATTAAATTGCGATTACTTTTCTCGTCGTCGTCCTCATCATCGTCCTCATCGATGCAGACCTTATCGTTTTCACGGTCGTCTCTATCGTCAAGACCGTCACTATTACCAGCTGTATCATTGCGAGCCTCACTACGATGCCCTTCCTCGACGTCGCCGCTGCAATTAGGACACCGCCGCCCCGCAGTAGCGTAGAGCGACTCAACAATTCCATCTCTCCGGCGTCGCAACTCCTCGCCGTGATCGGAGCCGGCGACTCGAATCGCCGCCTCGATCATCTCCCATATTCCGACTCTCGATCTCGACAGAACCGCGCGAAACTCATCCGAATCCATCGACGAATCGCACCCGCTTTTCCCCGATGCCTCGCCGGAAACAGACAACAACAACGACGACGACGAATCGAATCGAAGATGGAGAGGGTTAATACATTACATCATCATCGGATCTCATCAGGAACGGAATTTGTGGGGAGGCTGGGCAGTGTAAAACGACGTCGTAGAGAGCATACGTACGGTGATTGCGTACCGAATGAGGGAATTTTCATCTTATTCGAACATGAAGCAGCAGACGCTATTTTTAATTTTTTTTTATCGTTTTTATGAAATGACAAAAATGGGCATAATCATTGTGGGTATTTACTGATCTGACTGAAGTGTAAAAGCGTGCTGGCGGGCGGCATTTGTGTGAGGGTATCTAAGGGAATAAACTTTGATTCTCTTTTTTCTATTTTTATTTTTAATAAATGTTTACAATAATGATTAAATCGATAAGAATCGAATTTTCGGTTTTTGATTTAACTACAAATATATATATGGCTCCTTTTAGATATGAATTTTGGAAATTTTATAAAAAATAATAAATTATATATTTTGAATAAATTAATGTAAATAAATTTAAGTTCAAATATATCTATATAAAATATAAAATATTTTTAAATTTATTTTCTGAAGAGATATATAAAAATGATAAAATATAATTAGTACAATTTAATCAGTAGTATCGATTTGACACTATTCTAACACGTGATCCTTATGATTGGTCAACTCAATTTCATTAGAAATTGATAGTAATAATTTTGGGTTGATCAAAATACAATGGGCCACATGACAAGAGATATATAGATAAGGTGAAGAATTTATAATAAAATATTTAAAAAATCCAGCAAAACAATCCTGGGTTATCGATTAATATTATATAAACTCTATTTATTTGTATTTTTTAAATCAATGTTTCTATAATTCGTAAAAAAAAAAAAAAAATCATTAAAAATGTTATATTTAATCTAAATTTTATTTAAAATATTAAATAAAAAAAATTGGTTTGCTCAAGTATTTTTAAACTAAACATACATATATATATTTTTTCTTCTCATTTATACTTACTATATATATATATATATCTATTTAAATTATTTTCACTAATAGACCCTACTAATAATATTTAAAAGTAGTTGTCTTAGGTCGTATCTCTTATGTTTTTGTTTTTAAAATTATTGAATGACATTATTGTAAATATATTGAATTTTTATAATATTATGTCGAATAAACTAAAAAAGAAAAAAAAAAGGAATTATATTTATAGCATATACCAAATTAAGCAAAAATGATTATCTATCAATTAAGCACATAGACATGGGCTTAACAACATGGCCAATTGGTTTTTTTTTTTTTTTTTTTTTGGAGTTTAATTTTATTTATTTATATTTATTCGAATATTGGTTTTTATGGAATGTTTGTAAGAAAAAAATAAAAAATGTAAGAATCCTGAAAATTTTATAATAAAAAATTGAAACCTAAGTAAAAAAGAAAAGGTTTGTTCAGTTTGGAATTGAGTTTAAGTTTTTCATTTAAAATTTAATTTGAATAGTATTTTAATGTGATGTTTTGTGAGTATAAATAAATTTTTTTTATTAAAAATTGTGTCAAATAAATACTGTAAAAAATTTCAAAACAAATTATATAAATATATAAATCAAAATAGTATTTATTTAATTTAATTTAATTTTATAAATAATTACAAAAATAATACTCATATATATGAATAACTTTGGGGGAGCATAGGCTTTCCTTAAAAATTTGGCTTTGGTAACTATCCTTCCCACTTTTATTAAGGATCAATTCTTGTACAAATATAAATAAAATAAAAATAAATTGAACAATTCAATACAAGACAATTATTTTTTTTTTTAGAAAAGATACCAAATAATATAGTAACTATTCAAAATGTGTAAATCAATAATTATATTCGTAACTTTCCTCAATACTAACTATTTTATTGAACTATGGTACTATCTTTTCACGACTTTTCTTTACTACTTTAGGACAAAAAATCGACATTATTTTTCATAAAAGTAACATAGCAATTATTGAGTAAAAAAACTTCTCAAGTAAAATCAATCTTGGTATATATGATTGATGGTATATATAGATCAAGGCTATCAAGAATTGATTAGAAATATGAAAAGCACCATCAAAACATGAGTTATTAGGGCAATATAAATACAAAGGACTAACAACAACAATAATAAATTTCAATAATTATATATATATATATATATAAATCCATATTTGAAATAGTAATTTTCTTTTTTTTTTTACAACAAAATTAATCCTATTAGGATAGGATAACTTTTAGATGGTACTTTTTATATTCCCGATTTCTTGTCGATATTATTGTATTTAGTGCTTCAATTTTTCGTTATTTGTTTTATTCACTTTCGGATTCCTTACTAGCTTTGTCCTTGTTTCTTCTTAATCTATATTTTTGGACTAATTTTTCTTTAGCAAAAGACTTCGGGTTTTTTGTTTAGTGTTATAATTTTATTTATTTATTTTTTTAATGTGAAACATAGATAATTGTGTTAGTAATGTAAATAATAATATTTTATATTAAATATTAATTTTTTGTGATAAAATAAATATATAGTTAGAAACGTGTTAGATATTTGTAATGTATAATAGTACAAATTTATTAAAAAATAAAATAAATACTTATTTTAAAATGATTGAAAATAGCAAATTATGACATATTTTTCAAATAGACGAAGTGACGAGAGTACTTTTAATTTGAAACACGGCATCTAAAATCTATTTATTATTGTAAAAACAATTTAAATTCAAAGACAATCAAACACACAAATTTCTCATAATAATCACATGCAAAATTTTATAAACAATTCATGTATATACGTTGTATGGGTATGACTTTTATTTTGTGAGATATATATCCCGTTCTTTTTTTAATTTTGCTATTTCTCTCACTTTTTATTTTTCATGTTTTTAAATAAAAATCAAAATTATACTATTGTGATATTATTATTATTATTAAACAAATCAATACTGAATGTAATATTTTTTAAAAAATAATAATATAGCCATTTTGAATTTAAAAAGTAACTTAAATAATAATAAATAAAAAACAATTGAAATTTGATTAAAAAACAAAATGATTAAAAGCCACAAAATGACATGCCTTATAAAGGGAAAATTGAAAAACATATATTGTACATATTGTATAATTGTTATTCTTGTTTTTTAATTTTTATCTTAACAAAATATATTATTATTCAAGTATTATAAAAACATCGCGTGAGTTTCACATTTTTTCAAATTTACGCTCTTCTGTCATTGAATGACACGTTATATAATATTGAAGGAAAAATTGCAAAAAATATCCGACACCTATACCTCATTATCACTTTTGTCATGTATTTATCTCTTTAGCAAAATATATCTCACATGTTTTCAAAGGTCGTTATTTCTATCATTTGACCGCGCGTGATTGCGCGTAAGGGCGCGTTGTGTGAATTTCACGCGCGAGAAAAGAACATAAATAACGATTTTTGTAAACATGTAAGATATATTTTGCCAGTGGATAAATACAGGACAAAAGTGATAATAGGGTATAACTGTGGGATATTTTTTGCAATTTAATCTAATATTGAATATATTTACAAAATATTTTTAGCAAAATTGTAACATTTTATTACGGTATCCATAAAGTGCAAGTTAATGCGACTGAGATAGAAATTCACGTGTAATCATTATACTCAAATATCAAATATGTTTTACTAAAATGACAATTAAAAACAAAAATAATAATTAAATATTGCACATAATATTTTTTTGCACTTTTCCCCTTATAAATGTTGTTTTCATTTTTTTTTTTGTATAGATCTTTTTTACTATTTAATATATATTGTTTATTTTATTAAAAATATTGAAAATAAACATAACTAAATATATATAGTAATAATATAACATAATACTCCCTCCGTTCCATATACCAACGTCTGCTACACTTGTAGACATGGTATTTTAGCAGAGTTGTTGTAATTAAAAGATAATTAAGAATGTATCAGTGAAAATAATTATCCTATAATATAAATAATTATAAATTAAGATTAAGATAACTAATTAGTTTAATTAAAATTAAAAAGTTTAAAATAAGATTAAAGTGTGTAATCATTTTCCAAAAAAAGAAAATGATATGGAACGTGGGACAGACAAAAACGACAATGTGGACATGATATGTGGGACGGATAGAGTATAATATAATACTACCTCCGTCCCATATAGCTACATTGTAGACATGGTATAATTAAGAATGTATTAGTGAAAATAATTATCCGATAATATAAATAATTATAAATTAAGATTAAGATAACTAATTAGTCTAATTAAAATTTAAAAAAAAATAAAATTAAAAAGTTTAAAATGAGATTAAAGTGTGTAATCATTTTCCAAAAAAAAATGAGATAATATATGGGACGGACAGAAATGACAACGTGGGAATGTGACGGAGGGAGTATAATATATATATATATATATTGTCTAATCAACTTTAGATTGAAGCACATGTTGCCACTTTATTTAATTGTCAAAAGTTGCCCATTCATGTTTAAATAAAAAAAGCAGGGGCCAACTTTGCTGTATTTATTTATTTATTAGATTTTGGATATATATATTTATTGTTTATATAAAAAAACTCTTAATAAATACTAAATTAAACATATATATTTATCATATTATATTAAAACTTATTTTTATACTACAAAATATTATATAAATAATTTTTTTATCATATTAAATTATTAATTTAATTTAAATTTTATTATTCAAAATATAAAGTTCAAACTTACAACATAACATAATATATATATATAGCATATACTAATGCATATACTTTTATTTAATTTGGTTGTACAATCTTTATTTTGGATGGTGACAAAACAAATATTTATTCACCAAATAAACTATTTTCATTTTGTACTTTGACATATTTTAAAATTATTTTAGAACTTGTTATTGTGTTAAAAATAAGTGATATAAAGAAATTTATATTTTTCAAATAAGAAATAACTAGAATTTCTATTTTAAGAAATAAAAAATTAAATTAATAAAAAAATATTTATATATATTTTCAAATTATTTTTGATATTATTTATTAATGTTTATACTTTAAAGTAAGAATAGTTATGATATTATAGAAAATAAATTAATGTTTCGTACGTTGAAATTCATTTTTATTATTTTTTATTTTTTTGATGACGTTGAAATTCATTTTTATTGCATATATGTATCGTAGGTGTAGATTTTATTGAATTATGTGTATTTAATGAATATAGTTTATTTTGGAGAATAAGGTTTTTAAAAAGAAAGATAAAATAACTTACATGTAATTGTTTTGACTTTTTTTATAAAAAAGTTTTCAATATTTATATTCATAGTTATGTTTTTTTTTTTTTTTTTTTTTTTTTTCGCAATGCACTATAATATATATTTATTTAATATAATATATTAAAAATAATGTTTATTAGAAATATTATATCAAATATTTATATATTACATTGAACCAGTATTTCAATGTAAAAATACATTAAAACACAAAAACAAACCAAACAAATACTACATCCATCTAATGTTCTATTTTTTTTTTTTTTATAGGAAATTAAAAATAACAATATTTTATTAGTTAAGAGAAATATGCATATTTTGATATTTTTGTTTCTGTATTATATATATAAATATGTTGCAATTGTAATGATATGTATGCAATTTATATTAAAATCAAATATATTTTTGTATTACTATGTTATTCATTTTATCATAGTAACAAATAAATACATCTGAATGAGACATATATATAAATTGTTACATTCAAGTGGAACATACCATAAGAAATATGTAAGTTTATTATTTATTTCATACATATTGAAAAACTTAAGAGTGTGTTTCTAGTGTTTTTTTATTCATTTTTTATTTAACTTATTATTACATTTTAGAAATAGTCCATTTAATAATTATTTTTATTTTTAAAACACAAAGTAGAAAATATAAAGCATAATACATTCCAAATCATTATGGACTGTTATAAGGACTTATTTATTTATATATGTAAGTTTTACTGTGTAAATATTTAAAAATAAAAAATAAAAAATAATCCTAATCTCACATTTTTTTGAAAAGTTGGAGGTAAAAATATTTCTTCTCTAAATATATTTATAAGAAATAATAGCATTTTATATTTGTAAAAAAAATAAATAAATGTATAAAATATCTTTAGATTATAAAGCTCACATTTAACAAGATAATTAAAATGGGTATTTATACTTTTTATATAAAATAATAAGATATTTTATTAATATCGTACCATTCACATTTATTAAATAAAAATATACTTCCTCCGTCCACACACAATGTAAATATTTGGCGCATTATAGTGAGTAGTTAAAAATAGTAAAATGACATTTTTCCTTTGCTTTTTGGTGTAAAAGTAACGATGCGATGTAAAGTAAGAGTATTTGTAGAAAAAAAGTGAAATATTTAATGAAATATTTACTTTGTAATTGGACGTCCCAAAATAAAAATATGTATACTTTCTAGTTGGACGAAGGGAGTATATTATAATATTTGTATATACTCTAAATAGCTAAATATGTATATTGCTACCAGATAGAATGAAATATATATAAGGGAACATATATATTCACATGATATTTATTTTAAAACTATTATATCAAATAATTATTTTTACTTTAAATTTTATCTTTTAAAAAGTAAGAACATACTCTTATAATTTCAAATTACGCTGAGTTCAAAATTTGAAATATAATTCAAAGTTTTTAGATAAAATGAAATGGTCGGAGTACTTTTATTATTCGCTGAATTAATTGCGATATATATAAAAAGACAGGCATTAACTTACATCGTAATCTTAATTTAAATTTATAATTAAAAACAATGTCCACACGCACTTGGTTGATAAAAAAAAATTGCATTAAATAAAAGCGCAAAATTGACCTCGATGATTTCTAATTCGAGCCCTATGCCTTTTTCAAAGGAGTGGCTCTAAACCCTTCTTACATAAGAATCACTACAATGCATATGCGATAAAAAAAAAAAAAAAAGAAGCTTGAATTAATGTACCGAAATATCCCTTTTTCAAGGCGACATGAATCCATATATATTGTTTATCTTTTTTTTCTAAAAATGCATACCTATCGTATATTTGTTTGTATCTTCTCTGAAAATAATGCGAGCTATTGAAACGTGATAGAATTTCATTGAAATAAAAAAGTAACAATGGATTTAAAAAGATGAAGTGTAGCCATCGAATTTTTTGAATGGCATTATATTCTTCAATCAACAATAGTAACAACGAAAATTTTATATTTCTATGATGTTTCTAAAATTTACAAAAATTGCATGAATTTCACGTTTAATTTGCTGATGTAGTTTGTTCAAATACTTTTTCCTTTTATTTAGATATGTTTTGTCGTGAGTTCTAGAAAAAGCAGAACCTTTAGTTTCGATTTATCGTACGCAATCAACTAAGCTTGGTTCGGATAAGTTTGTGTAACATAATCAAAGATAGAGAGACATTAGTGTTTTTCTATATTTCTAATTTTATTACAATAAAATACTACTATAGTATATAAAAGAATTTGCTTAATTTATTTTCACCAAATAAATTACATTTACACACAATATTTGTAATTGTGAAATTTAATTAGATATGACAAAATTATAATGAATTAAGAGTAAAATGACTTGGAAAATGACCTAAAACATGTGTATTATTAAATTTCACAGACTATATATTTTTTTGTATATATATATATTATATTTGTAATATTTTTTTACTACGTAATTTCATCGTTTCAATAAAAACATACTAAATTTTCATGAAAAAATCTCATTAAATCACTAATTTATCTAAAAACGGCAAAATATATAAAATACAAACTGAACACACTCATCATATTATATTTTTCAGTTAAAAGGCTATTACTAATTGTATATATTCGTTAATCTTATTATTTACAATTCAATTTATATGCTAATTTCTTATATATACATATAATATGAAATTCAATATCTATTTTTCATTTAAAACACCACATACAATTATTATTTTACCCAAAAATTGTTAAAAGAAAAAACACAAAATTAGTTGAACGATCTTTATCGTCAATTTCTTTCAACTTTGAATTAAAAGAAGGCTATTTAATCATTTCCGAATTATTGAACCATCTCCATCAATACTATCGGTAGCTTTATTACAAGCACGCGCAAATATAGCACAAATATACATATCGGACCTCAAGTGCCATAGCTATAAATACCGAATTTTCCTTAAGTTTTTTTTCTCAACAAAACAACCAAAGCTTTTCATTACATAGGTGATCGATCCCGAGTGATCATAACTATTACAAATTAAATATGGGTGAAAACAAACCATTCTTGGCCGTTCTTACGATCCAATTGATATACGCCGGATACTTCTTGCTGACAAAGCTCGCATTCGATGTCGGTATGAACACTTTTGTGTTTGTCTTCTACAGACAGGCTGCTGCTACTCTTTTCTTAGTCCCCATAGCCATCTTCCTTGAAAGGTAACCTAATTAGCATAATAGATTCAAACATACATACATATATATATATATATAACTGTTGTTACTTTGATTTTTTTTTTTTTCAATTTGTTTACTATGTAATCCTTATTGTTTTGTTCACTGAGCAATTATTTTAAATTTTTTTACTATTTAATTCCACAATTTTGTATAAAAATATATTAATATATTTTTTTTTTACAAAACATCTCATTTAAATAAAACAGAAAATTCATTCATTAAACACCCCGGACATTATTTATTCTCACAAAATATCACATCAAACCTACGGTTTAACAAAAAAATTAAATTAAAAAAAATAAATAAACAGTTCTATCGAAATATACAAAGATTTTATATTCAACAACTATTTCACTTAAAAATAAAAAACCAAAATATATAAAGATAGAAAAATAGTTATATATATATATATATATATGTAATAATTGGGACAGTAAATGGATCATCTGTTTTGTGCAGGAAAAGTGCTCCAACAATGACATTTTCCATCTTCATCAAGATGTTTTTTCTGAGTCTTCTTGGGTGAGGTTTTTTTTTTTTTTTTTTTTTTTTTTCAGGGTCTTCTGTTAAATTTATTTTCGATTAAATTCGAAAACCCTAAAAATGAAATATTATATATATATATATATATTTGTGTTGCAGAATAACAATGGGATTAGATGTAGTTGGGGTAGCTTTGAAGTATACAACAGCTACTTTGGGTGCTGCAACTTCCAACACTCTCCCTGTCATCACTTTCTTTCTTGCACTTCTATTCGGGTATATATATATATATCATCATCATCATCTTCTTTATTTTATTTAATTAATTCCATTTTAATTATATAATTGCTGTAATGTAATCAATTAAATTTGAATATATAATATATATCTTTTTATCAGTTGGAAAAAGTCATGTGTCATATTGGTGGAATAAAGCAAATATATCTTTTGCTCCATACCATGCCATTCTACCTTTTACTGGGAATATCGGTTTTGTTCTTTTTAGCATTTTTTAATTTTTTTTTTTTTACAAAAATATATTATATCCACTTATAAAATATTATATTCAAATTGTTATTTTAAAAGTTAAGTAAAAAAATATTTATTTATTTATCTGCTATTCAACATAATTTCACGTAATAAAAATCGTATATTTTGTTTCCTACCGGACAAGAAAAAAAAAATTATTTAAAGTATATGTCCAAAAATATTTGTACATTTGTATTCTAACATAAACCTATAAAAAAATTCATTAAAACCTTGAACACAAGCGTAGTATGTTCATAACACATCATCAAGGCACAAGTTGTCCAATCTATTTTAATTTTTTTTTTTTTCCGAATAAATTTAATATTGCAGAATGGAGAAACTAAATATAAGAAAAAGCTCGGGAATACTTAAAGTCGTAGGCGTTTCCCTATGTATTGGAGGAATAATCACCATTGCTTTCTATAGAGGCCCTCTCCTCAAACTACTATTGCACCATCACTTGATCACTCCACATTTTCAAAATCACACGACGCCGCCGACGGTCCCTTCTCCGACGACGTGGATTAAGGGTGTCTTCCTCATGATCCTCGCCAATCTTGCTTGGGCCTTTTGGCTTATATTACAGGTACGCGCTTAAATTTTCATTTAGAATAATTACGATAGAAGCGTAAGGTAAATGAGTTAATAGTTTGTAAATTGATTTGAGCAAACTTTGGAAAAATTTGTTCGGTAAACTAAACGAGCAAAATACGAATAAGTAAAATGCGTTTTAGATCGCTTTGTTTAGGAATGATCGATAGTATTAATTAAGAAATTAAATTAATAAATATTGATCATATCCTAAATTGATATATACATATATATTTTTTATAGTAATGCAAATTTTTTTGGATAAATGTTTATTAATTTAAATTAATAAAAAATGGTTTTTTGTATGATTAATTAATTCCATTTAATCAAATTTTGATTTAAGATTAACCTTTTTAAAGTTTGAGTATTCAACAATTTCATAGCAAGCTCGAGTATTTAACAATTTCATAATTTTTTTCCTTTTAGCTCGCGTATATAACAATTTCATACCAAGCTCGAGTGTTTCTTCTGACGTTATTTATTAACATTAATTTATCTTTTTAAAAAAATCATATTAAATATATATTTTATCTCCTAACATAAATTTTTACTATTTCAAAATTATGTAAAACTTCCAAAATTCTTATCTAAGCAAACTTGGAGTGTGTTTTTAGTTGGTAATTTTATTATTTTTATTTTATTTATTATTTGAATTGTAATTTTGAATGTAATATTTTATAAAATTAAATAATACGACATAAAACTTTTGCTAATGTTGTTGAAAATTGTCGCAATATATATTCAGGGCAAAATGCTCAAAAGCTATCCATCAAAGCTGTTATTGACGACCATACAATGCTCGATGAGCACGATACAATCATTCATCGTGGCTGCACTCGTTACACGAGATCCAATCGATTGGCAACTCGGGTTCAATATTAGACTCGTCTCAGTCGCCTATTGTGTAAGAGAATGAATATCAACTAAATTTAACTATAATTTTTGATGAAAATTATTATATACCCCTTGATGGCAATTTATTTACTAGTTTTGATTTTGTTATTATTTTTTAATTAGTACCCCTGTCTGCTAAAAATATGATCATATGACTTTGCACAAAGAGACTAAAAAATAAATAGTATTTTAATAATTAAAAATTAAAGTTATTCAACAATATTTTAGAAAATTCATTAAACGCTATGTTTTTTCAATAGTATATAACGGAAATTGCAAAAAATGTTACTATATTTTGAAGTATGAATATCATTTAAGTAGTTGATTTGAAAAAACATAAGTAGTTATGTGGAGAGAATAATTTAAATACCCCCTCCGTCATAATTCTAAATACGCTCTTTATTATTTGTCTGTTTTACTTCAAAGTATTTATTTTTTATTTTTTAAAAAATAATTATATACACTGATACCAAAATATTTTAATTTTTATTTAAATTACAAATATATAATTACATATATAATTACTCTATACATAAAGTCAAATGACAAAAATATCAAAAATTCTTACACACTTTCACTAACTAATAAAATACCATAATTTTTTAATTTATTACAAAACTCCAAATGACCTATTTGATTGAGGATGGAAAAAATAAATGTTTTACTCCATTCTTTCGTTACACATTTTTATTTGAAATATTTTGTAAATTAGCAACAAAAAAAAAAAGAATATATAAGCTAAAATAAGGAGAAAAAACGCATCTAAATAAAAAAAAAATTTAAAATTTTTACTATATCAATAGCGAAAAATTTAGAACAGATACAATATTACGTATCTATATGAATGAATTTGGCGCAGGGAGTAGTGGTGACCGGATTGACGTTCTACCTACAAACATGGGTTGTCGAGAAGAAAGGTCCGGTGTTCTTGGCAATGACGACGCCATTGATCATGGTATTCACCACAATTATATCGGCCTTCGTTGTCGGGGAGATAATTGGTCTCGGGAGCGTGCTCGGGGCCGTGATGCTCGTCGGAGGCCTCTATTTTGTGCTTTGGGGAAAGGCCAAAGAGGAAGGAACAAACCCTATTAAAGATGTTGAGAAACCATCAAATTTCAAGAACCAACAGCCACAGTGATAATTTGTTACATACCAATTAGGGTTTTGGATTTGTGTGAAGATAAATAAATTGAAAATTTGTTTCTCTTATATGTATGTAAGATTATTAGTTTTATCTTGTAGTTGTTTGAGTTAGTTTGGCTTGCATTTTAAATAAACTTTTTTATTATCATAGATTATCAATAAAAATATAGAATATCATTTCGCAAATATTATATTAAAATATTATTTAAATTAAATTTTAAATAAAAAAAATTAAACAAACACAAACACAAAAGAAACAAAACTTGGTATACTAAATTTCTATCATTAATTGATCTCTATTTTTACTATCATTTACAATACTTTTTTCTTTTTGAAATATCACATTATATTTATTTTTTATTTAAGATATTATATTAGAAAAATAAATTATATAAAATATCACATCAAATGTAAATTTATAGTATATCAATAATTATTATCATTCAAAATCTTTACTATTTCAAAAATATAAAAAAAAAAAAAAACCCAACCAAGTTAATCAATCCTACGGATTCATTTTATATTTAAGTTATTTTCTAGTTGATTTTTAAAATTAAAAATAAATATTGGATAAAATACATTGAATTAAAATTCAAATTTTAAAACATGCTTTTAATAGATATATATATATTTATTAATATAAATTACACACTATAAAAAAAAAATACTATAAGATATTGTTGAAAGTAAATTTTACTGTTTGAAAATATTCTAGATAAAAGAATGATGATTAGTGTTGATTTTTCTTTTTCTTTTTAATAGTTAACTATGAAAATCATGGTTAGGAATACAAATATGTTTGTTTAGTATTTTTTTTTTTAATTATAATTTTAATGTAATATTTTTTATTAAATAATAATAAATTTCATAAAAAATTATAACAATTAAAAAATATTTTTAATATAAAAATAAAATGACTAGAAGAACAAATTCATAACAAAGAAAAAAAAAAAAAAAAAAAAAAAAGGAAACTCTAAGGGTGTGTTTGTTTGGGAGATTGGATTTAATATCCACTGTTCATTCAATTTTTTCCCCTCAAAAATATCAAATCAAACACTTATTTTTTGTTTTTTTTATATTATACTAAAAATCAATTTTACATTCAAAACATCACATCAACACTTATTTATATCGCATCATACAACTATTTAAATTCAAAATTTTTACTATTCAAATCTCTAACTCAAAATTCAAACCCCCAAACAAACACAACCTTAACTAAACACACCTTAAAATATCAAACTCTCGAAATAAAATGAAACAATAATAACCAAGGGATATGACAATAGGAGTGGCAAAACATAAATGTCTCCCATAAATAAATGTACGTCACATATTAATTATTTGTGTAATAGTATTTAATTTACTTATCTATTTGTATATAAATTGATCAGCCGGCGTCTGAGGCTAAATGTGTGTTCGCGCTCCTTCTTTCTTTGTCGGTATCTCAAAGAAAATGGGAGCGTGCACATCCAAGTCGCACATGTTGAAGAACGTCGATGCCGACGACAGCGATAGTTCCTCTCTGCCACCGGCACCGGAGCTTCAACGCTGCTCACTTCCAGAACAGCACCCGCAGGTATTATAATACTTCCTCCGTCCACAAACTAATGTCCTATTTTTCTATTTGGGACATCGAATAACTATTGTCCTATTTTCACTTTTAAATACAAATTTTACATTTTTACATTTCGTTCATTTATTACTTTTAATCTCTAGCAAATTTATCAATTAATAACAAAAAAACAATCACCTAAAAAATCATGCAAATATACTTTAAGACAACAGTAATTTTGACGGAGGGAGTAATATTTATGGTAATTTATAAATTTATTTTTTTATTATTATTTTAAACAAAAATTGACATTATTCACTTGACATATTTTTAATAAAATACGTTATTTTCTCTCACACATTTTAGGTAGATTTATAAAAAAAATTATTTGATGTAATTTTATTAAATTACAATGTATAGAATGAAGAAAAATACGAAGAACAAGAGCAGAAGACAGCCCCAGCACCAGAGGAAGAAAAAGAGTTGGAGTTGCCGTGTGGATTATTCGTAAAGAACGATGTCTATATGATGATTCATCATTCTGTTACGTATTGAAATAAATATATTAATTGTTTTTTTTTCTTTTTTTTATGTTTCGTGTTTTTAACATTATATAGTTTTATAGTTTTTAATAAAAATGTATTAATTTTATATGCAAAATATCATATTTAATTGAAAATTAGAAAATAAAAATAAAAATAATGTAGATAAAGCAAAACCAACTCATCGAGGATAAAATTAAGAATGACATCGGGGTTGTCTTCGGATCCGACTATTTGAATTTTGAATAGTGTATTATTTGAATTTAAATTTCATTTTAAATTATTTATTTTAATGGATTGCTACTAGAGGATTTTGATACTCAATAACATATTCCAACAGAACTAAATTGAATCTAATTTTGACAATTATTTGTATATATGTGTAGAAAAGCGAAAATAAGATCCGATTCTAAATTGTTCTAATTAGTCAATTTTATGAGAGAGGATTTGTAATTTGGTTTTAGGTTTTTTTTAGTTTATACAATTCATTGTTTTTTTTTTTTATATATATATACAAATATACTATTTTTATATAAAATATTATATCAAATCTATTCTCACTTTTTTTTTTTTTATTGTCATTCAAATTTATTCACATTTCATTTTTTTTAGTAAAAAAATACCACTTTTCTTTACACAAAAAAATAAATTTTATTTTTACGTATTTTTCTTAAAATTTGTATCCGGTCAAATGAGCACATAATTAGACGACGGAGGGAGTATATAATTACTTTTTAAATAAAAAAAATATATAATTTCAATCTCGAAGATTTTGAATTTTTGTTACATAGTAGGTTAGATATAATATTTTTTAAAATGAAACATTGAATCTGTTATTTTAATTTTCCATATATGTTTGATATCAATTTCTTACTTTTCTCTCGAGGATGTGTAGTTTAAACGATTGAGTTTTCCTTTGACATGCTTGAGGTTAGAATTTCAATTCTTATGATGATCTATTTTTTTAATTTAAAGCAATAAACTTTCATATGCTCCTGTCTTATGACAATGAGTACATTTTATATTTCAATGTCTAAATTTCGATCTAAATTTATTGTTATTGTTTCTTTTATTGGACCTTCTCTAACAACTAGACGTTTTTCAACATTATTTTTATCCAGTGATATTTCTGTCTATTTGTTCTTTAAATTTAAAAACAGACTCAATATTTTGATAAGATGAATTATTTTTAATAAATGGTCATGCATGTCATAAAACAATTTAAAAGATTGAGATACAAATCACAGAAACAGAGGTTACTTTATCCTCCTCATATATCTTAGTATCAATATTGTCTAAACATAATAATCGAATCAACGTTGTCAAGATGAAAGAGCAATAGGGTATCTTCTGTCGTTCAAAACATACAGAGGCTTTGCTTCCTATAAAGTTATTTCTTATTGAATTTCTTCATTCATAAAACCTTCAACTTATCCCACATTATTTGGACAAAGTCTTTGTGACAATCTCTTGCAAAATTTCATAGAGAAATTTAAAATAATATTAAAATAAGTGTTTTTTTTTTTTTTTATCAAACTCCAAATTTTAAATTTTCAGGGCAACATTTTAAATCAAAATGGCCTTCTTTTTGAAATGTCTCATTTTGAAGTTGATATTTCTTATTATAAAGGCTTTGATATTAATTAAGAATATAACCTAGATAAATTATTTTTTAAAAATCTTAACAGTGGCAGAAAGAACAAAAATTTAAACATATAAACTTTATATATATTCCTCAGTCCGGAATATTTATACCACTTTCATTAGGTATGAATATTAAAAATAAAAATATATTAACATAAATATGAGGGGTGTGTTTTTCTTTTTTCTTTTTTTTTTTTTGAAGAACACATTTTCTAAAAACATATTTTTCTAAAAAAATTATATTTATTATTTTTATATAATTTACACAATTTTTTATATAAAAAAATATCTATTTAAATTATTTCACTAAATAAACAAATCCAAGATATGGAAAACATAAAATTAGAATATTATAAAAAATAATATTTAAGAAATTACTTAAAAAGATAATGATAAATTAGTAATTATTTATTAAAATATAGATACTAAATTATTTTATAAATTTGACTGATAATTAGAAAAATAGAAACTAATATGATTAGAATGGAATACTTTTTACTATGCAGGTTTTTTACTGCTGTACTAATTTATAGTAAATTCGAAAATCCACAACAAATTCAGGGAACATAAAAAGTTGAGTCGAAGACAAGCCCCAAAATTTGACCACCAAGCACGTGCTCGGGACCCACAGCCATAGCAGGGCCGCTGCAAGATCCGGGACCCGAAATCCACCACGAACATGGAACATTGAGGTCCGGGACCAATGACGAATCAAAGTACGTCAATGTGTTGACTGACTGTGCCTGCGTGTAATAGCTCGGTGGGGTGTGGGGTTGGTTCCTTCCATTCGAATTCCCACTTCGTGCCGAAAGATAATAATGGAAGAAATAAAGGAGTAATTTCGCCATTACAGCTGGGGAGAAACTGGAAAGGAGGCCACACTGAGTCCACCCACCCCTGACCCAACTCCTCAGGCGCCCCCGCCCCCCCCCCCCCCCCCCCACGCCCCTATTTTACTCCCTCCACCGTCCAATTCGCGTTTTTGCAGATTTTTTTAATTTTGTGCAGTCGAATTATGTGGATGGATTACGAACAGGATGCTGCGCGATCGCTGATTGTACGATTGGGATTTGGATTGGATGGGAATTATCGTTATTGTTGCTGCAGGGATTGAGGATCTTCTCCTAGGGTTTCGTTTTGGGGGTTTTTGCTTTTAATGGAGAATATCGAGACTTTGTTAGCCGCCGTAGCTCAGACGCAGGGCTTCGATGATGATCCTGTCGCCGCTCCCGCGCCGCCGTCGTCGGAGAATTCCGATTCGAGAGGCGCGGTTCGACCGATTGGTGAGGGTTCTGTAAATGCTCAACCGCCTGCGGCGGTTGCTCCCCCTCCGCCCCCGATTGCGGCTTCGGAGCAGGTGATCGGCGCTGGGGAGAAGAGAAAGAGAGGACGGCCGCCGAAGGGACAGGTTGCGGTGGCGAGGACTCCGCCGCCGAAGCGGAAGAAGCTGGAGGAGGAAGAGGAGGAGGATGTTTGCTTCCTTTGCTTTGATGGAGGTTCTCTTGTGCTCTGCGATCGAAAGTGAGTTTTCTCAGCTGAATCCTGAGCAAGTTTGTCCTTAATTTTACTTTCCTGGTTTGGATTTGTTGAAGATGATGATGAAGAAGATGATCACATTGTAATACTCTATGGTGTCTCTATTGAATTTTCCTTGTGAATGCTTAGGGGTTGTCCGAAGGCTTATCATCCGGCGTGTATCAAACGAGAGGAATCATTTTTTAAATCGAAAGCTAAGTGGAATTGCGGTACGTCGCCCTTTTTGTCTGCACCGATCGAATTTACAGCTTCGTATAGAGTCAAATTTCATATGCATTGATTTAGAGAGCTATATTTGACAAAGGTACAGCAGAGGATTTTAGGTCAGATGTTCGATGGTGGTTTATCAGTGAATTGATGAATTTTCTTGATTGAATGTGTAGTTTCCCTTTTTGTTTTCAACGATCGAATATAAAACTTCATTTAGAGTCAAATTTCAAATACTCAAGTTTAGATACTCAATTCGTATCATGATATTGCATTGATTTGGAGGATGATATTCGGAAATGGTACAGCAGAGGGTATTACGTCAGATGTTCGATGGTGGTTTATCAGTGAATTGTTGAATTTGCTTGGTTGAATGTGTACATTCCCTTTGTTGTTGCGATTTTGTTTTGCATTTATTAGTTATGGTTTCTGTCGGCATGGTTTGTGTTACGTATGATTCTGTAAATTTCAGGCTGGCATATATGTAGCGTGTGTCGGAAGGCATCTCATTACATGTGTTACACTTGCACCTATTCATTGTGCAAGGGGTGTACAAAGAATCAAGATTACGTGAGCGTTAGAGGGAACAAAGGATTTTGCTCGATGTGCATGAAAATGGTCATGCTGATCGAAAATAAGGACCAAGCCAACAATGAGCCGGTATGCAAGTACTTACTTTGCTTGTTAATTTGGGTCCGTTGCTCTCAAATTTTTTCTGTTCATTTGTTATGTTTATGAATTTTTCTTTAGCTCGTCTCCTTTTGTTTTTATTCACTCAATTTTTTCATGTGCATGATTAGTACTCAAAGTTGGGAAATATCTTCTTGGAGTTAACTATTTTGTGAATTCTTCTTGAATTATATGTTTGTATGTAAGACAAATGATCAATTCAATGCTTAGGGCTGGTTTTATTATATTTTCCTGTTTCGATTATTGAATGTGAAGTTCTCATTTATCGTCTTTTTTGATTAATCTGGAATCGTAGTGATCACTATATACTCATTTATTATAGATACACACGACAAAATGATATTTCTTTTGTGACACGTGGGTATGGTGAGAGCGAAGGAGATGACGTGACGAGAAATCTTTGCTTTAAACGGATTATATATTAATGTTCTGAAAATTGCACTACAATGATTTAATAGGCAAAAATAAAACATACCCTATATACCCTATACACAAGTCAATATGATATTTCTTTTGTGACATGTGGCATGGTGAGAGTGAAGGAGACGATGTGTCGAGGAATCTTTGCTTTAAACCGATTATATACTAATGTTATGTAAATTACACAGATTATTTAATAGGTGAAAGTAAGCATACCCTATATGTATATATACATGTGTCTAATGTGGAAATTGTGAGACTTTATTATATGAATATTCGGCTTTTTTGGACGAAAAGGTGCAACACATTTATATCATCTTCTTGTTTGCCGAATATGTATGGAATCTTTTATTCTGATTCTATTGGGATCAATTAATGCAGGTCCAAGTAGATTTCGACGACAAACTTAGCTGGGAGTATCTTTTCAAGGTTTATTGGGTAATCTTGAAAGAAAAGCTATCGTTGACTCTCAATGAGCTCACTCAAGCTAAATCTCCCTGGAAAGGGGTCGCTGATGTACCATGGAAACCGCAGTTAAATAATGTTCCTCACACTGCATTCGATGGCAAAGTTTCTAATTCATCCACAAATACAGAACATCTGACGTCGAATACTCCCCATGCTGAGACTAATTTGCCGCAGAATGATGAGCTAAGGCCAACACCATCAGGCATTAATAATATTGTGGATAAGGTGCATTCCAATAACGGGGAAAGTGGGCCGAGGTGTAATAATGACACATCAAAACCGGACATGGACAAAGCCAATGATGAGACAGGGTTCAAGAAGGATGAAGACAAAATGAGGATCGTTGATGACAATAGCAAGAAAGGCATTTGTGATAATACAGACACCAAAGAGCCCGACAAGACAGGAACCGAAAAGTGTACTGAATGGGCATCTAAAGACCTTTTGGAGTTTGTTGCCTTCTTGAGGAATGGCGATACGTCAGCTATGTCACCATTTGATGTCCAAAGGTTATTGCTTGACTACATAAAGAGGAACAATCTCCGGGACCCTCGTCAGAAGAGTCAAATTATATGTGACCAAAGGCTCAAGAATTTATTCTTGAAACCGAGGGTCGGTCACATTGAAATGTTAAAGCTTCTCGAGTTTCACTTCCCCATGACTGAGGGTTCTCAGGATAATAATTTAATTCCGGCTGGATTTGTTGCAACTGCTCCGGAAATTCAAGGAAGTTCGAACACTTTCCCAAGCTCAATGAATAGTAGAAAGCGAAAGACAAGAAAGAGGAATGAAGAGAGAGTTCCTCAGAATAATTTAAATGAATATGCTGCGATTGATGTCCATAACATTAGTTTGATCTATTTGCGACGGCACATAATGGAGAATCTTCTTCAAGATCAGGAGAGCTTCGGCAAAAGGGTTATTGGATCGATTGTGAGAATTAGAACATCAAGTAATGATCAGAAGCAAGATATTTACAGGCTCGTCCAAGTTGTAGGTATAGATCATATATCTTATTATTTTTCTCGTATTCTTTAGCTTCTTCGCCTTTTATCTCTTGATATGTAACTTTAACTACTACACACACTACATACATATCATGATTCCATTCAAATAATTTATAATGCAGGAACAACTAAGGCTCCTGAGCCCTACAAACTTGGAGAAAGGACGGCACTTGTCATGCTTGAAATTTTGAATTTGTACAAGAAAGAGGTGGTGTCCATCGATGCCATTTCTAATCAAGAGTTCACCGAGGTAAATATAGATGCGTCATTTGTCAGCTTCTCACGAAACTCGGGAAAGTTTCCATAGTATCTTTAGCCTTTGTGATTTTCTCGTGCCCGTGATTGATTCTCTGTTTCTTCTTCGATTTTTTCCTCAATTCTTGTTCAACTCTTATCAATTGGTTCTTGCTTTAGGATTAAAGATTTAGAAGAATAACTTATTTGACAGACGAGGTCAACGATTTGGCTTCAAATTTTTACGTGCTGTCAAGTTTATTTACTCAGGTTTCTTGAGTTTCGATGTCTTCTGTGTGAATGAAAGAGATTAGTCGTTAGGTATTTTACAAATACATTCAACGAATGCCAATCTGTGATACTGACATATAGCTGCCTGATTTGATAAAAGACTAATGTGAAACAATTTTCTTTGTTTTTGCACATACTGACCTATTTTGGTATTCAGGAAGAGTGCAGACGATTACGACAAAGCATGAGGTGTGGGCTTGTGAAGCTACTTACTATTGTAAGTGTTCTTTGTATTGTTCTTAATATACTTATTTTATAAATTGCAATAGCATTTTACTGGTCGCTTATACTTAATTGTAGGGCGAACTGCAAAAAATAGCTTTGACGCTTCGACCAGTGAAGATTAAAGATGTGAGTTTGTTGCTTCTTATTTCGTTGAGTGGAATTAATGACTCAAAACCATTATGTTTATATTTGCTGTAGATCCTTCTGCTTCTGATATTCTATCCCGTCTTTCTTTGTAGTGGTTAGAAGCAGAGATATTGCGGCTAAATCACCTTCGAGATAGAGCAAGTGAGAACGGGCGTAAGAAAGAATATCCTTTGTTTGTATTCAACTATTTTCGAGTCTCTAAGGTGAAGTTGTGCTCTTAGTGTAGTCGTGCCTACATATAATACTATCTGAATAATATATTTCTATAGCTAAACCTTTTTAACTGATGAGTTGCCAGTCGTAAAATGTGATTTTTGAGGATTGAATCCTATATCTATCGAAAGATTTGCTTGAGCAAAGAGCTACAGGTCTGTATCTGTGTTCTAAAGCTGAAATAAGATCGAGTATATAGTTATTTACTTTCTCTTAAGCTCACGTGATTCGGCGCTTCTTTTTGAGTTCTTTGACTCTTTCCACGCTTAGAGAATATGTAGACAGATTAGAGCTACTGAAATCACCGGGTGAGCAACAGCGTAGGATTTCGGAGCTTCCACAGATACATGCTGACCCGAAAATGTGCCCTAGTTATGAATCAGAAGAAGAAGAAGTAGAAGTAGACGATGACAAGCCGGCAGCTAAAAGAGGCAGAAAAAGTCGAAAAGGTAATTTTTGGTATTCCAGAATCCGATATCGATTTATTGCTTATTTTGGTTATTGCTGTTTTCTTTAAGGATCTTTACTGATTCTGCACTCGCCGTGCAGCTGTATCTGTGAGACCAAGCTACTCGTCATTTTCTCAAAATGGAAGAAATCCCGCTTCTCTTAACAAGAAAGGTGAGTTTCAAGATAAAAGGCATTGCAGGTTTTCAGTCAACATTATTATCTGGCTATTTAATCCCCGAAAGTACGCTACATCTGATTCAGGTGCAAAGGAGCCCCCCATTGCAATGCGGGCGAAAAAAGATGCAAATGGCGCGCATACGTCCGATAAGCCCGCGATTGAAGTGAATATTACTAACTTAAAAGCCGGTGGTAAGAATGACCAAGATGTACAACAAAGGACGGGATTGGAGACTTCGACTACAACTGCCTCTGTAGAACACTCGCCGGCTAATAATATTGAAACCGAGAAACTCTGGCATTATCGTGATCCTAACGGTAAGATTCAAGGGCCGTTTTCGATGCTTCAGTTGCGGAAATGGAACAGAACTGGTCTATTTCCACCTGATATGAGGATATGGACGAATCACGAGCAGTACGACTCGCTACTTCTCATGGATGCCCTGATTGGGCATCTCCACGGAGCATCCGAGCCGTCATGTAAACAGCCTTCAGGATCGCCGGAAAATAATACTGCCGGAGGAGTTGGCAAAACTAAGATCTCGGACTGGAATAGCCAACAGAGCAAACAATCAGAAGCAGCCGGCGGTAATAATGTGGGCGATGTGTCCGACAACATTTCTGGAATTGCGAAGGAGAATGCGGACGACCCCTCTTGGCCGCAATGCTGGGATTTACTTAACGACAGAAATTCTACTGCTGAAGAACGTAACCGGGGACAAACAGACGTTCCTCTGGCAGTGCAGGTTCTGGAGAGCAACGAGCTGAACTGTGGAACACAGAATGGCGAAAAGAATGAGCTTCAGAATCAAGGGAATAGTGAGAACCAAACGGCGCAACCGAATGAAGAAAACTTGAAATCTCTGAATATTGATTTGAGTTCGACGCTTATGGAGACAGAAGCCATTGTCGCACCAGTTTCAGACGCTCCAGATGTTGAGAAACGGGTTTTGGATGTAGATATAGATATCGCCGGTCTGCACAGTCCTACGCCAGAAAATGCCGAGAATCAGGCGTTGGTTTCGGGTATTTTGGAGCTGCTAAGCCCTACGCCGAGGTCGGACAATGTGGATGCAGCAACTGAGGCGAAGCAGCCCGATTTGCAGTCCGAATTTTTGAATATTACGGTTCCAGATTCGGGACCTAGTTGGGGTGTCGCATCGAGTCTAGTTGCCGGTGGCGTCGATCTTCCGGACGTAGCTAATGAATGGTGCGGATATTCGCCGACGCCTATAAAGCAGCCGGCTATCAATGAATGGGATTCGGGTCTTGCCTCCGTGTCGTCGTTGAAACCCGAGATCACGAACGAGTACACCGCGACATCGATTTCGGATGGCCACCAGCTTTCTCAAGCTCTGCCGCCTGATCCTGCGTCAAATATGTCGAATTGGCGGGAACTTCTTGATGAGCCGATTGTGTTCGACGCACTGGGCGAGGAACTGATATCGGACTTGTTTGCGGAAGTTGACGCGAGGGAGTCGCAAGGCACGGTGCATTCGCCTAATACGGCCATAAAATTGGCGAGGGATTTTCTCGAAGACGATTGCTTTAGCTCGATCGAGGATTTCAATCCAACCCCCAACGCTCAGAGATGCGTCGGCGGGGGCGGCAATGCTTCGGGCTCGACCGGGGAGATGCAGATGACTTCCCAGTCATCGTGCAATCCCATCGAGATGTTCGACACCTTCGATTCCTTCCGGAAGTCGAGCGTAAACTCTTCGGCGAGCAGCGAGGGCGAGACGAACGCACAAGTCTATTCAGGCGACGCAGGATCGGAATTCCATCCTCCGCCGAACATCAATCCCGGTCACGACATGATAGGGCATGCCGTGACGACGGCGACCAGCAGCGGGTCTGCGGATCCTATGGACCCGGGGTGGGCGGGTACGGTGCAAGGTAACATTAATCTCGTGACCGTGCAGGGCAACGTGAATCTCGTCTTGGGGGGTCCGACGCAGGGAATGGCAAATCTCGGATGGGGGGCGAGCCCGGGAACGGCGTGGGCGAACCCGAGCATGAACCATAGTCCGAGAAACATGAGCTTGCCGTGGGACGGGGTTCAGCAGCAGCGGAAGTACGGCGGCGGCGGCGGAGAAAGGTACACGAGCCCCCGAGGAGGGTACCAAAGCGGCGATGTCGGGTTCGGGAGGGGGAGACCGCCGAGAGGGCGGCAGCCGTACAATGGGGGAGGATTTTCGCGGCCGCTGCCGAAAGGGCAACGGGTGTGTAAATTTTACGAGAGGGGTCTTTGCAAAAAAGGCGCGTTTTGCGACTTCTTGCACCCGTCGTGATGGGTGATGGGTCGGGTTCGTTCGTATTTGTTCGGGTTGAATTGTCTGTCTACTAAAAGTTTGGAGGTGATTCTTTTTTGTCGTTGGTTGATTCGTTTGATCGATCGAATGCATCCATCGATGTTGTAAGATTAATTGCGGTAGCGATGAAGGGATATATATATTATAAATGTACGTAGAGATGTAGATTTGTTGTATGAAGATGTGATGTGATTTGGACAGTTAGGTGAGTTCATACTAGGAAGGAATTAATTAAGGTCACTATAAATAATTGATTGATGTTTCTTTTGTTTTCTTTTCTTTTCTTGGTGTTTTTCCCATGTATTTTATTAGTACTAAAGGTATGTTTCTTTTGTTCGAGTTGGGATGTTTTGTTTAAAAACGATATGATTTTTCCATGAAACGCAGTGTCTAAATAGTCGAAACATGCATTTTGAAATTAAAAGAAACAAACCCCTAAGTTTTTATTGCTATAAACTATCGGCAACAAAGTTGAATCGAGCACATTGTTCGTTATCTAAACAACATTTAATCAAGCACACCATATGTTACCTATCAAGGACAAATGCCACCGAAAACACGGCTGTATTCATTACCTTCGAGCAGGAAAGCCACTAGAAAAGAGATAACAATGGCTGGTTAGATTCGATTTGATTCACTGAATGCAAATCAAAACCTGCAATCAATAGAGACAAACAATCAGCGACAAATAAACATATTTGACGATCAACAGAGGCAGCCTTAAGTACCCTCGTATACATTTCATTTCTGAAAGTGTTCATTTGCCTACGAAGATTGCCCTGACGAAGTCTTCGAACTTCGGTAACCTTTCTTCAGCTCTGTCACTCTCCTCATGCAGGATGATTTTGTCTTCCCCGGAACTGAAGCCGCGATTTTCTCCCACCGCATTGTCACATCTTTCGGGAATGTCTTGAGTGCATTCAGCAATGCCAAATCCTCAGCACTGCTCCATCCGATCTCCTTCTTCCCTGCTTCCGAATTCGAATTCTGGTTTGGACTGCTGGTTTCGGGGTTCATCTCATTCCCTGATTCGTCGAGAACGCGTTTATCGACAGGCTTTCGATCCTTCAAGAACTTCTTGAAAGAATCCTGATGATCACTCATCTTTCTCTCACCAATTTCTTTAGCTTTTGATATAATGGTGTCCACGTTGAATTTCCCCTTGAAACCCTCGGCTATGGCTTCCCATCGCCCTGGCTTCCCTACAGGATGCTTTGCCATGAACTTCCTCAACAACTCATCATCCGCTTCACTCCATTCACTTTCCTCCTCGAATTTCGTCGCGATCGGTGCTTTACTTGATCTTTTCGACTCGTTAATGGCGGAATCAACATTAGCTCCGTCGATAATCGTTAATTTCTCTGAAAAACCCTCGGAATCGTCCGAAACCTTCTTCCTAGTCTTCGTCGATCTTCTAGCCGATTTCTCGGTAGATTCGATTGAATTGCTAGGGCTTTCCTCCTCGAGCGGCGGACCGAGGCCGACGCGGACGTCCCCGGCGGTGAGCGACGGCGGCGCAAAGGGACCGACAAGGAGAGACAATGCGAGCCACAAGAGGATGGATTTCATCGGCTCGGAATTCAAATAAACGAAGGCGATTGCGATAAGAACGAGCGAAATCGAAACCGAAACGATGAAGGAGGGCTTGCGGACAGATGATAGCAACGAAGAAGCAACAGCAGAGTGAGGATCGCGATCTGTACCTGTGGATTGCGGCGACTGCTTGGATTGGAATAGAAACCTCGGCCGGCTCTCGTATTCGTCCAGAAACTCCATGATCGGATCTCGATGGACCTCGACTGACTCTACTGGTATCTTCTTCAATTTTCCCCCTTTCTGCCAAACCCTGTGCTGATAATTGGCCAGATCCGGGACCTGAGGTCCCGGAATGAGCCACCGGTCAAATACCAGTCCACGTGGATATATAAATATTAACCATTCATTGTGTAGGTATCCTGTATTACTACCGTCTCTATCGAATGTATTTTTAAATAAAATACATAAATAAATATTTTTTAGAAAAATACAAGTATTATATATTTGTATATAAAAATTATTTGTATTATAATAGAAAATAATTTTTTTTTTAATAAAATAAAAACTAGTAAAAAAATTATATTAAGTTCAAAAAAATATTATTTAAATTTATGATTATAATTATTAAAAATATTAATACATGTTATTTTACAGAATGTATCCATCTTCAATACATTTTTTGTGATATAATTCCAAAAGTATAAATACAAATACAATAATGTACGTCATCATTTTATTATTTACTATTTGCTATTATTTGTTATAGTTATGGTATTATTATAATTATAGGTTTTTTTTTCAATTCTAGTTAAATTTAAATTATTTATATATATGTATTTTTTTTCCTTTTTGCAGGCAATTGATTTTACATTAAATTAAAGAGTAAAACTAAATTTATAATATTAAAAATTAATTTTATTTACTTAGTATTTTTAAATGATAAAATTTTATATAAATATTAATAAAAATATAATATGTACGATACAATAACATAATATATAATATATTTTATTTATATATATAAAAAAAATAAACACAATTTCACATATCTAACTAAAAAATACATTCAAAACAGAAAGTAAACAACCTTAATTACTTTAATAAGTTTTAATAATTATCTTTTATGCTTTATTTTTTTTATATATAAAATTATTATTTAATTCTCTTATTTATAAAGATTGCCGATGGATTAAAATAAATAAATACATTTGTGACCGAAAAATTAAAAAACTAAATTGATATATTACTTTTAGAATAAGATAATATTAAGTTGGTCAAAATTATATTACTATTGGTATTTTTTAAAAAAATAAATAAATTCTTCATTAAATTTATATATAATTTATTTATAATAATTAAATTTATACCCCATAAATTTCATTATATTTATTTTATTAAATAATAATTATTTCATTACTATTTTTTATCTATTACATCATTTTCTTATCAATAATTAAATTTTTTTATAATATCAATACATTATTTTTTACATACTTCAAAAATCTACATATTATTACCTAACATAAGGAGTATAAATGATAATTTTGTTTAGATCGTATGTTTTTATTATGCATTTATTATTTATATTATTTAAATAATTTTTATATTTCCCATAAAAATATATATTTTTTTAAATTATTTCACAAGATAAATAAATTTTTGATTGTTTGTTTATTTAAATATTAAAAAAAATGTTATGTAATAATTATTGAATATAATGCTTTAAATAAAATAATAATATTGAATTTAATATTTTTATAATAATAATAATAATAATAATAATAATAATAGTTATAGTAGTAATAAATATAGAAGAAATTGCGAATTTGGAAATAATGAAGATAAAATTTTCGAATGAAAAAATACAATAAATAAAAAATAATTATTTAATGTAATATATATATTTTTTAAATAATAAAACGAACATAAAAATCTTATAAATAAATATATTTATAATAGTTTTTTACTATAGAAAAAGACAAAATTGTATATATCTCATAAAAAAACATACGTAAATAAATAAATCTCTCTTTTAGATAAGGTAGTGAGTATTAATTTTTTTTATTTTTAATTTTATTTCTAAAAGAAAACTCTAAACCGCACGCAAAATTTGAGAACAAAGAACGAAATTTTATCCGAAAATAAATGTAAAGTCAATTTTTAGAGCGTGCAGGTTTTAACTTTACAGCAAGCCCCCCGTACCGCTTCCCACCCCACCCACCCGGGGGGGGCAAACCCCCACCCCATCCCCACTTATTAATTTCCGACAGATTAACTTCAAGTCTTTTGACAAATAGCGGGGCTCTCTCTGCCATCGGACATCACATGTAAATTGCAATACCGTGTGGTGTGTTGTACAGTCCACAATACAATAACACATCTTCTTCTTCGTTTTCCGATCGCCTTCCCACTCCACGATTCTCCAAATTAACCACCAATCGCCGCCATTACTGCTGCAGAAGCGCCGCCCTGATTGATTGATCCGCTCCGCGCCTCGTGCCCCAAGATTTGGTTCAAGGATAGATATCCTGTATCCACCCCCAAAATTTCAATTTCGATTTTATGCTGTTGTGTTGATTTTCTTCCCGAGTTATGTGAACGGATTTTGTGGAGGATGTTGCGCTACCAATGATTGCGGGGATCGAGTTGGGTGGGAATTGCTGCAGCCACAATCGAGGATTTTCTAGGGTTTCGGTTTGGGGATTTTGCTTTTTTTAAGTCATGGAGAATATTGAGACTTTGTTGGCTGCTGTAGCTCAGACCCAGGGCTTCGACGATGATCCTGTTGTTGCTCCTGCGCCGTCGCCTAAGGCTGGGAACTCCGATTCGAAGCCGGGGAATTCCGGCGGGGTTCAGTCGCCGGGTGAAGAGGTTTCCGGAAATGTTCCGACCTCGACGCCGGTTGGGACGAATCCTCCCCCACCTCCGACGATCGGCGCCGTGGTGAAGAGAAAGAGAGGGCGGCCGCCAAAGGGGCAGCACGCGGCTAAGCTTCCGCCGCCGAAACGGGAAAAATTGGAGGATGAGGATGAGGAGGATGTTTGCTTTATTTGCTTCGATGGTGGTTCTCTTGTACTTTGCGATCGCAAGTGAGTCTTTGGTTTTCTTCTTCAACTAAAAATCTTGTTTAGATTATACATTCATTTTTGCTTTTACTTCTGGTTTTGTTGGACAAATGTTTGCTTGATTGACATTGCTGTTGCTCTGTATTTGGAGTTTCTATGATGATGAAGTGAATTTGATTTGTTGATGCTTAGGGGCTGCCCAAAGGCATACCATCCTTCCTGTATTAAGCGAGACGAAGAATTTTTTGCATCAAAAGCCAAGTGGATATGTGGTATGTTGGCCTGAGAATTCTGTTCTTTTGCATTTCAGTATTGTCTGCTTGTAACTACGTTTGCAATTAGTTTTGGGAAGTTTTGTTGGTTCGAAGAATAGAGAGCTGATCGATCCAATGAGGATGCTTCACATCTTTAGTCTTTATGATCAAATTATATCTGATCTACTTCCCACTTTTCTTGTTAATCTTTATGGTATTGGGAAATATTTGATTTTTTGTTTTCTAAATTGTATATCTTCGTCACTTGTAGTTACTTTTCATTCACAAGTAATTGATAAGTGCTCGTCGATTTTCATAATCATTTCACGAACTAAAATGGTTCTTATTGCAGTTATACGAAAGCATTACAAACTTTTGATGACATGCCTAACTTGGGAACTTATATTGTGACCTTTTCTCGTATTTAAATCACATTCCTTTTCTGTTTTTAATTATGTTTGTATTTGGTGATGATTGTTTTGGGAAGTTTTGTTGGTTCGAAGAACAGTATTGCCAATCGATTCAATGAAGATGGTACACCTGTTCTTTATGATCAAATTATATCTGATCTTCTTTCCACTTTTCTGGTCATTCTTTTACTATTGTTAAATATTTGATTTTCTGTTTTCTAAAATGTATGACTCTGCCACTTGTAGTTTATGTTCATTTGCGATTAATTGATACGTCATCATCAATCATCATAATCATTTAACGAACTCAAATGTTTCTTACTATGCAGTTATACGAAAGCATTACAAACTTTTGATGGCGTATGCATAAATTGGGACTTATATTGCTACTTTTGTCCTTCTCTCATATTTATATCACATTTGATTTCGTAATGCATAATTGCATGCGTATAGCCTACTTATATTACTTGTGGTGCTATTGCTTTCAGGTTGGCATATATGTAGTGTGTGTATGAAGGCGTCTCACTATATGTGCTACACTTGCACTTATTCGTTGTGCAAAGGCTGTGCAAAAGCCACCGATTACGTATGCGTTAGAGGAAACAAAGGATTTTGCTCGACATGCATGAAAACAATAATGCTGATCGAAAATAAGGACCAAGCGAACAATCAGTTGGTACGCAAGTCATTTCTTTGCAACTTATTTCAAGGCAATCAGTTGCTCTTGTAAAATTGTTTTTTCATTTTATTGTTTATCGTGCTTATAAAGTCCCTGTTTATTATCGCATATCATGGAAGATGTAAGCAAAATGTCCATTCATCCGCTGATTCTTAAGAAGGTTGATTAAATTTAAATGATTTTTGGATTGTTGAGTACTTTTATGACCCCGAGAGCGATCACGTGGAAATTATAGGACCTTCATTACTCAGAGAATTTGAAGCTTCATTTTAAAATGCAGAACATTTATATCACTTCGCTGCCTGTAAAATTTTATAACATGATGTTATTGTCGTGATAAACAGGTTCAAGTAGATTTTGATGACAAAACTAGCTGGGAGTATCTTTTCAAGGTATATTGGGTATTTTTGAAAGAGAAACTGTCGCTGACTTATAGTGAGCTCACTCGAGCTATGCCACCCTTCCCTGATGTGGCTTATGATCGGAAACCGAATAAGGCACTTCGTGCCAGAGTTGATGGGAGAGTTTCAGTTTCTTCCACGAGATCTGGACATCTGGAGTTGAATTCACCCTGCATAGAGACTCATGTTTTGCAGAACGATGGATTAAGGATGCCATTGTCAGGAATTGTTAACTATTCGGATAAACTAAATTGCACTGATGCGGCTGGTGTTCAAAGTCATAAAACAGAAATCCCTGATAACCCGGTTGTTGAGAATGATCGAGGCACTTCCAAAGGTAATGTCAAGCAATGGATTAGCGAAAGCATGGATAAGAAAGAATCTCAATGGGCATCTAAAGAGCTTTTGGAGTTTGTTGCATTTATGAGGCATGGTGATAAATCTGCCATGTTGCAATCTGATGTCCAAACATTATTGCTTGACTATGTAAAGAGGAACAATCTTTGGGATTCCCGGCAGAGGAGTCTCATAACATGTGATCAAACCCTCCAAAACTTATTTGGGAAGCCCCATATTGGTCACATTGAGATGTTGAAGCTTCTTGAGCTTCACTTCCCGGGGAAGGAAGATTCTTGGAAGAAGAATTCTTTAATCCCAACTGGATTTGTTAAAAGTGATTTTGGAGCTGATGGAAATGTCAACAGTGTGCCTGCTGCAATTAGTAATAGGAATGAAGAGAGAGCATCTCAGAATGATTTAGTTGAATATGCCGCAATTGATGCCCATAACATCAATTTGATATATTTGCGACGTGATTTAATGAAGAATCTTCTTGAAGATCCAGAGAATTTGGATAATAAGGTTATTGGGTCGATAGTGAGAATTAGAGCATTGAGTCATAACCAGAAGTTAGATATTTACAGACTGGTCCAAGTTGTAGGTATGGAATTTCTCTTTACTATGTTAATGCTTTAGCTGTTTCCAATTTTTCCTTTTTTCTTCCACGTGTTATTTTGGCTTTCTATGCATCCATTGAATTCATTCTGTGTCCATTCAACTCATCTGTTCTTCAGGGACCATTAAGATGGCAAAGCCCTATAAAGTTGGCGAAAGGACAGCCAACGTCATGCTGGAAGTTTTGAATTTAGATGAGAAGGAGGTAGTTTCAATTGATGCCATCTCAAATGACGAGTTCACCGAGGTAATATAGTGCATACATGATCACTCTCAATCTATCCTTTTATGCTTATATGCCATATATATAAAAATACACACATCTGTTAATTTTTGCAGCCTTGTTTACTTATTTGTTAATTCCATCAAGACCAGTGCACATGCACAAACCCCATGTTTACTTATTTGTTAAATTTTCTTGTGGTCTCACTATCCTTTAATTCATTTATGTGAATAGTATCTTTACTTTCTTTGCATTGGGTCATCACGCCTATTTTGTTATCCAGGATGAATGCAGGTGGTTCCGGAAAAGCATTAGTTGTGGGCTTGTGAAGCAACTTACTGTTGTAAGTCCAATTTTATGTCATTTTGGAATTAGACCTTATATTGCAACGCATTAATTTCCTCATTATATGAGCTGCTGCAGGGTGATATTAAAAAAGTAGCTACAGCACTTCAACCTGCCCGGATCAAAGATGTGAGCTCTTTTTCCACAAATCAATCTTTATTTTCTTTGTATTGATCCTCAGTTTCTGATATTTTCTTATGCTGAATGTTAGATGCTGGAGAAAGAGGTATCCCGACTAAATCATCTTCGGGACCAGGCTAGCAGGAGTGGATGTAAGAAAGAATATCCTTTGTTTTTAACTTTCTATATGATTAATATATATGTGGAAATATCTCTTCTATTAATTTATCTTTGGAAATGTCTTCTTGAATGTTGGCATCTTGTTCGGCTACAATTTCTCTGTGAAATATTCTAATGTTTCACCCAAGTTTTTGTGCACTCTTTGTTGGAATTCCTTGATTCTTGTTCACGCTTAGAGAATATTTAGACAGATTAGAGTTACTAAAATCGCCAGAGGAGCGTCGGCGTAGAATAGCTGAGATTCCCGAGATCCACGCGGATCCAAAAATGAGCCTAAATTATGAATCAGAAATAGAAGGCAAGCCAAGCAAAAAAGGTATCACAGTGACGCAGCTTTCCAAAATTGGATAGGTGTCTATTTTCCTTTTATACATTTTGTTGTTTTGCGAGTGGCTTTATCAATGGTGCACTTTTTGTGCAGTTGAGCTTGTGCGGCCGAGCTTCTCAGAACAAACTCAAAACCGAAGAAAATCAATTTCCTCCAATAAAAGAGGTAATACTTGCACTAGAAGCTATTTACGGATTGTGGATTTAGTCGGGAGCATCATTTCAATGCAATTCAATCAGCTGAACTATTGCTACATCTACTTCAGGTAAGGAAGATCAGCCCGTACATTCACAGAATCGGAAAATGGATTCAAATGGCACCCATGATTCTGGGAAAACCGTGGATCAAGGCATTGCAACCCTTGCTGATGTTGGCGATAAAAACGAGCAAGCTGTACAAAGGTCTGAAGTAGAAACTTGGAGCACAACTGCCTCTGTTCAAAACTCGCCATCGGTTACTAACATGGAAACTGAGAAACTCTGGCACTATCGGGATCCTAATGGTCAGATTCAAGGTCCGTTTTCAATGATGCATATGCGGATATGGAACACAACCGGTCTACTGCCGCCTGATATGAGGATCTGGACTAATCACGAACAGTACGACTCTGTGCTTCTCACTGATGCCCTGATTGGTGATCCCCACGGTGGATCCGAGTCGTCGTGTAAACACTCTCCTGGGTCGCAAGAGAATCGGGCTTCTGAAGGAATCGGTGAAAGTGAGGGTACACATGGCGCCACTGCAGAGAGTAAAGAGGCAGACGATACCGCGACGAATCATGCAAGTGTTTTATCCGAGAAAAATTCCCGACATGTGAATGAGAATGCCTCCGACTCCTCCTGGCCGCAATGCTGGGATTTGCTCAATAACAAGAATTCTAGCGCCGATGATGTCCAAGCGAATGCACGTTGCCAGGAGAGCGACGAGTTAAACCATGGCTTAGGAAACAGGGAAAAGAATTTGAACGAGCCAACTCAAGATGAGACGAGCGCCGGGAATGAACTTCAGAATCAAAGCAAAACTGAGGATGAAGTTAAACAACCCGCCGAAGAAAATTCGAGGCCTCTGAATATTGATTTGAGCTCGAATCTTATGGAATCTGAGTCTGTTATTACGCCGGTGTCGAACTCGCTGGATTTAAACAAACAGATTGGGAACATTGATCAATCTGATCTTCAAAGTCCACCGTTGGCCAACACGCAGAATCAACCGCCCACCTCTGGTATTCTGGAGTTACTGAGCCCTGCCCCGAGATCTTCGAATGATAAAGATGCTACCGAGGCCAAAGAAACCAAAGATACAGCCGAAACCAAGCCATCCGAGATGCTGAACGTTCCTGTTCTTGATTCAGGCCTGAGTTGTAGCGGTGCTCCCGTCATAACAGCAGGCGGCATGGAACTTCCTGATCTCGGAAATGAATGGTGCGGATATTCCTCGACGCCGGTAAAGCCGTCTATCCCGGAATGGGATTCTGGTCTTGCATCTGCTACTCCTGCTCCCTTTATGAAAACCGAAGTGCTCGATGAATATCCGGCTACCTCGATGGCCTACGGTCACCAGATTTCTCATGCTCCTGCATCCCAGCCGGCGACGTCGAATATGCCTAGCTGGCTGGAGATTTTAAACGAGCCGATCGAGTTTGATGCTTTGGGCGAGGAATCAGTATCGGATTTGTTGGCAGAAGTCGACGCCATGGAATCGCAAGGTGTGATGTATTCGCCTACTTCAGCCATAAAGTTTGCTCGCGAATTCCTTGAAGAATGCAAGGACGACTGCTTTAGCTCGATCGAGGATTTCAACCCGCTGCCCGACCCACAACGCTGCGACGCTTCCGGCTCGACGGGAGAGATGGAGATGCAGATGACATCCCAATCCTCGTGCAATCCCATCGAGGCGTTCGATGCTTTCGACTCGCTCAGGAAATCGAGCGCAAATTCTTCGGCAAGCAGCGAGGGCGGAACGAATGCTCAAGTCTACTCGGGAGACGCCGGTTCAGAATTCCACCCGCCGGCACTGAACAACCCAGCCCAAGAAATGGTTGGCCACGGCAACACCGCCACCAGCAACGGAGCTGATCCAGTCGACCCGGGCTGGGGTAACGTCCAAGGGAACATCAATCTCGTCACCGTTCAGGGCAATGTCAATCTCGTCTTGGGAGGACCGACGCAGGGAATGGCGAACATCGGGTGGGGGACGAACCCGGGGACCGGGTGGGTCAACCCGAGCATAAACCTGAGTCCCCGAAACGGGAGCTTGCCGTGGGACGGGCAGCCGCAGCCGCAGCCACAACAGCAGCAGCAACAACAGCAGCAGCAGCCGCAGTCGCAGCAATCGCAGCAGCAACGCAAATACAGCGGGGAACGGTACACGAGCCCTAGATCGGGGTATCAAAGCAGCGAGGCGGGTTTCAGCCGGGGGAGGCCCCCGAGGGGTAGGCAGGCGTACACGGGGGGAGGATTCTTGCGGAAGGGGCCACGGATAGTATGTAAATTCTACGAGAAGGGGCTCTGCAAGAAGGGTGCCTTTTGTGGGTACCTTCACCCGTGATGAGGTAATGATGTTAAATTTGTGGTTGGAGATGAGGTACTTTTGATGTTGTTGTTGATGTGTGTTTAGGTGTAGATTTGTTGTGAGTTTGGTCATCTCTGTCTCTCTCTCTATTAGTAAGTAAATGAATATGAAGCTAAGGTACGTACTACCATTTTATGGCTGTTTTTGGACATTAAAATCAATGTTCCTACTTTCAATTTTACAATAATTTCATGTTATTATCGAATTAGGTTGTAAGTATTTATATGCGTGTTTGATTTACTTTTTGACATTTTACCCATAAAGATTTTAAGAACATTATTCAGATTCCACTGTTGTTCAAATTACTCCAACATTCACTCGGATGACCCAACGAAAAAGCCCAAAAGAAAGTAATATTTAGTATATCATTTTGTATAATTCTACTAATTAATACTATTATTATTCAATAATTTACTGATAAGAAAAAAAGGTAGAAAGGAGTTACGGAAAAATAAGAAAAATAAAAATGGTTAAATTTTTTTTATTTTCCTCAATACCATATGAATAAATTGTGTTATTATTAATAATAAAAAAATAAAATTTGAGAATCTTCTATTCATAAATTGAAATCTTCAGCCTACGCAGAAATGCGAGCTAACGGGTGAGACAAAAATGGCGGAGGTAGAGGACCAGATAAATGCTCGGCCGGAGGCGGCGGGGCCACCGCACGGGGAATTGATCGGAGCGGCTGTGAATCACATGCCGGAGGATTCCAATCAATCGAGGCCGAGCGATCGCAGCGCATCTCCATCGTCGCCCAAGATTCGGGCTGCTGCAGACCCCACCAGTAATGGGAACAAAGCCAAATCCTGCAAAGGCTGCCTCTATTATTCGTCTCAATTCAAATCCAGTGCTCGTAATCCTCTTTGTGTTGGCCTTACCCGTTCCCTCCCCACTGGTAACCCTAATCTTGTTCTTTATTTATTTAATTGTGGATGGATTATCGCTGTGCGTGCAATTGGTTGCTTTGATTTAGTGACAATTCGCCGATTAATTGCTTCCATTGAGGATTGAATTTATAAAATTTTACCTTCTTGTTTCTTCACTTAAAATATATATACATGTGTGTGTGTGTATTATCTTCTGGAGAAACTTGCATCTTTGAGTGGATTATGTGTTTCTGAAATTTATGAATCTGTTGGAGCTAAAAAAATCTGTGAGAGTTATTATTGTAAAGATGACAGTATGGGACTTAATTGATTGAATATTTCTCATATGTGGTGGTGTTCTTTTAGTGTTGATGAATATTTGAGGGTTTTTGTTGTTAGTTATTAGAAAATGTGAAGTGGCATTAAAATAATTTTGTTTTGTAATTTTTGAATATTTTGTGAGATGAAATATTGCATTTTTATTGTAGTGTCTATTTAAGCCAAGATCATTTTATGGAAATGGGGTTTTCTGTTTCTGAATTGTGTGCTCTGACATCATTTGGATGCTCTGCATTATGTGTTCTTACGATTTCTATAAAAATATACTAATTTGCTCTCACAAAACATAAGTTCAACTACTATTTAGATATAAGACACACAGAAACCAAACACACCCAATTTACGGTGCTTTTTTTTTTTTTTTCGTTATTAAAAGTTCACATTTGATGCCTATCTTTTTCATTCAAAACATACAGCCAACATCTATTTTCATCACACAAATTTCTAAATCTAAAACTACCCAAAACACTAAAACAAAACAAAAACATAATAACTTGGTGAAAAGATTGTGTGAACTCTATGCTTGTCTCGGCCGTTTTATTATTTCAGTATACTTCTCAGAATGTAAATGGTTGCTTAAAAACTATCATGATTCATGGCATGAAATCATGGGGAGATGAAGTTTTAGATTTACTGAAGTTTAGTAAAGCCTTTCAATTTTTTATTTTAGTTGTTTATGTGAAATGCTTTGTGGTTTTCCTGTTGTAAATGTTGTTTCAATATGTTGTTTTCCCGCTAGGCAATGTTAAAAAATTGGGCTTAATCCCTGTTTCATGAATTAGTGCCCCCATATATTGTTGGACAATCCGAGATGGAAGCATCTAAAGACGGCAGGGGCCTATCTGATTTTAGATATGCCTGTGTTGGTTATTCACTTTACATGGACCGTAAAGGACAAGCCGCTGATGGGAAAAAGGCTCAAAATGAACTTCCAGTCTGTGTGGGCCTTGAGGTTAGTAGCTCACAAGGTTCTCTATTTTCGATTTGTTGGTTCTTATTGTAGAAAGGTAAGAATGCAACAGATTTGGGTGCGAGTTTCCAGCGTTTATATAGTTTTTATTGAAGAACAAAGGCAGCAGTTTGTAATTGTCTCGTGTTTTATTCAATAAGGGCGTGTTTACTTTTAAGGATAGGATTCTATTACTTAATCATGTTTTAAGGAATTATTTTATCCTACTTGTGAAATATGATAGGATAATCATTTAAATTAGCATAATAATCACGGGTTGAGGATAATAACGAGTTTTAATCATTCAAAGTCCTCCGCAATTTAAAACAATAAGTTGCTTTTGATGGAGGAACGGTACACTGTTGCCATTTTAGTAATGATGGAACCATTAAGGGTGTGTTTGTTTGGGGCATTGGATTTTAAATACACTATTCATCCTATTTTTTTCCCCCAAAAACATCAAATCAAACACCTATTTTTCATTTTTTATATTATACTAAAAATTAATGTTACATTCAAAACATCACATTGACACCTATTTATATCACATCATACAACTATTCAAATTCAAAATTTTTACTATTCAAATCCCAACTCAAAATCCAAACCCCCAAATAAACATATCATAAGAAAATGGTGGGAACTGTTAGGGATTCTTTGGGTGTTCAATTAAGGAGTGGCTATTTTTCCTAGCATAGACTACAAGTTCTTTTAAGAAGGCTGTTTACCACCTTATCGGTTAGAGCTTGCAAGTTCTTGTAGCTAATAGAGCACGTCTAGTAATAAAGTTTGATAGTAAATATTTGATTACACAATAAGAGTGCTTTTCATTAATGTTCTGTATCTTGTACAATGCTAATGGATAAGATCACTGGTATTTGTTCCTAAATATTCTGTAACGTATATAATCTGCTAAACATGATTTGGGGTATCTTACTTATTTGTAAACCTCTTATAGGGTTCTATAATAACAGCTCTTCATGAGCTTATAAATGCTTTTAGAGCAAACAACTAATAAGATTTTTGAAGTGGTAATAAGCTGAGACAAATTTTAAAGATTAAGAGTTTAAGCATCTTTTTTGTGCACATGGATCGCAAAACACAACAAATTGACAGGGAAATTTCAAGTGTGGGCTTAAGTCTAGTATGACAGACGATAGGGTAGAGTTGACGTACATTATTGGTACATAGTTGAAACATTCTAATGATTCTCGGACACAGTGATTGAAGTAGTAAGAAAATGGTTAGGAACATTTCACTTGCTATGTTTTGGACATTATGGAAGAAAAGAATTAGGGGGAATTTTGAAGGGGTAGTGTGCTCTACTGATATTTCTGTAGAGATAGGCTAGAGATCTGCATCTTTGGTACATTCATAAGTATTCTTCTGTCTTTTTCTCATTTCCATGGAGATCCTTATCATGCTTATGAAGTTGCAAAAATGATAACTTCACTGGTTATTAATTTTTCTCTCTGAAAAAGCTTTAGTAGGTATTTTTATAGGATTGTTGGGGCATATAGATAAGTCGTGTGCTTCTTTGAGGTTTGGACTTTGAGAATGGTGAAATTTTGATGAAATGTGTGAATGAAATAAAATTGGTTTTTTGTGTAACATATTAAATGGAAAAGAGGTGTTTGATTTGACGATTTTGGAGTGAAAATTTTGTTTAATAGTGCAAGACCAAATCTAGACCTTAAAGAAACAAACCCTAAATTGTTCGGCTGTTCTTTGGCTATGAGGTAGGCATTTATCAAATGAAAAGCAACCATTGAGGAAAAAAATTATAATATCTGTCATAGCACACAATTTGGTCCTAAAATTGATGACTTACTTGAGGATGATTGGTGATCATTCGTAATTATTTTGCTCCAACTCGTTTCATTTAATTGCATTGTTTTATTAACAGTCGTGACAATGTATTTGTGCAGGTTTTGGTGGATCGGAGTGTTCACTCTATCGAGCCTGAATCAACCCCTGCTCATATGCATCATAAAGAAGGTAACTTGTCATGTTGTGTAATTTTCTGATTAAATTCGATTTACACTTGTGAGGTTTAAAGAGAGACAACAAAGAGTGATGCCTAACTTGTGCTTGTGAAATGAATGATAGTATGTGCTCTATGGGATTCTGCCACATCGTGTGTTGGTAGTTTATGTGCTGCATTTGTATTACGTTAAAAATAATATAAATCGTGTATTGTCTGTAGTTATATGTTGTCGATGCTCTGCTGAATTAGCAGTCGCCATATGCGAGTAACAGTGAATGAAGATACAATAGTATTTCCTTACAATGAGGAATACCATCTATACAAGAAAAATAATTTATTTTTCCATAAATTTATAGTATGGCATTGGTTTAGTTATGAAAATAATCATTTTGTTATCTCTCACAGATAGCAGTGGCTTGCCTCAACCTCAGCGTCGATTGCCTAAACCATCTCCGGCAACACCTAAACCATCCACTTCAAGTGGGAATCCATTTCTCACTAGGCAAGTTTCTTACATTATCTTCGCCCCTCGTCGCATTCAAGAATGAATTGGCTAGCACAAATTTAGCTGCACTATTAAGTTCTAGTTACTACATTGAATCTTATATGCCTAAATCTATGCCATTTAATGCAGATTTGCTCGCAATGCCAAACTAGTCGCAAATGAGGTCGCGAAGAACATCGAGAGAGCTGGAAATCAAATTAAACAAAGCCTGGACGACATTCTGTATCCCTACAGACGACGGCCCAAGTAAGCAAAGGCTAATTTTGCACGCACTTATGGAAAATAAATCGCGATTTCTTGACTCCCCTGACTGGTTTTGTAGTAGAAAAAAATCTATCTTGCTATCTTCCACCATTTTGTCGTGTGTAATTGTTGTTCTTCAGCTGATCGGACTAAACCACCGGAATGGGCGTCGGGAATTACTCTTGTTGTTAGTCTGTGATTTTTGTTTGGTAATTAGGAATTTGTGTTGTGCTACTTCTTAATACAACATTTGGGAATCTACTTGAGTTTTAGGTGTTCCCAAGTAGCTATTGATTTTGAGAACATACAAGGATTAATTAGTTTGGATATGTTTTAGCACGATATAAATAAATAATTAATTGGATGTAATATTTTATTTTATAAAAAATGTTTTAGTAATTAATTTTTAAAGAAAATAGTAAAAATTATGATATAAATATATTCAGGTTTTGGAATATAATTTTCTTTCTCGAAGTGGTTCGGACCAAAGATGTGGACATTTAGGCTAAGTAAGTGATAACCAGTTTCATCATTTGCTTTTCATTTTCAGATTTATTTATTGAAAAAGTAACAGGGCACCACTCTAAAATGGCAATTTTTTTAGATGGTCCCTTAACTCCAAAAATTGATGACGACTTTAGGTATTGGCAGAAGTCGCATTCTTTTATTCCTTTTTCTGCAAAATCGTGTTTTACTTTTGCAAGTGGATTAGTCTTTTTCATTTTAACCTTGAAGAGAAACCCATTGTTGGATTTTTATTTTTTATTTATTTATTTTTAAAAACGACTAGTATTTTAATAATCTGCAACATATTTGTAACATTTCAACTCGCAAACTGACCCTACATTATAAATTCCATCTTCAAGTTATCCTAAAATAAAACAAGTACACTTTATGTGATGAAGTTGAAAGTATTGAATTGCGTTTCATTTGATAGAGATTTTTAAATTTTAGAGTTTTAAAATTAAAAAAAAAAATGATTAAAAAAAATAATAGTGATATTAGTATTTTATTTTTTAAATATATATATATATATATATGATGTGTGTATATAAACAAGACTATTTTTTTATTGATTAATATGTTTCAGGGCAGACATTATTGAGTTTCAAGAATGGTGAAAGTGGTGAATATTATTGTGCTGGAAATGGTAAGTAAATGATTGAAGTGTTAGAATAATATGTTTCTATATAAATATAAATAATAATCAGTTGGAAAAATGATTAATTTTGTGAATGGGAGTTTAAATTAATATTTTTCAAGATGATTAAACAACACACTTATCCTTCAAATTTTGGGATCCATTTGTTTTGAAGTTGGAATACAAGTTGATAATATATTTTAATTTTTTAATTAAACTATTTTCCAAAAATTTTAAGATAGAAATTCACTTCTAATCTCGTATTTTCATCTCTCATAAATAAATAAATAAATTTTGTATTTTGTATTTTTTTATAAACTAATCTATGTTAATAATATATATATATATTTTTTGTATTATATATAATTTATTATTTACAAAATAATGTTCATATTCAATGTAAAGTATACTTTTTAAAAATATTTCAAATATATTTTTGATCAAATATATATTATATTATAGCTTAATTTATAATCAAACAATATATCATTACTTAAATAGAATTAAAATCAAATTTCTAACTACACATTCTTATTTACAATCAAACACGGACTTGGTGAAAAGGGCCTTGGCAAAATTCACCAAATTTGATTTGGACACATGGTGAAACATTTTCGGAATAAACACTCAATAATAATAATAGTTCATTAAATTTGACAATATTAGCCCACCAAATGTGAAGAGGACGTACATCCACTACTTCATTTATTTTTATTTTATTTCTACTAAATAGTACTATTAGATTGATATCCATTTTATTTTCATACACTATAAATAAATAAATGTTTATATGTATCTATCTCAAATTTGATCAAGAAAATAGTGGGTTTCATAAAGCATTTTTACAAATACATAAGGTGTTTGTTCGGGGGTTTTAATTTTGAGTTGAGATTTAAATAGTAAAAATTTTGAATTTGAATAGTTGTATAATGTGATATAAATAAGTGTGTGTTGATGTGATGTTTTTAATGTAAAATTGATTTTTAGTATAATATAAAAAATAAAAAATAAATATTTGATTTGATGTTTTTGAAAAAAAAAATTAGATAAATAGTGTATTTAGGGAAAAATCTCCAAACAAACACACCCTATATTGTCTACATATATAAATATATATATTATTGATAGTTTTAATAAAAAAATATATTAAAAATTATTTGTTGAATGAACACAATCAATATTGTGTTCTTTTTTAGTTTGATTTTATTTTATTATATGAAATAAAATATTATATTTTTATAAGAAATTATAATGACGACAAACTTGAAAACAAATTGAAATTAAATTTAAAACGACATAGCAAAAGACCACAATTATTGTTGAAAAAACTGTTTATTTTTTCTGAAAACAAAAAGTTTAAAATACATGGATCAAATTCCAATCCCTTTTCTTATTAATTTTTCCATAATATTAATCACTTTTCAATTTTTATTCTCCCTAATATACACATCATTACCAAAATCCACCAAAAATCCAAAAAAAAAACACACAAAATATGTATAATATATATAATAATAATAAAAAAAAAGTCCCCAAACAAACAATTCCCCGCCGGAGCATCTTCTCCGGCGGCCGTCAGTAAAGCGGGCAGAGCAGCCTGGGCGCCGGCACCGCCCTGAGCCTGGTGGCGCGTGGCGCCGTGAGCCCAAAGACGTCGTCCATGTCCATCTCCGCCGGCTTCATCCCGTCCGGCAGCTCCCACGTGAAGCAGTGGAGGAGGTGCGCCACCGCCACCTCCAGCGCGAAAAGACCCAATTGCATTCCCGGGCAGGACCTCCGACCCGACCCGAACGGTATGAACTCGAAATTGCTCCCTTTGAAGTCCGGCACGCCGTCGCGGAGGAACCTCGCCGGCTGGAATTTGTCGGCGTCGTCCCAGGCGGCGGCGTCCCGGCCGATCGCCCAGGCGTTGATCATCACGCGCGACCCCGCCGGAATCCGGTAGCCGGAGACGACGGCGTCCTCGGCGGTCTCGTGGAGGAGGAGCGGAATCGGCGGGTGGAGGCGGAGCACCTCCTTGAGGCAGCACCGGAGATACGTCAGCTTCTCGAAGTCCGGCTCCTCAACTTTCCGGCAGAGCCCTACGACGTCGGCGAGCTCCTGCTGGACCTTTTTCAGGTCCTCCGGGCTTCTCATCAGCTCCGCCATCGCCCACTCGATCGCCGACGCCACCGTCTCTGTGCCGCCGAACATGACGTCCTGCTCACGTCACGCTTGCGTTATACGTAGATATGGCTGATCCGGGAGTTGGGATCCCGGAGTTGCTAAAACTAGTATATATAATATGTAGACATACTTGAGTAATGAGCATCGACTCGACTGAATTTGTTTAAGGTTTCTTTCACTGATATTTTTAATTTAGAACATCTTATACTCTTTCTTAGTTTTTTTTATCTCAAATTTAGAAAATAAAAAATTAATAAAATTAAGGTTACGTATAGTAATGATCTTTGGAGGGGCCTCTTGATATGTTATTTTAAAAATTAAAAAAAATATATAAATTATTTTATGTATTACTCCTTTATCAAACGCTATTTTTTAAAAATTCAATTAAATATTTATTTCTTTATTTAAAAATTACTATATCAAATGTTTACTTTTTTTTATTTAATTTTTTATTGTATTTAAAAATCTCTATAATTTTGAAACACTTACAAAAATATAACTTAAAACATACTCCAATAATACAATTAAGATGTGCTTGGTAGAGGGTTTGGATTTTGAATATTAAAAAGTTAAATTTAAATAATTGTATAATATAATATAAATATATGTTGATTTGATATTTATTATACTATAAAAAACAAAAATATTTTTTAAATTTAATATTTTTAAAGAAAAAATAATAAAATATAAGATAAAATCTCCAACCAAACTGAAAATGGGGATGACAAAAACAAAATATTAAATAAAAATAATAATTATAAAAATAAAATAAAATAAAATAAAATAAAAAAAAGAAAGAAAGAAAGAAAGAAAGGAAGGGGGCAGAAGAAGCAAATTTAAATTGGTAATAATTTTCTGAAAATTTATTGCACAACTAATTTTAGGTTTTTTACATTATTATAGAACTGTAGCGTAAATCAATAATGTGCTAGAAGTTTCGTGTAATTAATGAACATTTAATTCGATTGGTGACTCACTAACTAACAAATTGTTTTTTTTTTTTTTGCTGACCGCTCAAAATAAATATGAGCCTACAAAATATTTTCTATATTATATTTTAATATAATAGTATTTTGTAAAAAAATAGTAATAATATATTGTTATTTAAAAAAAAAAAAAATTGCCTTAAATGGTAACCAGACAAACCCTATGGGCTAAAAATTGCAGTTTTTATTCAGAAGCTATGGTTGTGTTTGTTTGTTTGTTTTTAATAAAAATAATTCTTTTTTTATATAAAATATTAAATTAAAACTTAAATTTTAAATCAAAAAAATCAAACAAATATTATACCTTTATAATATAGTATATTTTATGAATGGATAGATTGTGTGGCAAAAAAATATACTGAATAAAAAAATATAAGATCCAAAAGGTTCGTAATGCTTTTCTATGTTCGAAACACCAACCAGGCAAGAAAGCATGAATAATTTTTAATTATAAATAATATTTTAAATAAAAAGCTGATTTTTTGTTGTTAGAAAAGAAAACCTGATAATAAATATGAATTTAAGGCAAATTTAATGTGATAAAAAAATTTAAATTTGAATTTTTAATATAATATTAAAAATTGAAAAATATAAAAGGATTTTGAGCTATTGGTTCTTTGTTACTTACCATAATGATAGCCTTAATGTTATTCCTCGTAAGTTTGATGGAATTCTGAAGATCCTCAGAATCTGAAACCTTAGATTCCTCGCTATAGAACGCCAGCAATTCATCCACCATGTCCGATTCTTTCTCCGCCCCGCCGATATTTTTCTTGGCCATATGATCGTCGATGATGGTGTCGATAAACCCGTCCAGAGAAGCGCGCGCCTTCTCTAGACGGGCATTGAATCCCTGTGGATCCATCCAACCTGTTACATTTAATACAATTTCAAAATTGCATATTATTTCTAATTTAATCAAAAGAAATTTAATCTAATAAATCATAATAATACATATTTACTTTTCCGACCACTAAAAATATGTTCTTTTCTTAACATGAATAAAAATATATATATATTTTTTAATATAAAGTACAGTAAATATAAAATATAATAAACTTATTATACTCCTTTCAATTTTTTATAAATGTGTAAAAAAATTTTGTTAGTATTTTTAGTAAAAGAAAAAAATATTTTCTTCATCAGCCTTTAGGGTCATATTTACCTATTATGGCATTATATCTAATATTAAAAATACTTTTTATTTGTATAATTTTTTTTTTGTATTATGTGTTGATATAATAATTAATATTAAAAAGTTAATATGCAAAATGTAAATGAAACCCTAGAATCGGATGGATAGAGATACTAAGTGATTACATTAAAATTTTTGTGTCTAAGAAGATGATCATATTTTTTTGAAGAAAAATAGTTGAATAAATAAAAGAAAATACTAATTAGTTCTTAAGTTATAAATAAATAATTTTTTATTAAATATAAATTTAATGAAAAAAAAAAACATAAATCTGAAACCAACCTAGGCACGGAACAAAGTCGGCGACATTAAAGGCTCCAAAAAGCTTCGAGAATTCCTGGAGAATCTTAATAAAATCGTCCTGTCCCTCGCCGGAGCACGATCCAAAGGCGGCGCGGTAGATAATATTCCTCGTAAGCCCAAAAACAAGCTCCCCGACATCGACGGCGCCGCCGGCCGCGCTGGTGGCGACGACTCGGACCATCCGGTCCACCTCGTCTCGAACCGAGTCCCACGACTCGGCTCGCCGCCGGCTGAAGAGCTTCACGACGCATAGTTTCCGCATCTGCCGCCAGAACGGTCCGTAATGCGCAAACGCCATGTCGGCCCGGTCGTACGTCAGGTATTTAATGGCAATATTAGCCGGCCGGTTTGAAAATATGTTGTCCTGAACCTGAAGAACTTGCCGGGCGGCGTCCGGACTCGAAATCGCCACCATGTGGAGGAATCCGATCCGGAGGTGGAATATTCCGCCGTACTGCGCCGCCGCCGCCGCCAGTCCGCGGTGGGTGAGCTTATCCATCATGTCTATGTTTCCGATCACCGGCCACCCCCGCGGCCCCGGCGGCAGAGGTTTCCGGCGGAATTTCGCGACGGAGAATAGAATAAAAGAGAGTGGAATTACACAGAAGAGTAGAATATCCAAAATCATTTTTTTTATAAAAAAAAAAAAATTAAAATTTGTACAATGGGATTTTAAATTTTACACTCTTTAAGTGGATTTGGTACAAACCCTATCCTTCCATGGCTCTCCTCCCATTTATATTGTATTATATGTGTGGGATGAAAGAGGGTTGGTGGGTGGGTGGGCCCATTTTTATTTTTATTATTTTTAAAATTTTAAAATACTGTATTGGTAATGGGTAATTTGGAACTATGGGTATGTCCGAAAGCAATTTGGGGAGGTTGTGTATAATTAATTGTGTTGTTGGAAGGTCCAGGGAGTGGTGCTCCCGCGTTCTAGTTTCGGGAATAGGGAAAGGGGTTGGAGTTCGGATCCCGGAGCTTTAAAGGGAAAATTATTAATATTGTAGGCGCCATAAGCTACATTATTTATTGAGTGGGAGACTGGAAAGTGAATATCTGAGTTTGGGACAATATCTAAGGGCGTGGAAGGTTAAAATTCCATTGGATGAAATATTTTTTTAATTAATATATATTTATTATATAATATATGACTAATATAATTATAAGATATACATTAAAGTATTATAAAATTATGTTTTAATAAAATATACTCCATATAATATGAGTTTTATTTATAGAATATAGATTTAATATTTATAGTCTATTTAGCTAGACTCGAGATTTTATTCATTGTGCACTTGAAATACCGCTAACAAATTCATACATTAATAAAAACTAAAAAATTAAAAAATTGGTTAATGTCAAATTGTTATAAGTACATTTATGTGAATCTAATTTTGTATATTTACTAATAAATTTAAATTTATGTCAATATTTAGCAATATAAATGTCGCATAGCTAATATATGTTAGCTCCGGAAGTTTTTATGTCAACACATGTGACTATATTCATTCATGAGGACATTTTCAACATCCGAAATAATTCTTCCGTCCTTTAATAATTTATTCATTTTTTTTTTTATTTTGATCTATCTCATGACAAAGTATTTATTTCTTTTTCTTTAGTAATTGTACTATCTACCTAACATTACAAATATCTTTTCAATTTACAATATATCACGCAAATGTCATTATCTTTATATCATACAATACTAATAAAGTTAATTTAGTCTTTTTACATTTATTTCTACTACATCTCAATATAATACTAGTCCCTCCATCCAGTTAGAAAGTATACATATTTCTATTTTGAGTCATCTAATTACAAAGTAACCATTTCATTAAATACCCCATTTTTTCCATAAATATCCCTAGTTTACATCACATCATTACTTTTATACCAAAAAAGTAAAGGCAAAAATGTCATTTTACTACTTTTACCTACCCACTATAATTAAAATACTATTATTCCTTAATCTTCACGCCAAAAGTAATTGTATACTTTTAGCTTGGACGGATGGAGTAATATTTTTAAAACTCTGTGCAAAAGGTAAATGGATAGATAGATATGAGACCGAGGGAATGTAAGATTATATCTATTTTTTTTTTTTTTTCATCTCAATTGAAAATATACTTTTTTTATCATTTTTATTTGTTTCACTCAGAAGATTTAATTTACAGTAAAGTAATAACACATTAATAATAAAATATTCAGTTTCTATTATCGTATGATTTTTTAGTAAAAAAATACTCCCCCCGTCCCAAAAGAGTTGTCTTGTTTTTCCATTTTCGTCCGTCCAAAAACAATTGTTCTGTTTTCTTATTTAGTAATCGTGGTCCCTACTTTATAACAAAATTATTCATACTTTTTCAAACTACCCCTAATTATTACTCTAACCTATTTTTTAAAATCTTGCAAAAAGTTTTAGTCTTTTACATTCTATTTTATACCCACTTTTAATTAAATACTATTATTCCTTAATTCTCGTGCCAACTTCCAACAAGTCGTTTCTTTTGGAACGAAAGGATATGACAGATAGAGAAGACGAGTGCGGCTTTTTTTTTTTTTTTTAATGAGGGATGAAGTAATAAACATTAATTGTTAATATAAATAATCAAAATGCTTTTTTTTTCATTACATCTCATTTTTTTCAAGAAAATAAAAATAAAAATATATTATTAAGGATTGTGACCCAAAAAAATTGTTAATTATGTAAACATGCTAAATCTTTAAAGTGGTTATAGATGAACTACAAAAAAGCAAAATAGCATTATTAATATAAGTAGTTGTAACAAACATTTTAAAATATTCTATATGTCATTTTCTTTTTGTATATTTTGTGTCTTGAGATCTTTTTTTTTTTATGAAAATATATTTTATAAATATTAATATTTTTATTGAAAATTAATATATAAATGGAGTATATTATGGATGAACAATAAATTATGAATATACATAATTTTAAATAGAAAGATATACTTAATGTAATCCATATATTAATTATCAATAATATAATAAAGCAGATATCAAAATACAGATTTTTATATTGTGTTTGTTTTGATTTTTTTATTTTTTTTTTATGCAACTCCGTAATTTTATATAAAAATGCATTAATTTGTTTACAAAATACAAATATGGATGTTATTTCTTTTCATTTGATTACTGGCCATGGAAACCATTCCTTTATTTATTTACTTTTTAATATATAAAGGGAAAAAAAAAATTGCATATATCCATATACAGATACACCCATCGATCAATTATTGAGATATATATTATCTGAATATAAATAATTGAACATTGATATATATTAATATATATATGTATATTCAAGATAAATAATTTTTTTACTATAAAAACACAAGTCACCTATTATTGGTATTTAATAATTATACATTGAAAAAATAATTAAAAATACATATAATAAACGCCCACTAGTATGTTTGTTTGTATAATATAATATAATATATATATTATTAAATTTTCAAAATGACAGCACATATATACCCAAAATAATTTAATTGTTTACTACTATTATTTTAATTTCCTAACCATATTTAAAATTGATTGATTTTGATGCAAAACCTCTATATATATTCCATGCAGTTTCAAGTCAATTTTCTTAGTTTGGACCATTGAACAATTTGATTATTTCATTTTACCTTTGAGAATTTGTCATTTTTCTTCATTTCAAAATTAAAAAAAAAAAAAAAACATTCCCTATGATCACATTGCAATTTTTTCAATCATTATACTTTAAATCCAAGCTATCACTCTATCTTTGATAATTAACATTAATCTTTGCTTCTAATTAATTCCAAATGTTTTTATTATATATTTATTATACAGTTCGATTAAATGGTAAAAATGTGTAGTACGGAGAATCGAGTAAAATAGTTTCTATACGTATGTGTGTGTGTGGAATTCATGCTTAATAGTTAATTTAAAATATGAAATATTTTTTAAAAAAATTTATTACATAATTCACCATCGTATTAATAATATGAATTTCTCTTGCTAACATTATAATGAATAACATCACTAATTTTACATATTCAATTTAAAATACATATACTATAAATATAATCTATTTTATATATATATATGTGTGTATGTATATACTACTATTAACATTTGTGGACCATAAATTTTGGCATCTATCTTTTTTTTGTCGAACCAACTAAGTAAACCAATCAAAACTCTACTTATTTATTTTTTATTAAAAAAATATTTTTTTATCATCTAAATTTATATCTACTTTTCTTTCTTTTTTTTTGTCATAAAAAAATTTATCTCTTTTTTTTTAGTAAAAAATATCATTCTTTTCTATTTTTTATTTACTATAAAAGGAAAAAAATATTTTTATCTATTTTTTTAAAATTCGTGTCCAATCAAATGAGCATAAGTTTAGAGGAAAAATGTAGTATTTTATTTCACACCATTTATAAATTAAAAAAAAAAAATCTTTATGAATAATATCATAGACACATTATTTATTTAGAATATCACACCACTCTCTTAAGTACATTGCACTAAATAACAATTTTTATTATTTTCTAAACAAATCAAAATATTAAAGAACTTTTAACACATATTTGATCATATCCGAAATTGTTATATCATTTTTTTATAAGTTGTATTTGATGCAGTATACATTATTACTTCCACTAAATATGTTCATTTTTCTTTATGGTTTCATAAAAATAAAAAAAAAAATAAAAAAAATAAAAAAAACCTCATTTTTTTTTAGTAAAAAAGTTATATCAATTTTTATACCTTTTTTATTTATAAGAAACAAAAAATAATAATAATTACTTATTTTTAATAAAGTTTGTGTCCAATTGAGGATATATTTTAATGGTGAAGTATAAATAATGCAATGAGTATTAGTACTAAATAATTGAAAGAAGAACTCAAAATTATTCTATACTTATTATTATTATTATTATTATTATTATTATTATTATTATTAAGATGATGTACACCAACTTGGAAAGAGATGTGAAATTGGTAATGCAAGCAAAGATATATATATATATATATATATGGGGGGGGGGGTGTTATGTAGGTCACCAACAAATCTTTTATTTATTTATTTATTTATTTATTTTTGTATTTCTTAATAGATAGTTTTCTTAGTTATTAGTTAATACAATCCCAACAATAATTTGACATGTTTTAAATTGTTGTCCTAATTAGGGTTTTGAAAGCCAATTTTCAATTATATAGATTTATATACCTACTTTTGACGGCTATAATACTATTTATCAATAGTAAAAAAATTTATTTGTTTATTTTTGACAAAACATCATATTAAATATTTACTTTTTTACTATTTTTAATGTTTTTCAAACCTCAAAAAAACCTCTATTAAATTTATAAGTTTTAATTTTTTTTTCACTATTTTTTTACTATTTTTCATATACTTTCAATAGATATGTATTATTTGTTCTTATAAAATATAAAATATAATACTCCCTTCGTCCCACATACCGTGTCTGCTACACTGTAGATACGGTATTTTAGGAGGGGTATAATTAATAGATAATTAAGAATATATTAGTGAAAATAATTATCCTATAATATAAATAATTATAAATTAATATTAAAATAACTAATTAGTTTAATTAAAATTTAAAAAAATAAATTAAAAAGTTTAAAATGAGATTAAAGTGTATAATCATTTTCCTAAAAAGAAAAATG